CTACACATGCTGATCAACATTCCTGTAAAGTTTCATGACTCTAGGTCAAATACTTTTTGAGTTACGTGTGACACAAACGAGAACGGACGGAAGGACGGACGGACAAGGGTAAATCTAAATGCCCGTCACTAAAGTGGGGGCACAAAAAATCTAAAAATAATCGACACGAAAATACCCAGGTGCACAACTTCACCTGCTGATCAACTTTCCTGTGAAGTTTCATGACTCTAGGTCAAATAGTTTTTGAGTTATGTGCGACACAAGTTGAAAATTGCAAATTTTTACTAAATCAAGGGGAATAACTCTAAAAATACTAAAAAAATCGACACGAAAATACCCAGGTGCACAACTTCACATGCTGGTCAACATTCCTGTGAAGTTTCATTAGTCTAGGTCAAATAGTTTTTGAGCTACGTGCGACACAAAAGAGAACGGACGGACGGAAGGACGGACGGACAAGGGTAAATCTAAATGCCCCCCTATAGTGGGGGCTCAAAAAAGTCAACGTATGGTAAAAACGAAAACCTCTTGAAATAATGGTGTTATTTGGATAAGACGCGTTTTATTATTTAACTAAAATTACTGCATAAATTATGAATACACTGTCTCCAGTAGGCTGTGTATAATCCCTATATCTTGACGTAATAATTATTTCGTAACCAACAGACAGGTAAACAGTAGATTTACCTAAAATTATGCAGTGTCAATAATTGAAAAGCTTATAGCAAACAAACAGTTTACCATCAAGTTGTATGTCATAACATTAAATTTGCATTAATTCAAACAGAGAAAATACTAGTACCTTATTTTTGACCTCTTATTCTACGGTGACGGGAAAAATATAATTGGAGGGCAAATTTTTGGGTATTAGACTGCTAAATATTTCTACATTTAGTAACAGATTTAGATCATTAGTAAGACTGCCCGTTGTGCTTTTTTAAAGATGTGCTAGAAAGTAGATAAGTAAAGATCATGGGGAACCCTTCAAAGTTCAGTTCAGCAATCAGTATAGCCATACTATTTTACAACTTTTGCCCTTGGTCGAATTTTCGAAGAAAAGACATACTTTCGACCTATCTGTTTGAGCATTGAATGTTTAATGAGTCTCAAGTCTCACGACCAGATTTCCATTGTTACAACACATTTGTTTGTAACAACAATAACAATTTTTTTTATCACAATTACATGTCAACAAAAATTATGAAAGAACTTCAACTATACTATTTTAACATGGGTGGGGTTAAACCAAAAGAACTGTTAAAAAATTAAAGAATCCTCGCCAAAAGCAGCGCATTTAATGTAAAATACGTAAATATACATGGTCTCTTTTGCTTAATATAAATAACATAATATGACAAAAGAATTACAGAACTATTTGACAAAGCGGAATCAAGAAAGGTTAGAAAGGTCAGAGTAAGTAAGCATTAATATATCTTCTTGATATACAATTTAAATGAACCTGATGTATGCATGTGTCTGTCAATTTGAATGGTTTGTTGTTTATGTTTTTGATATGTGTGTACATATTTGTGAAATTCATTATCTTGTTTAATTGAAGGCCATATTGTAAATAAGATATGTATTTCTTAATATGTTACCTTCATGAAATAAAGTGTATATTTATAATTATTATTATTATTAATCACAAACATGCAAAATAGATAATAACGTTTAAAATTACTCGGGGGAGGGGTTAATGTTGGCAATATATTACGTTATTTTTTATAAGGAAATGATGAATGCTTAGGATACATGTGTTTCTATTAGGAACGGATAAATACCATTTAGATTTCTTGTACTTACATGCAAAATGAGAATAATTACCTCCCTTCACAACTTCAATATCCCCAGAGCTATTGTCTCTGATCTTTAATCACTGTTAACCAGTATCACTGTCGATCAAACAAAATTTAAAAAGGTTGTTATGATGGGCGCCGAATAAAACACAAACATACATAATTTGATTTCAGCTTTAAAATTTCAATTTCCTTTTTGTCATTTCCTTCATGACTGGCTTAAAATATAATAAAACTACAGAGACATATAATTTTGATTAATTTTCTTACGTCAACAAGACATCAGATACAAACAAACAAAACATTTTAAAAACATGCGTGTACTCATATATATCTATATATAAATTGTTGTGGAACACATGAGACAAAAATTAAAATAATAATAGAAAACCGTAGTTTGTTTTTTGACAACACCTCATACAACTGACCACTTAGGACGTTTTGTTAATTTCATAGTACATAAGGTCTCACCCGGTACGGAATAAGACGTAGTCTAGAAAATAGTTCTTTGAAATTTTTAAGTGCCCTATTTCAAGTCATTTTTAGAATGACTTGTTATATTCTAAGTTCATGTATTGTAACAGTGTGCATTTTGTGTCATTTCTGGTTACTTCAAACGTTGTTTTTCTGTATTCTGCAAGATCTCATTTCTTGGTGGAAGGACTTTGGAAGTACTACATGCCAGCATAACTTGGATAATTTTACAGTGACGTAACAAATTAAATTTAAAACTATTGTAAAATCTAGATGGCTAACATAGAATATTACGAGCTTCGATTGACTTGTTGATGTTTAAAGCTATGAAATACAGTGTCAAGAAAGAAATCCACACAACCTTTCATTGCGCCCTAAAGCCTCAAGTGCTATTATCAACAAAAGTACAAAAGTATACTTACATACCAATGTCACCGTAAAATTGACCTGTTGTTAAATTTCAAATTCTTAAATGTCGATTCAGCTTGCTAGATCATTTAAAAAAAAACTTTAAAGACACAGGACGTATGGCAAAACACAAAACTGAAAGATTGAAACACATTGCATCAATTATATGAATTGTCAAGGTTGACAAAAAAGATATGATTTCATTTTTTTTTAATTGGATTTACCTAACGGCAGATATATTGCATTTCTTCGATCCGTGCTTGAAAACGCAAACGGCAAATATGTACATCTTGAAATTAAGAAGAAATGGAGAATGAATACCACATTCCAATAGATATCACAAAATTATGTATTATTAACCTTAACACTGGCAATGGCTAACTCTGAATAATTGAAATATTTGTTGTTGACTTGAAATGACATTTTAGGAAAATACAAATATGTTGTATATGCATTCCATTTTTCTTTTCAGCTTAACATATTCCTATAACATTTTATAAACGTGGGTTGAAATGTAACATTTGATCTGTACCGTTTTCATGATTATTTTATCAGAAAGAGTAAATATGACATTTTCTAAATGCACATTAGTATCCTTATAATTTGTCTATGAGCATCTATCATTAAGTAGAATTACTAAAATATGTATACGAACATTGTACATAAAAGTTGTAAGTGTAAAATTGAAGGAAAAGTCGCAGCATTGACCCTTATCAGCAGATATTGCTTTGAATCTGAAAGTTTTTATTTATATTGACAAATTGCACCTAGTCAAATGTTTGTTTAATTTATTCAGACCCGGGTCTTTAATATAGTGTTGACCAATAGTTTCTTCAGTCTGTTCACTCGTGCTAAACGTACGGTCAAGGATAACTAAAGAATCTATGAAATAGGTAAAACTATACATGTACATCGGGCAGCGTAACAGTTGAAAACAACACCCTAAGGCTTATTAAACAAAAATGATGCGTACAGTTTGAATGGAACAAAAAGGTTCAGAAACTATATCATTGTTAAATAAACTCTAGTGATAGCTTTTGAAAAAGGCGACTGAATTTGGTTAATCATTAAACTCGAATATATATTTATCTATTTATATTTATTTATTTATTTATTTATTTATTTATCTATTTAAGTCTCAATCACATATACGTACATATCAATCAATATAAAATACAGGATAAAACAAATGGCATACATATATGCGGATGCGCAGGCTGGTCTGGATCCATGCTGGTCGCAAACCCATTATGTTGGTTTTGTTGTGACACGGCTCATTTCTAGTTTCTTTATTCTAAAACTACGTTAAATATCATCTGACTATAGTAAGTGTTTGAATGTTAAATTATTTTTGTACGATAAAACATGTATCAAAAATAATTTTAAAAAATTGGAAATCATTAAATGGACCGAAGAAGAAATGAAAAACATGAGAAAAAATCTGTCTTGACCGGTCACTCGTTGATTATAAGTCTAATAACTGTTATTTTACTTACATTAGTACATTATTATACTCGTTTTTGCAGATTTGAACCATTATTTAGACCGCCTACTGTGTCCATATAGCCATATTGTGTGAAAAAGAAGCACACTATACAGTCTATTTACAGATTTAATAGCTAAGCTTTTTGTAAGAATTTAAAGATTATTTACTAAATGTTATAATATTGTACATACTTTTCATATGTTGCATAGCGGTTCTAATGAAGGGAATAAAAGGTATTATTTCTTTTTAGCAGGCCCTGATAGCGAATGATGATAATACATTCCCGCGCTTTTGTTGTTGCCGCCGTCGTTGTTTATTTGTTGTTGTTGTTGTTGAGGTTTTGTTATTGTTGTAGTTTTTTTTTTGTTGTTTTTTGGGGGGTGGGGTAGGTGTTGTTGTTTAAGGGGTTGTTGTTGATTTTTTGTGGGCGGGGGTTAAGGATTTGTGGAGATTTGTTTTTTCGCGGTTTGGGTTGGGAAGTCACTGATATACCCATAATTCATACAAAATAGTTTTTGTCACATAACTAGAAGAATTTACGGGGAAAGATCTGAACAGCTTTTACAAAGAAAATATTGTTCCGATGAACGCTTTAGACTATGCATATGCCGCCATTTTAGAGCCAATCCAGAAGGAGTTCCAAGTGGTCTTCAAACTTTTAACTCTTTCAAAAGGTCAAAACACATCAGCGGCTCAAATTATTTTCTTTCTTTTATTTTTTATTTGTCATTAGAAGGGCCTCTCCCCTGTGCTATATCTTCACCCTCGTGACCTTCATATTCAATTGTCAATAGAAAACTGTTTGAAGTGTTAAATCCCATTGTGATCTTTCATCAGTGGACGGTAAAGGGTAAAGAGCATGGCTATATAAGCCCTGTCGTCTGACGTACCGTACATTTAGTTACGGTGTTCAAGATATAGACACGCAGGATGAAGCTGGGACTCGCACTTTTATTGCTCGTGGTCGTTGTCGGTTTTGCGACATGTATGCCGGCTGAAAAGAAACTTTCAGTGGATGATAGGCTTCAAAGAATAAGAAGTAAGTGAAGATATTTTCTTTATATTTCATTTTATCTGTCAATTAGACATAAAAAAATATTTCATTTGTTTAAACAGAATTTATGTATCTAAATATTGAATTTATATATTAATTATGTGAACTTGCAATATAATTGTTAAGCTTAACTACAAATAAATTCTTTTCGGAATACAATTCAAGTTTATGGTACACAGTAGTAAAAAAATGTACATTTTTATGTTTTCAACTCCCTTTTTTCTGAAGATGTAGAATATAATTGAGCCGCGTCATGACAAAACCAACATAGTGCGTTTGCGACCAGCATGGATCCAGACCAGCCTGCGCATCCGCGCAGTCTGATCAGGATCCATGCTGTTCGCTATCAGTTTCTCTACTTGTAATAGAGTTGGTAAGCGAACAGTATGGATCCTGATCAGACTGCGCGGATGCGCAGGCTGGGCTGGATCCATGCTGGTCGCAAACGCACTATGTTGGTTTTGTCATGACGCGGCTCATATATGAATATTAACAACCTGACTTTGAATATGCAAAATTACACAGAGAATTTTTCTATTTTTATAACTTTATTCTACCCAGTTTTGAACGGAGAAATAAAAATTTCAGCATAATTTTGGAAAGTTTTAGAAATTATTTCTGCTGTAAATAAATGGTTTAGATCACAAAAATTGTACGTTTGACGTTACTTTTACTCAAAAGAACATTAAGTCTTCATTGAAATCTGGAGGAATGTTGGTTTTCAGACAAATAGTATTTATTTATAATCATTCTGTTTCATGTAAAGATTACCTTTGACACATTTAAGGTCTATTATTTGGTTCAGAAGTGTCTTATGCTGTCACTTAACTTTTTTCTATTGCATTTCTATTTTCTACCTAACACACCCTTTTCATAAAATGTGCATGGATTTATAGCAGGCCGCTTTTACCTATCATACGTTATTGTTTTTAATTCAGTGTATTACTTGCTATGATACTGCCCTATAGTTGGTTAGTAATTTGAGGGTAAGCCACACTGAATTTATATATATTCAGTCTTTATTTTACTTCTTTTGATAGGCTCAGCTTGAATAAACATGTACATTGTGTATTTAAATTATCTTTGGACTTTATCGTTTTAGAGCTTAAAGGTGAAAAAATGGGAGATGGGGAGAAAGAAGGCGATAAAATGGAACGAAAATGGCCGTATGGATGGATTGAATGTAAGTTGCGTATTGTTCTCGTATTGAACTTCTTGTATGGGGACGCCATACGTTCTTTGGTCTTTTATATCACGGTCAAGCACGAGTCTGTAAGGGGATGCCCTGATAAATCCGGACATAGGTAAACCTGACTCTGTGCAACTGTTTGATTTCTCATTGTTTAAAGGTCGTCAACGTCTATTTTCATTAGTTTATTTTGTTTCGTTCAAATACAAACAGGATATGACGTAATAACTGAAACTCTGACAAAGTACTCTCATAAACTTTATTTTGGACAACAACAAAACGATATAAAAACTTTTAACTCATTTATTTTATAGTAATACATACCAGTTGGCGTAAACAATTTCACCCTATAGTAAATGGCGAATCGTGTTGGTCAATATGACATTCTACCGGTAAATATCACATCATATTCAATGACTCACTAGTCAATAATTATTAATAATTGTGGTACTTTCCTATAGGAATACATGTAGTATGATATAGTCCGGTGGCGGTACCAAGTTTTACAAAACTTTGCTTCATTTCAGTTGCTTCACTCGTTGGCAGATGTGAAACCGCTAGAAATTGGATTGAAATTCTTGGATTGGAAGATTTGCCAGGTAAGTTTTTGACATTCTATTTTTACTATTTAATTAAATTCATTGACAGTGACGTCACATAAACTGTAAGATACTTAACTTTCATCCTTGTGCATTTCAGATTTAAACGTCCTGCAATTTGTGGTTATTCAGGTTTATTTATTGTATTTGTCTGGACACTGTTACATGATGTCATTATATTGTAAGATTTTATTAGACAGCGATGAATTTATCAAGTGATCTAATTAGGGCATATGTCCATAACATTCAGGCAAACTTTCGTTATTTTTCCGTAAGAAGTAGGTGGGTTGGTAACGCTGACAATGCATGTAAAGAATATGATACCAAAACATATGTTATATAACAGTACACGCCGACAAAACTAACTGTTCATTCTAAACGTATAATGTTGAACGCTGAAGTATCAAAACTTGCCAAAAGATTATGCATTTGTTTACTTAAATATCTATAACCAATATGAGAATGTCATATCTACATCATCATAATTATATATTATACCATTTTCTGTTACAGCTGGCGACAGCATTCTTGTAGAGGCTTGTCCAAAAGTTTACGAGTGCGGCGCACATTTGATGGTAAATATATTAACATTGCCCAAATAGGGACTGTTACCACAAGAGCACATTTAACTTGTGGTAACATGTTCTTAAAATTGGAATTTTCGTCACCTAGATTTGCATCTCAAATCAAGATAGATGCATTTACCTACACTGGTTAATATGTTTGCCTATCACGTCAAAAATGATATTTGATAAAAGCGGTGTAAAATAAAATATAAAACGAAGAAATTGATCGAAGGTTTTACAAGCGCAAAAATATTAAGTATTGAACTGATAAGGATTTTACCGCATGTACATGTATATATCTTATGTACCTGTAGTCAGATCTAATGCATACATATACAATGTAATTTGTAAACAAAGTAGTTCACCTCGCATTGTAAATTTGCTCCGTTAAGTGTTTATAAAATTAAACAAAACTAATAGACATAAATAACAATACAATATATTATGAATGAACATTTTGTATTTTTACAACTTTGCACTGGATTTATTTCTTTAAATTTTCTTAATTTTCTCCTAGAATGCAACAGAAGAAGAGAAGGCTGGCGCCACTAAGTTCATGAATGACATTTTCCCCCTCCTCCAGTGTGTCAATCTTCATGCCGAGAAAGAGGAACTTGCAATTGCCCTTCTGGTCGCCGAAAAAGATAGTAAGTCATTTCGTTTTTGATAATATTATGCTTTATACTTTTGCCTCCCATCTTTTCTTCTTAACTTAACCTAACAGTTTGATTGAAAGTTTGAAGGTTTTCCAACGCTTATATATGTAAGCGCAAAAGTGTAAAACATTTTTATAGACATATGACTGGAGTAATGCTAAATAATGCTAAATAATGCACTATATGCAACGTAAACACCTTGTCTGGGAAACATTTGAAAAGTAAAAATGCACAAATTGCAGTGTTCCAAATTCATTACAGAATTTTTGATCAGGTTACGGGCTAAATTGAAGTTATAATTATTCAAATAGGTGCTGAAGACGTGTACATGACAGAAACCGGACCTCTGTTCGGCCTGTGTGACAAAGTTTTTGAAACCTACGAAAACGAAGTCAAAGAATTGAACAAAGACTTGGATGAAGTTGAAGAAGAGGTCGATGAAGCAATAACCGAAGCGGAAGAAGAAGAAACAAAAGTAGAAGAACGTGAGACAAAGATTAAAGCCCTCCTCAGACAATTGATCAATACAGCAGCAAAGAAGGTATAATAACTATTACTGTTATCATCATTAAACATCTTGCTTGTAGTTTTAGATAGGTTGGATGTACTGTGAAAGTTGAGAAAACCGCACGCTGAGAAAATCGGGACTTTCTAAATACCGGACGATTATTTCAGTCTCAGATTGAACATTAAACGTACTTGCTTCAAGATATGTTTCCCTTAAATTTCTCTTGTGGAAAAATGCGCGTTTAGTCCCGTACAAGTTAAATTATATGTCGCATTGATTTCTTTAAAATTTCATTTTAAACTTTTAAAACGATAGTTACGTTTTTAATAAAATTGAATGAAGGATGCATACGATTATAGTGCATTTTCTACCTAATTTTCGTGCCCATTTAACCTTTATGTTAAGGCAAACTTAATTAATAATGACGAACTCTCAAAAACTAAAGAATGCAACTGCTTTAATATATATACATGTACTGTTCTCATAAGATTTTTTGTTGTAAAATTTGTAAAACGCCCCGGAACACTTTACATTTTTTCACTGAATAGGCGGGATCTGTAATTTAAAGTCTGTTTTTGGCTTCTTTTTCAGCGCTAAGAACATATTCGATTCGGATGGACAATGATTGAACGTAACCTGTCATCGATGCTGGACGTGTATTTCTCTTTTATCATTTTACTTGACATTTAGAAACATTATTTTAATTTATTTTGTTTCAAATCTACATAATAAATATATATATCAATCCAAAGAGCCTTTACTTTTTTAACTTTATATTTATGATAATATTAAAAGTGACACGGCAAATGTGGAAGCTGGGAGAGTTAACCATCTACTGGGTTTTGAACTTTTGGAATCCTTACTACCAGTGGATACCACATCTAAGCATTTCTTCAGGATTTCTCAAGTTTTTCCCATTCAACCTGCAGAATTTCATAAATGGACATATCCAGGTTCAATTTTTGGAACTGTCTATTATCAATTTCTTGGGATATCACCTTGAAAGTTTGAAATTGCTGTAGACACCTTCTTTATGCATACAATTATGAAACATTTATCTTTGAAACAAATCCTATACAAGTCTATATAAATCAAGTACCCCCTTGGGTAGGCCAAAAATATAGGGTTCCCTATAAAGTACCTCATGTAAAATTCCATATGCATGGTTAGTTTGTATAAAATGCATATGTGAAGCGGCATTATCCTCCAAAATAGTGTTGTAAGTGCTGCCTTCACTTGCGGACTGTCGTAAACAACTTGTTTACAACTATTGCATGGAAGCACGGTGAAACCCTCTTTGAACTCATTTTGCAAAGAAACTTGGTTGGCTACCCCTATATAACAAGATCACTTTTATGTGTCAACCATTTCATTCATTGAACAAAATCTCACATCTTTCGCATAAAAACTCAATTTTAAGGTAGAATTAAGGACCATTTCTCATAATGTCAGTCTATAGGAAAATCAACACGTGAGACTGACCTCCACATCGGAGAGTGAATTCATTCAATACCGGAAAAGGATAAAATGACCCAAAATTTAATAATAATAATAATAATAAAAATAATAATAACAATAATAATAATATTAATAATAAAATTAATAGTAAAAGAAGACAAAAATGCGCACAATCAGATGAACACTTATCTTAATTAAGCAAACGAAAACTCACTTTAGAGAACACTGGTGAAATAAAGTATGGTAAATATGATTGATTAAAAAGCAATCATGAAAACAAACATTTTTTTTTCATTATTGCGCTTAAAACAATTCTGGCGGCATTTAGAAAATGGCGTCAAAACTGAAGAGTTCTTTTAGCTGCGCTGTAAGATAAAAATTATTTTTTGAGTCCAGCTCAGACAGGTTAATCATGTAAAAAGCTGGAAGCCAAGCCTCGGTTAAATGGAGTTTTAGGTTGTTTTCTATTGCTTTGTCAGTAAATTTCTAACGTAATACCGGGCTCGACGTTGCGAGCCGGCATCAGTGAGCATTTTATAATTGATTAAGATTGTCTACCAAAATAAACTTTATTTTCCTTTGGCTGTCAAATATATACATTTGTTATACATTATTATTGAAGATTACACCATCTGTTAATGTTTACATTTAAAACCACGTGCTAGAACTACTTTCCGATGTTATTATGGATAATAACCGAGATGTTCCGATTGGGATGTCGGTGACTGCTTATGCCTATTTATGAGTATGTCTCTTGAAGTGTTCGTATATTAATGTCTTTTTATGTGTTTCTTTAAAGCAATGTGTCTAAAAATCTGTGTCTATTCATGTGATGTAGTCAAACATCTTTATGAGTATAATTATGCTTATACTTAGGCATGCGTTCATGTCTATTCGTGAGTCCGTACGTTCATGTCTATTCATGAGCCTATGCGTTCATGTATATTCATGAGTTCATGCGTTCATGTATGTTCATGAGTCCATGCGTCCATGTATGTTCATGAGTCCATGGGTTCATGTCTATTCGTGAGCCTATGCGTTCATGTTTATTCATGAGTCCATGCGTTCATGTCTATTCATGAGTTCATACGTTCATGTATGTTCATGAGTCCATGCGTCCATGTATGTTCACGAGTCCATGGGTTCATGTCTATTCATGAGTCCATGCGTTCATGTCTATTCATGAGTCCACGCGTTCATGTATATTCATGAGTTCATGCGTTCATGTATGTTCATGAGCTCATGCGTTTATGTATGTTCATGAGTCCGTATGTTCATGTCTATTCATGAGTCCATGCGTTCATGTCTATTCATGAGTCCATGCGTCCATGTATATTCATGAGTCCATGCGTTCATGTCTATTCATGAGTCCATGCGTCCATGTATGTTCATAAGTCCATGCGTTTATGTATGTTCACGAGTCCATGTGTTCATGTCTATTCATGAGTCCATGCGTCCATGTATGTTCATGAGTCCATGCGTTTATGTATGTTCATGAGTCCATATGTTCATGTTTCTTCATGATTCCATGCGTTCATGTATGTTCATGAGCCCATGCGTTCATGTCTATTCATGAGTCCATGCGTTTATGTAATTTCATGAGTCCGTACGTTCATGTCTATTCATGAGCCCATGCGTTCATGTCTATTCATGAGTCCATGCGTCCATGTATGTTCATAAGTCCATGCTTTTATGTATGTTCATGAGTCCATATGTTCATGTCTATTCATGATTCCATGCGTTCATGCCTATTCATAAGTCCATGAGTTTATGTATGTTCATGACTCCATATGTTCATGTCTATTCATGAGCTCATGCGTTCATGTCTATTCATGAGCCCATGCGTTCATATCTATTCATGAGGCCATTCGTTCATGTCTATTTATGAGTCCATGAGTTTATGTATGTTCATGAGTCCATGCGTTTATGTATGTTCATGATCGAGTCCATGCGTTCATGTCTATTTATGTATCCATGCGTTCATGTCTATTTATGAGTTCATGCGTTCATGTTTGTTCATGAGTCCATGCGTTCATGTATGTTCATGAGTCCATGCGTTCATGTATGTTCATGAGTCCATGCGTCCATGTATGTTCATGAGTCCATGCGTGTGTACGTTCATGTCTAATTTTGAGTCAATGTGTTCATGGCATATATTTACATATCCCATAAAGATGCGTTAATGTCAACAAGGCTGCCAAATTAATTTATTTACACCTTTCCTTCATAACTTTATTTTTTTATTTCGCACCGGCGTGGCGGGCCCCCCCCCCCCCACCACCACCCCCTGTTTTAGTCAAATTGTACAAATCCGCGCCTGTATCGATTACATTACCCTGGGTACATACATATCTCGATACAGACCGCATTATCGCACTATGACAAATCCAATACAATAGACTGCACTAATGTAGTTCCCAATAAAACAATGTACTTGATATCGCTATTATCAATTGATACATCTAAAGTTTTATACTATACTATAATATGTTATACAGTTTTTGAACAATGTAAAGATAAAAATATGAATTGAAGACTTCATTTGACGGATTTCTTACACAAGGTGTTTTATGAAACAGGAATTTAACTCAATATGGTAAGTTAGCGTGTATTATTTCACATTTATATATTATTTGGGCAAAATTTTTATGAAAATGATTTAATTTGTTTTAGATATCAATAAAACGATTAAACTTGCAAGTTAATTGGGAAAATGTTTTAAAATTAAGTCAAAATTATTAATAGTCAATTTTCATAAGCTTCTTATACTGAAGGTATAGCCTTAAAAACGGATCTTTATTTACTAGCAATATTAGCATTGTGGTTTCAACAAATGTGAATTTAGTGTTGCTCTTTGACTGTCGATACTGAATTTTAAAGGGCCCCCACTGAGTTTTTTTGACATGACGGGACTGGAAATAATTATTCGAGGGTAATGTTCAATTTGATGTAGGTATAGACCAATAACTTGTATACAAAATTTCAGATCATTCGCTCACTCAATTTTCCCTGAATAATTATTCTGTTGTGAAAAATTGCCCAGAGCAGAAAAGCGCTGCAATGCTTTTCATTAAAATCGGGCTAAAAAGGCACAAAATACGATTTTCAGATTATTTCTTTCATATGTCTTAATTATCTTTTTCATATCTTTTTTAAGTGCCACAGCCAATATCTGTAATAAATTCAATTTTAAGTTGCTTTGTTTTGGCTTTTTAACCTCAGTGGAGTTCCTTTGATTAGTGGTCCACGTTCAAAGCCCAACAAATCCATGAACAAATTCAGCAGGTTAAGGGTAATAAAATAATTTACCATGCTATAGATGTACAGCCGCAAAATTCGGCGGCAAATTAGAATACCTCGGCATTCCATTGTGTATTTCACGATATGAACTTTGGCTAAGTACGCTGATTAGTGGATTGTCTGTTTTCAGAAATAAAGTTGTATGCCTATGAAAACTTTACTAAAATAAATGTTTTTGTTTATACAATTCAAATAACATATTATTCTGTACCAAATAAGTCGTCTGCTTTTGTACCATAAATATCGTCTGCTCTTGTACCATACATATCGTCTGCTTTTGTATATCTTATAACAGGCTGAGCAGATGACAGAGGATCAGATTGCCGGTAAGTCTCACAAGTTTTAATTTAGTTCCACGATGATTTACCAAATTCTGCTGATTTTAAACGGAATTGCTGCCGAGCTTCCATTTTTTTTGGAACTGTCCATTAATAATTTTGGGGACATCAAGATGTGCACGATGTGCAAACTGGCCTGGCTTTTTTACTGGTGGCAAATTCGAATCACTTTCTGTTTCATGAGGACAATGATCAGATCATCTATCATGATATGTTTGTATCATTTTGTGATTCTAAATATAGAGTGTCAGCGTCCACAATACAATCTTATCTAATGACCTTTAACCTTGATAATAATAACACTTTATCTCAATGATATTGACAATTTGATCACATAACATTACGTCCTCGACAAGTTGTCTTTTCTTTAGGAAAATGGCTACTACTTGGAAGAAAAAAAAATCATGTTTTTTATTAAAATGCGCAAGGTTATTTAATGTCCACCACTGCCATACACATGTATAAGGAAGTTTGTAAATACTTAGGGGTGGGGTCGGGGGACGGGATAATACCAGAATTAAAAACTAGGGTGATATCCGTAGTTTACAGCCAAATCTAACCAAATACCGAGTATTAAATACATAAATTGTTGAAATGTAAATCCTAGACACAAGATAACAATCAAGGCTTATTCAACTATTTTAATTTTCTGATAAGCAAAATAGATGACAAAATATAGGAGTGAAATCGATTACAAATAAATAGTGTTTAAAGCAAGACAACTGCTTAAAGGCACATTATGCCTAAGAAATCTGTATTTATTAAATTCTTTAGAAATTCAAACATGTGTTTAATAATGTTTTAACAATTTATTTAGGGCATTTTAGATATTTAAGAGCTGATAAAAAGTAGTACTGAATGTGCAGTAATGTGTTGTAAAGTTAGCAAAATGTAAACAAAGTAGTATTTTGACTACCATACAGAAGCTAATTCACTATAATTATACCAATTGCCAACAAAGCAAGAACAAAGATGGTTCATTTATTTGGCAAATGAGTATATATTTGGAATTTGTAACAATTTGAGAAATAAAAAATGAAAGGCATTATGGGCCTTTAAAGTTATAGAGACATATTCAATTTATTTTAGGACAAAAGAAAGATAAATAGATAAAAATGAAAATCCAGGATAGCTGGATTGTGATTGATTCTTTTCAATATATCTTCGTTGTATTCACAGTATAAGTTCATAAAAACGTTTGAATAAAAGTAAATGGATATGAGTTAAAGTGACATGAATATGATACCCTTGCTAATTTCAAAAACAGTCAAATATTAGGCAGATTACCACTATACAGATTAGACTGTCAGTGATTATTAAAATTATTTTTTTTGTGTAATTATAAATCAGTGGTTCTTATAAGTCAGTGGTATTTCTCACTTAAAGGCACATAATGCCTCAGAAATCTATATTTTCTTAATTCTTAAGAAATCTTAAACATGCGTTTAATAATGTTTTACTGTAAATCGGTCTATTATTTTTCCAACATAGTCACTTTAAAGGAACAAATGATAATAAATGCAACATATATGTTTAACTTATTTTATTATGGTTGGCATAAAATTTCCGTCATGACTGGTCATTAAGTTACATAAAGTTAATAGAGTTTGAACCTTTATATAAAATAGAATATTATAAAATAGGTTTTGCTTCGTCATCGATTGCAAAAACCTGTAATTTTATGTTAGATTTTCGCCATATCGACGGCTGAATAAGAGCATTAAATATTCCAGACAATCTGTTATAGAATAATATTAACAATTACATGTATATCAATTATAATATTATATGACTAATACTCATATCCCAACAGTCGGAAGTGACATTTTATATATTGCTTATATATGCTTCGGTAGCTTAATATGTTTATTCAGATATAATCAATTAAAAATATGTTTCGAAAAAGAGACAATGTGCTGACAATAACAGATATGATAAACACTTGATATCCGAAGCTTATAAAATATGTTTTATAAATATTATCAATCAAAATTAGTTAAATTTTGAAAAGACTGATACAGCCATTTGTATATATAAATACATTTATCAAGCATATCACGATCAAAACTGCCATAGAATGTCTACGACATTCCAAACCAGAACAATTACTCAACAGGTTTGATCGTATATTCGTCTTAGGAATACTGGCCGCCTACGTAAAACCCCTTTTTTAAGAGGAACCGTAGCATCCGTTGGCATGCACGGAGGAAACCTCCTCAGACTATTCCTCGGAATATAGAACAACGGACCTGCTCAGATATGCCAGTAAACATATAAATACAAAATACATACAGCTCAATAAAGAGAAACGTTCTTTATAAGAAAAATTATTATTTTAATTAAATAGTAGTGTGATATATAATGTAAGTAAACTTGCTTGAACCATGTATAACAATGTAATGATATGATAATAACCATTATATCAATACTTTTTTTAAAGACAATATGTGTTTTATTTACACATAGGTTAAGTTAATTAACAGTGTTTTGTTTTGTACCGACATCGGTTACAGGTTATCTAATGACTATTCTACAAATATCCGAAAGTCAGTTGCATCCCACAGGTGTTCGAAATGTTTATGCTTATGTACAGGCCAGTTAAATGTATGTTTTGAACCGACGTCAGATTCAAATGACAGGGGTCTGGCAGTCGACGTTGGCAAATTTCCGGATGTCGCAAAACGAATATTGACTGTTGAAATGATAATTCCAGCCATGACGAAGAAGGGCTAAGTATCGCGGCGGTCATTATTACCTGAAAACAGAAAAAAGAGACAACAGCAAAGCAAATGGGAAGGGCGGGTGGGTATTTTTCCGTGTTAGTTCACGGCAGCTTCTGGAGCTCGGAGACTGGATCGAAAAGGAATTTGCAGAAGCGTGCTCGGTTTATATACCCAGTCTACTAAGCATGCGCGAACGAGATTGAATGACTTGTTAGGAGGAGGAGGCCAAATATACAGGTCATTGCAAAAAAATACTGTGACGTATAGTGTAAAAATAAAGAGTTTAAACTCAAGCGCTTAAACTGAATATTATTTTTTCCAACATAGTCACTTTAAAGGAACAAATGATAATAAAATGCAACATATATGTTTAACTTATTTTATTATGGTTGGCATAAAATTTCCGTCATGACTGTCATTAAGTTACATAAAGTTAATAGAGTTTGAACCTTTATATAAAATAGAATATTATAAAATAGGTTTTGCTTCGTCATCGATTGCAAAAACCTGTAATTTTATGTTAGATTTCGCCAAAAGGGTCTCGAAGAATTGAGAGAGCCTTCCGCCAACAGCGGGGCTAACATAAACCAAAATAAATGACTCAGTCATGACGATTTAATTGCAGATACTGGTGTGTTTAAGCATACACCACGAACGAAATTTAATTAATTAACGTAGTATTGTGACCAGACAGGAGTTAATGGCACCATCTACTCAAAAAGATCACGGGGTTTTAGGACTTATCAACAATCCCTATTTCTAATAAAGTTTGTACTATTTTGTATGTCACTATAGATACGTTCCACCAAAGAGAACAGCCATATATCTATAAGAATGTCGCAAACAAATCTGAGACTGAATTAATTAAGTGCTTGGAAAGATGTTGCACAACCATAGGAAAATTTGTATTTATCTAGGCTTAAAAGAAAGTTTCTTCTTCATCAGCAGTCGCTGACGAGGAAGAACCCATTTGAATCACACCGTAATGTTCAAGCAAATATGCAGGTAGATTTAAATAAGAAGATACTAAATTGTAGGCTCTATGAAATGAAATGCACATGTCACACAAAAACTTCACATACAAGAGGACATGCCACACAAAACGAAAAACTAATGAAAAGTGTCTTTACTAGAGATGAGCCAACCACCCATGCAAGGAATTGGGTCGCCGGAAAACCTATTTTTAAAACATGTTATTGTTATATAACGAATTTGTTCTTCACAACGATACAATTTAATAACATATTATTGGTAATTTTTACGTGAATTATCTGCAATGAAAAATGTACCAATACTTGGCCAAATTCACCAATAAATGTACAAAATTACATTATTGTATTTGGGAAAATGCAGCTATAAATGTTCAAAATTCCATGAATATCCTTGTGTAATTTGCACCCATATATGTTCAAAATTTAGGAAATATAAGTGGTAAACTGCACCCATAATAAAAATATATCTGGGTAAACTGCACCCAAAAGTGCAATAAGTCTGGTAAACTGCACCCTTGTTCAATCTGATAGAAATATATCTGGGTAAACTGCACCCATATGATAATAGAAATAAATCTGGGTAAACTACACCCATAATAAAATTATATCTGGGTAAACTGCACCCATAACAAAATATATCTGGGTAAACTGCACCCATGTTCAATATGATAATCTGATAGAAATATATCTGGGTAAACTGCACCCATTATAAAATATATCTGGGTAAACTGCACCCATTATGATTTTTTTTTTTTTTTTTTTTTTTTTTTTTTTCCCAGGGTGATATATTAATTATTAAGTGAAGTTAAATTACTGCATTGTAATCCGTCGACGGTATCACAAATACATTTAAAATGTGGGTAAACTGCAACCCATAATTATATTTATTATAGACACTGCAAATTTAAACCCAAAGGCGGACTGCCGGCCCAATATATCATTACGGGCAATTGGGCAGAACCTTTTGTTTCTCTTTATAATTTTGAAAGCAGTGTCTTCCTTAGTTAGAAACACCCTGTTATCAAGTTTACTAAAAAACTAAACTATAGTAAAAATTAAACATATTGTACAAGAATTATACGTGTTGAACGAATATTTGACGGCTATCTACCTTGTCTTCCTTTAGTTAGAAAACACCCTGTTATCAAGTTTACTAAATACTACTATAAACATATATTGTACAAGAATCATACGTGTTGAACGAATTATTTGAGCGGCTATCTACCTTTTTACTTGACTACATGTTACAACTGGATACATAGCCTATTCTGAAAGAGTTGGGTTTAATGTTATTAAAAACATATGCTTATAATTTAATGCAAATTTACATTAAAGCTGCACTCCCCCAGATGAAATCAAAATATTTCAAGAAAATCAAACAAAAGAAGTACTTGATTTATAAGAACAATAAAAGATTTCAAAATTTAACTGAAGTAAATGATCTTTATAATATGCAATTTATATGTTTGCAGAATTTTTCCACCATATTTCTACTGCGTTACTAACGCAATGAGGGTTATTTTGCATATTTTGACTTCTTTATTTTGCTGAATTACATAGGTTGTAAGTGCTGTATCCAACATTATTTTTTTTTTTTTTTTTTTTTTTTTAAATTTTCATGAAATTTGCATGAATCTGGAGCATGCTGCTTTAAATTAAATGGCATGAAAGTACAGCCATTGAAGCGTTATCATTTGTATTGGATTAATCTATTAAAGATTGTATATCATCAATACGTTTCCTTTTCTATTTTGTCGTTTAAGCGATGCTATTAAAACGTACCAATACACTCTAGAATCTAGATCATTTGTGTGCGGTTAAAAAAACGGACATTTTGCCTATAGCTAATTAATAAATATATCATTATAGCCAAACATGTACTTTTTAGTAAGTTGTTTCAAGATGGAAATTTGGATATTGTCAGTAACACGTGACGAAAAGTAGAGAATTTCTTCAAAACTGAAGGCATAAATATCTCTTAAGTAATTTATTAGATTTTCTAAGTAAGTTTACGTTTAATTTCTAGTCCAAAACTAGTATTCTTCAACCTCGATATGCTACTGTCACACAATGAATTCCTTTGTATTATAAACAAGGCTTTATAGTTTACATTAGGTAATTGAGGCAAATGCAACAACGTTTGTGACGTGCGTATTGTTACAAAAAGCAGGTATGCCATTTTATATCAGTTTATGTAAGACTGAGGGTGCTATATTAAAACAGAACCGAAAATAAAACATATCACTCAATTCCAGATTTTCTGTAGCCCGAGGGTGATGAACTAATTGATAATTAACTAATCTTTCTACTTCCGGTTGAATATCTGAAGAAATGCTTAAAGATCCTGTATGTTTTGTAATTGATATTGTTACTGAGTGTATACCACACTTGCAAAAAATTATATATGTATTATATATACTATATAATTATGCAAATAAAACAATTTTCAAACATCTAAGAATATGTAAAATGTGTACTGCAAACATTTGTGCATATTATATTTAATCAATAAATTATATGCATTCATTTCTAATTGGAAAATTTGACTTTATTATAGGAAATACATTTCTAATTACCTCCCTTTATTTACATGAAATGTTAAATTAGGTAATATCGTTATAAATAATAATTATTGGAACTTACAATATTGACAGATCTTAATTTTAGCATCATATTTATGAAATAAAACCATGAACAAAAATATGAAACAGGATCTTTAATGGTATTGGAGGGAAGCCTAGATGCCTGTTGTGGTTAATCCGGGAATAGCATAATGGCTATTCCCGGAATAACCTTGACCATTGAAAACGTGTCATTGAATCAGCAATAGTATTCTGTATTGAACATATATTTATTATTATTATTATTTTTTTTTTTTTTTTTATTATTATTATTTTTTATTTTTATTTTATTTATTTTATTTTTTTATTTTAGTGTTTATTTCTAAGATAAACAAATATTAGATGAAAGCAAATTTCATCACACGTTCATTTATTCCTCATGGATCCATATATTTTGTCTATATGACAATTTCATATTTCTCAGCAGTATTAATTATATTATTTTTATTTTTCACATCGTTTCCTAACAGATGTATACATGCAACAATTCCACTTGTACGAATTCTTAAAAGAAAATTTCTCAAGAAATGCTATTCTCCCCATAAGCCATGCCGTTAATTACCAATGATCGCCTTTAATATAAAATTCAAAAACTTATTTAACCTTAACTCATTAAAATTGATACGGCGAAACCGTTGAGCAATAGCATCCATACCATTGCATCATTATTGTCATTCTTATTATTAGTATTATTATATATAATTATTATTACTTTTTTTCTTTTCTTTTTTTTTTGCATTTAGTAATAAAACTCAAAACTGATGCTCACACTCAAGACCATGAATTTGTGCAAATTATGCTGAGGAATTCGGATGGCTTAGTTTTCGGCGTCGATTTCAGTCACTTAATATGTAAATACTTAACTACAGTAAACGTCACATGTTATAATGTAAGAAAACCAAAATCCTAACCTAATGACAGAAAGTCATAGGTTTAAACTACTGCCATTTGAACGATATCTATAAAATTTTAGAAATTATTGCTTGACTTTGAAAATGAAAATTGTGCAACCCGACCCATTAAAATGGCAAATGTTTATTTACAATTAATGTTCCCGCAAATGATGAATGCAGATTTAATATCCAAATAGGCATATTCCCTAGATTTAAACTATATTTAAGAGCAAAACCAAGAGTGATATCTAGTTCATGTTAACTCGAATGTATTGTAATATAGACATAATTTTACATCTCTGGAAGACAGGGGAAATGTTCAAAAAGGTAAAGAATAAATTATATTGTGATGACTAGATGTAAGTGTATCAATAGTCACATGTTTTCCCATTTTAAATCATTAATTGACTTTTCTTTTTCCTGTCTCCCCCCCAATATTTTATTATTATTGTCATTTTATGAATTAAAGGTCCTTGATGTCTTATAACTTAAAAGTACTCGACTGAAGAGATTTTTGGACATGACAGTACTGAAAATATTTTTTTTTTTTTTAATTATCGTATTATTTGATACAGTAATAGATAATTACTAATGTGCAAAATTACAAAAATCCATCACTCCAAGGTATCCGCCCAAGTTTAAAACATTTTCTTACAGTTGCTTTTAAGAATATTTTATGTTAAATACCGACATTTTGTTAATATTCTGCATTTTTGAAGAACTCTTCTGTAATACAAGGAATATATGTGTATTTAATTGATAATGTCATTTTTGTCACAAACAGCATTAGATTAAATTTTAACTATAATTTGTATTTAAAAACAGTGACGTCACCTGTCTATCGGTTAATCTGTATCAACAATTAGCTTTTATTTAGGCATCACAACTTCTGCTGGTTCTACCGACTTCTGTGTTCTGTTCTGGTGCCATTGTCTAAAACATAATGTTGACCAGTCTCTTCAAAGAAAACCTTGACAGCCAGAAAAAACTTGTGACAGGTTAGGTTGTCGTTTGGCATGGCCCAGCAATTTGTAAAAGAAGTAGAATAAAATCAGAATTAAAATGCTGAGTCTACAAACAAATACAAGGTTAACGTATTACGCGTTATCACGACTTATAATGTCTACGAATGACATTACTAACCATTATGAAGCATCCCCACGTGAAAAGTTTAATATATTAAGGGATAGATCTACCTGGACAATCATTCAACATAATTAATGGGTAGATAAAAGTTTCTTTATCAATACTTTATAAACATTAACACAATAACATACTGCCAGGGCATTTATTACACTGTATACTCCACTAGTCACAAGGTATTTGTTACGTCATAAAGTCTAGTGATGACGTGATCAAATAATTTTTGTTTTTATTAGGCTAAATAAACCTACTGCAGTATTGCAAAATAGTATCAACAATGTCTTTAGTAGGATCACTTTTTCTCAGACCTTTCTCTGCCCTTAAGCCTACAGTATCGTAATAGATCTAGATTGTCTAAATCTCGTTGTCGTAATAAAATTTGAAAAATTGGTTTGTAAGATAAATTTAACACAATATTAAAGATAATAAAGAAAGGCAACTCTACCTTCGGCTACTTTAAAAAACACAAAAATGAAGTCTTATTGCCATGTTTGTTCAGAACCGCTACATAATTTTTTCTCCAATATTTTTCCGTGTTAGTTCACGGCAGCTTCTGGAGCTCGGAGACTGGATCGAAAAGGAATTTGCAGAAGCGTGCTCGGTTTATATACCCAGTCTACTAAGCATGCGCGAACGAGATTGAATGACTTGTTAGGAGGAGGAGCCAAATATACAGGTCATTGCAAAAATACTGTGACGTATAGTGTAAAAATAAAGAGTTTAAACTCAAGCGCTTAAACTGAATATTATTGCGCTAGATTCTGGTTTCCTCTTTCTCTTTTCCGAGTCAACCGAAGCCAAAAAAATACATTAGTCATCTGTTTGCTTTGTTTGTCAATCAATCTATCCATTCACCTTTAAATATGTTCAATTTAAATTAGCAAGTCTCCTAAAGCATGCCACATCTCGAATCTATCCGTCATCTTAATACACATTCACAGTAAATTAAATATAGAAATAAAATAAATCAATAAAAAAGACCAATCAAACTATGGATTACTTGAAATTGGACGCTTGAAAACTTGAAAAAAATAAGAACTCTTTTTACAAACGGGTAGGACTACTTACATAAAAGAAAACGAAGTGTCACAATGCTACAATTTGATAATTGTAACCCTCGTTACGTATTACAAAATTAATGTGCAAAAATATTTTCCATTTCAGAATTCAAAGAGGCATTTAGTTTGTTTGACAAGAATGGTGATGGCACGATCTCCTCCAAGGAACTTGGAATAGTAATGAGAGCCTTGGGTCAGAATCCCACGGAGGCGGAGCTTACCGATATGATTAATGAAGTAGACGCCGACGGTAACTTTTAATATGCGTATAATATTAAGATGATATTTGTTTAAACTTGTGAGAATGGCACTGAATATATTTCAAATTAACTAGGTGATTTAGTATTATTCCTAAATAATTTAGAATTATCCCTAAACCGAAGGGTAAATTTTCCTTTTTGTCTTATCGACGCTTGTAACAAAATGTAGATTTTGGACACATATATTATGTTCCTGTGAAGATTTAATTTTTGGTCATGAAGACTCTTGTAACATAATGTTGACGTAATTCTTGGTCATTTGAATTCTTGTTTCACAAGGAAAGAGACGAGATATACCGAAAGAATTTTCACGAGCTCTTTATTAACACCATCAACACAATGAAAATACCACTTTTCTAATGGAACCCTCTCTTTTTCTTATTTTCACAATGCTGAGAATGCCAAAGAGCAGTGTGGCAATAGAACTACTATTATTAACTGTCAGTTACATCAACGTGTTGCTCTTTTCATTTCAATAACCTAAACCAAATTTTCAATGACAATAATGTATACTTTAAATCATTGTTCTACAGGAAATGGTACAGTAGATTTCCCAGAATTCCTTACAATGATGTCCCGGAAGTTGAAAGACATTGAAAGCGAGGACGAATTACAAGAAGCTTTTAAGATATTTGATAAGGACGGTAATGGACTTATAAGTGCCTCGGAACTTCGTCACGTGATGACAAATCTCGGAGAAAAGCTGAGTGACGAGGAAGTAGACGAGATGATACGAGAAGCTGACTTAGACGGAGACGGTCAAGTTAATTATGGAGGTAGTGTTAACATAATAACTTGAGACAAACAAACATAATATGACATACATGTACCTATAAGGAACAATTATTTTATGTGCAGCTATTATAATTTTTTCTGATTGTGTATCTCTTTTACATTTTAATTGCCTATTTCAGAGGAGGTTATTTAAGCATTAAATGTAATTTTGTTTGCCTTTTTCAGAATTTGTTCAGATGATGACTAGCAAATAAAGAGGACTTGTTTCATTTCAAATTGTAAGTAGAAGTTGTTTTCCGATGTTTTATGGTAAACAAAAGCAAAAAAGATAAAATGTTAGGTGATAAAATGTGACATGACACGTCACTTATTCATTCCTTTTTTTCCTTTTTACTATTCTTCTTCTTCTTTTTCTTCTTATTCTTCTTCTTCTTCTACTACTACCACTACTACTACGACTAAGACGACCACGACGACGACTACGACTACTACTTCATTTTCTTCTTTTTCTTCTTTTATTTCCTTTTTCTTCCTTTTTCTTCTTTTCTTCCTTTTTCTTCTTCTTCTTCTTCTTCTTCTTCTTTTTCTTCTTCCTCTTCTACTGTCCCTGAATTTGTATATACATTAAGTTCAGACTAAGAAATATATGTGTGTTTGTGGGACATTACGACGTTTTAAGCTTAATTTCTGAACACATCTAAAATCAATACTGAATAGTTTTTAATATTACTTACAGTTTTAAAATTTTAAAGCAAATACATAAGTTTATATTTGATGACTAAAATACTAAAATAATTCGTTTATCAAAAAAATACATAAAGGATATTGCAACCTTTAATTGCAAAAATAAAAACATTCTTACACATGAATGTATAGTATATTATTGTTTATTTCAGATCATTTCATGGGTGGTTGTTTTGACATGTTAAAGAAATGCTTTAAAAAATGGGAAAATGTGATAAGTGCCTTGCTCATCTCCACAGTAAACTTAGTGCTATTGACAATGATTAAAAGCGGCATAACTCTAATTTCACACACATTTCTATAATAGATGGATTGTCGCCCCTGTTTTTCATTTTGTTTTATATTTATTAGTTCTTTTTCCAAATCGCGTTTAACCTATCTTAAACATGCTTTTGCATAATAATTGCTTCTTATGCTTTGTCACCTAATTAATTACGATATTTTAGATTAAATTTGTTAAATTTGAGATTGAAGGATGGTACCTGTCTTTCAGATATAAGATGAAACAATGAAAATAAATCGTTTTGTATATACCTTGTGTTTCCTTTTACTTTGAATATTGATATACACTGTAAAAACTATTGAGAGATGTGTAGTTTTGGATAGATGTTGGGATAACATTTGAAATATCTCACGTGACACAAAATGGCGGTTGAAGAACGACTTGTTAATAACATAACTCGTATACGACCTGTGTATGCCACTGACACGCTTAAACCCATAACCTGCCGGAACCGGAAGTGATTTGCCTTTGCCAACAGTATATAGCCAGGCCAGCCTGAACATTCGTGCAGCCTGAACAGGCTGTATACTGTTGGCGTACCATCATCAAATTTTCATCTTGATGTCCCAAAATGATAACTGAATGTTCAAAAAATGTAAGCTCGACAAGTCCATTAGAGAATTCGGCAATGTCGTCTGACCAGGCTCTATACTACAAAAAACCAGTGGTGACATTTCAAGTTCTTGAATCCTCGGGTTCATCTTCACAATTTCAACTTCATAAATTTACAATTTCAACATAAAGAATTCACGATCTCTTTTTCATGAATTCAAGATTTCATAAATCGGGAATTCGTGAAGTTAAAATGTCCCCACCGTACTTTACTGTTGGTACTTCATTTTTTTCCTTATTTCGATACTTGAAGTCCATGAATAACATGAATAAATTGTTCCAAATTCAAGAGTCTATCACACAAATTCATCAGATCTATAAGGGGTTACAAAATTTAGAAGTCCCCTGTGCTTGTTTACACAGTCACAGCTACATAGTATAATTAGTATTGAAAACTTTTATCGTAAATGTCAGAACAAGCATACAAAATGTAAGATCAATGTTACAAAGTAATCAACATTTTCAAATACATGTTGCGCTCTTTGCGATTGGCATATGTTTCAAATGATAATATTTCAATTCAGCAATATTTATGGTATCTTAGACTAATCGCTTATCATTTATTTTATTTATTTATTTATTTATTTATTTATTTATTTATTTATTTATTTATTTATTTATTTATTTATTTATTTATTTATTTATTTATTTATTTCATATGAATATGAATCGGACAACTACAGGCGGATTCAAAATTTGCACATAAATAAAAGTTTTCAAAGAAAAAACTTAAGAAGTAGAAAACTGAAATGTGGAAATAAGATGAAGACTCCTCCTTTTGCAACTTGCTTTCACGTATTATAATTTTATCCTGTATCTTTGATTAGATTAGAAACCAACAAAAATCATGCATACATTTGTAATCTTATCTATGGTTACATGTGTATAAACAATTAATTATTCCATTGGTTGTCGACTGTCAGTACGTAATTATTTATAATGTAATATTTTTTTCTTTTATCAAGCAAAGATTTATTATCCTGCTATACAAACAAATAAGGATTAAAGCATAATTTTATTAAACGATAAAGTCATGCCATTCTAAACATGTGACTTAGAAGTAATTACTTTTACATTACTCGCGTGACATGACACGTTTACCTAAAATGAAAGGAGGTCTTATCGTAATCTTTTTCATCTATCTATTTGTTACCTTCTCCAAAAGATAAACCCCGTATTAAATGCAAATAAAAAATGTTTTTAATTAAAGAATTGTATACAATTACGACAGAAATCCGTTGTGGATTATGGACGTAAAATCACGCTTGATTAAGGGATTTGGTATTTTTCTTTAGAAAGACAGCTTTCTTTTGAGAAAATGCCGTTTGTAGACTACGAGTTTCCGGTAAGTTTGTAAGATTTTACAGAAGTTTTGTTAGAGTTGAGGTGTGGAACTTTTCTGCCTTTTTTCCCAAAAATATTGGATACGCATTGTATAAAGAATAGAGAATTATTATCATCATCTGAAAAACATAAGTAAAATGCCGAGAAGGGTAGCAAAAGTGCGAACAAAATGGGTTAATCCGTACAAAATACCGAAATGGGCAAAAATGGTAAGTTTTCAAAAAATTTCGCTTGTTGAAATAAATGCTATATTTTTTTTAAAGAAATTAAGAGATTTCCAATATTTTGTTTAATAAAAGATTTACATTTTATTTAATAAGAGATTTCCATTATTTTTACGAATTCGAATATTGCTTACAAAATTGATAAAAAATACATATGACGTATTCAACTTTTGTTAAATGTTAACAAGTAATTTGAGTGTTATATAGGCAATAATATTGTATTTCTGCGTGCACTAAATGGTTCGATGCTCTACTGATGTAATGCTACTCGTATCGCAAACGTAGTACAATAAAACATTTAGATTCATCATACTGACACTAGCTTGGTTCCGGGCACCTTGTAATGAAACTATTGTTCATGTAGTACCATTTTGTTTCTTGAAAATGATATTAAGTAAAGCGCCCCGGTCATTGATTGAACCTTCCTGTCTACCATTTCCGTCTCCATTGCGGTTAACGATCTTCTTACATCTTCCATTTTTAGAACTGTTTATTATCAATTTGGGGAATATCAAGAAGAATTTTAAAATTTATCTGCTAACCCTATTAAGCTTGGTCAAGCTTCACAGATTGGCATGCTGACCTTACTCTTTGCTTTGTAATTAATTAAAGCGAGAAAGGGGTTCGATGTGGTGTGCATTTTATGTAATTCTGCTATAATATAAAGAACAAGGGTGCTAAGCGAAAAACAATCACGTGAAATGAGACATGATGGGTAGATAGATTGACATTAAAGGAGCTCTTCTGATACCCAAAAGCCTAAAATGATTAAATGAATTGTAAACTGAATCGCCATAAACGGAATGTTCTGCAAACGATAATAATGAAGTCGTTGTTAAACAGTCACTACATGTTTTTTTTTAATATTTCAGGCAGAATCATTAAGTGAAGAGCAGTTAAATGGTAAGATAGTTGTTACTCATCTATATTTATTTATTTATTTATTTATTTATTTATTTATTTATTTATTTATTTATTTATTTATTTATTCATTCACAGGAACTTGAAATTCTATCAAATAACCAATATTAATTATAATATCCAAATATACCCCCTATATACTATAAATAAACAGTATACGAGTATAGGGGTGTATTTTGCATATTATCGTTAAAAGTGATAGAATTTCAAGTTCCTGTGATTCATTCATTCATTTGTTCATTCATTCATTCATTCATTCATTCATTCATTCATTCATTTTAATACATTTTTATATGTATGTAAGAAATAGATCTAGATACATTAAACTCTAAAAACAATTTTTGTTAAAATATGGATACGGGTTGAGTCACCACAATAAGCAACGGATTATAAAAGCATATTTCATGAAATACACAAATAGTCTGATGAATATTTGCAATTTTAAAATAATAATAGCATCATAATTAAGTGTACTTTAAATATTTCATTCCAAATGCTATTTATATTTGTATGTATTCAACAAATATTGTTTTCTTTAATATTTTTTACATACTAGTGCATAAAGTTGACTAAACGTTAAAGATCACAGGAATATAGGTATACTAGTAGTAACGGCGGCTTAAAAGCGAAATTGCTTTTAATAGTCCAGTCAATTTGTGAAAAAATACTTCAGAAAATGGGAAAAGCACCAAACTTGGTACAAATGAACTTTGATATATATAAGAAAAATTGAGCATGGGACCCATTTTTTAAAATCCAATATGGCGGGAAAAATCCAAAATGGCCGCCATACGTGTAAATTTTTTAAAAACGCTTGCTTTTACTAAGAGAACTTCATAGATAGCTGCATATTAGGGTATTGTAATCAGAAAAATAGTTGTTATTAGTATTTAAACATTGCTTTGTCTTTTTAAAGCTATTACACTTAACATATTTATTATTTCTGTTTGTCATTAGTTTTCACGACCCTGGAAATCAGATGAAATAAATATTAATTTTAGAGGTCTGTCATCGCTGTCTCCTAGAAATGTTAAGACATCATTTTTTACATTATTCCTTTTTGTTAACAATGTTAATTTATCACAAGGAAATACTTATCAAACATATTAAACAAAAGTATTTAAAAATTCTAGCATAACTCAAGCAAACGAAAATTAAATATCTGCCCGTCAAGTCAGGTGCACGCCTTGCAATTTTATCTTGTTGATCGCTGTGAAAGGGATTAAGCAAAGAATGTGTGAATAACAGAATTATAAGCTAACATGTGTTAAATTTTAACAGTCATTTGTTATTAGAATTGTCATATCATAAAAATATGAAACTTTATAAAAGTGCATTTTTTAGAATATGTAAAAGAAAAAAACGAAAACCTGGTAGACATAATTATATAATGTACATTTTGTCAAAGCAGAGATGTAGATGTTATCTATGTCTCTGGTCAAAGTATGCGTTACAGAAAATAAATTCATTCTTAACTATCCCTTTTCTTCATATGAACGATCATGACTGTCCATTTGTTGTATAAAAATGGAATGATAATTTTGTAGAAATTTGCAGTTTACAGGCTCAGATTTTGACACACCTTTGATGAAATAACTGCTTTTAAACACTACACATTGGTTTTCGATTGATTATCTGCTAACTTGACACCAACTTTCAAGACTAATTTTTAAGTTAGAAGTTACACTAACTCATTATTGTAAATAACATCAACCGTTCTTTACCTTCGGGGGTGTATCAAAAATTGATACAATACCCCTCTTCCTTCTTTAATGCCACAACCACCCTTAATTATATGTCAAATTCCATTTTGGTGTCCCTAAGGGTGCCCTGTGCTACAAAATTTTATATTTAATATCTGGGTTTCATGACTTTTGGCCTCCGTTTGCAATCATGTTGTCTCATATTTTTTAACAAAATTCCAAAAGGCATGTTCTTACATTTTTTTTATTTTTAGACATTACAAATTCAATAGCCCTTTATTATGACGACTCGGCATTTCCGCGCTATAATCAGATCAAGGAAAACAATGGACAAACGTGCTAGATAATTTGCCATATCTTGACACTGTTTTTCTTCTAAGGGCCTCAAATGTTTGTAAGATTCAAGATACGTCACCACGTCTAAGGTTTAGAACGAATGGGACAGACATTGAAAATAATATAAGTACGCCTTGCTGCCCATAAAACATCAGATACCCTTGGGTATTTCTCTCTTAATTCTGACAGCTCTTGGTCATGCTAATGAACAGACTTTGTGATGAATGTGTTGTGTTTTATTATTGAGAGTATCTGTCACTATAGAGTCAATAGGTAAAATCAAACTCAAATTATTACGTGAAAACTGAGTTTATTTTTTAAGCAACAGTGATCTTTACCTTGTGCACACACACCTTGGTAGCAATACAAAGTTGCACCTTGATATACGCTACCAACATACTAAATCTGATGTCAATAGGCCGAAGCAAACTCAAGTGATTTAGCGGAAACTGAATTTCTATTTTTGTGCAACAGTGACCTTGACCTTAATCACAGACACCAAGGTAGCAACCCCAAGATGTCTCTTGATAAAGCTATCATTACACCAAGTTTGTTGTCAATAGGCCAAAGCAAACTTGAACTATTGCGCGAAAACTGAATTTCTATTTTTAGCAGCAGTGACCTTGATCACAAACACATGGGGAGCAATCCCAAGCTGCCTCTTGATATAACGTACCCAAACACACAAAGTTTGGTGTCTATAGGCAAAAGCAAACTCAAGTTGAGCGGAAACCAAAAGTTGATGTCCGCTCACCTGCCCGCCTGCCGATTTCGACATCACAATTACCGGTTTGTTTTTGTTGAAACCTGGTTAACAAATGTTTATGACTTAACATTTTCAGGACTGCATTCCATGAACGCTGGTCTCTGTTGTATTCATATTTTGAGATTCCTGTGATTGATTAAACATGTTAAGTCACGGTTGCTATTGTTATCAAATCTTAGGCTGTCAATCCTTTCAGGACTTTGTTTAACATAAACTTCAGATAAAGTCTTACCTCAGATAGACTTCCGTCAACTAGAGAGATACTTGATATTTATCCCCCGCCGATGGAATCGGGAGGGGGATATTGTTTTGGCGTTGTCCGTCTGTCCGTCCGTCCGTCCATCCGTCCGTCCGAATTTCGTTTCCGGAGTAGTTTTCTGCAACTACTGGCTGGAATTCAACGAAACTTTATGGGAATCATCAATATCAAGATGTGATGCGCATCTGACCGTCCGTCCGTCCGTCCGAATTTCGTTTCCGGAGTAGTTCTCTGCAACTACTGGCTGGAATTCAACGAAACTTTATGGGAATCATCAATATCAAGAGGAGATGCGCATATCGTCAGCTTGTTTCGGTCAGACCCTTTAACTTAGAGTTATGGCCCTTGATAAGTTATGTAGAATGCATATAGAGTAAAATTTTGTTTCCGGAGTAGTTCTCTGCAACTACTGGCTGGAATTCAACGAAACTTTAGGGGAATCATCAATATCAAGAGGAGATGCGCATATCGTCGGCTTGTTCTGGTCAGACACTTTAACTCAGAGTTATGGCCCTTGCTTAGTTATGTAGTATGCATATAGAGTAAAAATCGTTTCCGGAGTAGTTCTCTGCAACTACTGGCTGGAATTCAACGAAACTTTATGGGAATAATCAATATCAAGAGGAGATACGCATATCGTCGGCTTGTTCCGGTCAGACACTTTAACTCAGAGTTATGGCCCTTGATTAGTTATGCAATATGCATATGGAGTAAAAATCGTTTCCGGTGTAGTTCTCTGCAACTACTGGCTGGAATTCAACGAAACTTTATGGGAATCATCAATATCAAGAGGAGATGCGCATATCGTCGGCTTGTTCCGGTCAGACACTTTAACTCAGAGTTATGGCCGTTGATTAGTTATGTAGTATGCATATACTTTTTTATAGAGTAAAAATCGTTTCCGCACTACTTCTCTGCAACTACTGGCTGGAATTCAACGAAACTTTATGGGAACCTTCAATACCAAGAGGAGATGCGCATATCGTCGGCTTGTTCCGGTCAGACACTTTAACTCAGAGTTATGGCCCTTGATTAGTTATGCAGTATCCATATAGAAAAATATTTGTTTCCTCGCTACTTCTCTGCTACTACTGGCTGGAATTCAATGAAACTTTATGGGATACTAAGAGGAGATATGCATATAGTCGCCTTGTTCCAGTCAGATACTTATAACTCAGATTTATGGCCCTTGATTAGTTATGTAGTATGCATACATCTCATTGGCATCTCCAGATTTTACTATTTAACACAAAGTTATGGCCCTGTTATTGCCCTGAATATTTATCAAGTTCAAAGAATATTACTGTTTATGCCATGATTAATATATAAATAAAGCCTTATGTCCTCAGTTGTTGTGTTAATAATAACCAGTACTCGGCGGGGGATATAAATTCAACGAATTTGCTTGTTATAATGCATGAAATAGGACACTCAGCATCACCCATAGAATTTCAATATTCATAGATCTTGCAAAGCGCAAAAACTAAGATTTAATATTGAATGTTAATGATGAAATTTGAAAAAACCTTTAAGGAATACGCAGGCAAATTAATGACAATACCAAAATTATCTTATGTACTCAAATCACGCTAAAATGACATTTGTAAAAGTCCAAGAATAAATTTTGGTATCAATTCTATTTATTTTGAGTTTGAAGCGTAAATATGAACAAAGTTTAGCCGCCGGCAGAATCCTCGATGACTGTCAAGTGTACATGTATATATTTTTTGAGGATTAACAGTTTAATGAATGAAAAAAATCAAAGCGAAGAAATGAAAATGTTGCCTGTGTCTCCCTTTAAAAACATGAATATAAATATTTGGGTTATATCTTTAAGGTTTTAATCACTCCCAAATTGGCTTATGGATTATCCAACATGAAAGTGGTGTTACATTTAATAGATCTGAGAGCTCAATGCCTACAGGACCGTGTGTGTATTCTATGCCTAATAAGGGTCAATCCATCCTTTCCTATATATAACCTTGGATACATATGCTTTTGTTCTTTCATTTTCATAGTATCATAAGATTTGTTTAACATGGAATTTAGGTAATATTTGGTGCTAGCAAAATATTGTTGATTGAGCTGAAGGAAATATAAAATAATAATGGAATAATTATGTTTAATCATTCTATTCTGTTTGTAAATTATGTAAATTCAGACATTACAATTTGAATACTTCTTATATAGTACATTGCTCACAATCTACACATAAAGCATTTAAGGCATTATATCTCATAGGTATTTGCCATGATCGTCTACTTAGGATTACAACAAATAAATTGATTATGAGAAAATAATCAAAAAATATTTCAAAGTACTGAAATAGACTTTTTTGTAATTTCAGTAACTTGTTACCATAGAAATAGCAACAATTAATAGCATTATAACTGTAAACTAGTATCTTTGATTATTAGTAATGCAAATATCTGATGTTAAGTGTAAACTGGGGTAATTTCCAGTATAACTGTAACTATAAATAGCCTCTACTGGAATAGAAAGGTGATAATTCCATGTAATGGCGGCCATTTTGAAAAATGGCTGCCATGGCAACCATCTTGGCATATATAAAATGGGTCCCATGCCCAAAATGTTTCTTTTGCTTTTATTAACATCTGTGCCAAGTTTCATGCTTTTCCCATTTTCTGAAGTATTTTAGCATATTTTGTTACAAATATTAATTGACTTGACTATAATGTATGCTGCACGGTATGATCCGAGTAAATCCGTAATGTTTCAGATGTGTAAATGTGATGAAAATGGAATAATTGCAGTTGATCTTAAAGATCCTGTATGTTGTAATTAAGGCTGTTACCACACTTAAGTGAAATTATATATATGTATATAATTATGCTTCTAAAACAATTATCAAACATCTAAGAATATGTAAAATATGTACTGCAAATATCTGCCACATTATATGTAATCAATAAAATATATGCATTCATTTCTTATTCAAAAATTTACTTAGACTTTATAGAAAATAAATTTCTAATTACCTCCCTTTATTAACATAAAATGTAAATTCGTTTATACTTTACAAATAATGCTATTTGGAACCTACAATATTGATAAATATTCATTTGCGCAATATATTTATGATATAAAACCATACAAAAATTGAGTTACAGGATCTTTAAATGTTTGAATTCACCTTTAACTAATGTCATGTTTCATATATAAATACTTTCTATCCGTTTGAATATAATCACGTATTTTATAAACTGAAATGATAAATAAGAAATATAACCATTATTTATCGAGTTACGTTGTTAATGTTGTTTATGTTAATGTTGTTTGTGTTAATGTTGTTTATTTTAACGTGCAGAATTTCGGGAAGCGTTCAGTTTGTTTGACAAAGATGGAGATGGAAATATTACCGCAGATGAATTAGGAACAGTGATGCGGTCATTGGGACTAAGGCCAACTGATGAGGAACTTCGAAAAATGATGGCCGAACTAGACGTTGACAGTGAGTTATTTACAAGTAAAATATACATGTAGACACTCTCTGTGTGCAACCAGTCACTTTTAAATGTATAAGTAAAATTACAATGTTGTGACAAAGATTGTACATATTTTTTCTTAGAAATTTGAATATCATTTGACATTTTCTCAGTTGTCTAGGCAATTTCTGCATGCTTTCCGATTTAAAAATAGATATATGACACAATAGTAGGCCTATTACTATACGTCCGTCCTGGAAATATAAATAAGTTGCCTAAAATCTTTTCTCACTGGGTATGTATATGCCTTGTGGATGAAAATGGAAAGCTATTAGCAGACGACAATGAAACTGAAATTTTAAGAGCATAAGAGCAGGATAATATATTAATATATAGTGAGCAAAAGTATAGATATCACCAACATTAACATTTTAGAAATTATCTTATCACACAATATACATGAACATGAGAAAGAATTTTCAATGTAGACCTGTTTTTTAACGTTTCAGAGAGTGGAACGATAGATTTCCAGGAGTTTCTTACGATGATGGCAAATAGGCTCAAAGAAAATGAAGAGGACGGTGACATCAAAGAAGCATTTAGGGTAATACCTCTTATCTTACGTGTACATATATATACATATCATTGGTATTTAGATAGAATTAGATTTTCGGTACATTCCGTCAGGCTAGGGCGCGGTGATCCGAGCGCCATGAAAGGAAACGTTATGTATCTGCAACTGTTGTCCAACACCTCTAATCATTATTTCTTCATAAATGTAAAATTGATTATTATTAGTGTTGTGGTTGTTGTTGCTGCTGCTGTTGTTGTTATTAATATCAGAACACACATCACTTCAGGTCTTGGACAAACAGAAGCATGGTGCAATAGGAGCAGACGACTTGAAAAGTGTTATGAGTAAACTGGGAGAAAACTTGACAGACGAGGAAGTCGCTGAAATGATTAAGGAGGCCGATATTGATGGCGACGGACAGATCAGTTTCGAAGGTAATGTTGTTGTTTTTTTTGTTGTTTTTTTTGTAGGGATGTATTTCTTCTACGCGTGTTATGGTAGTTTCTTTGCACAAATCAAACCCCTGTATAAAAGTTTACCCGTATGCAGTTACTAAACTTGGCTGTTTAGACGAACTTGCAAAATTTGATGCGTATATTTTTAATGTTATACATTACTTTAATATGTTATACATTGTTTTTGTACTTTTACAACATTTTCTAACATTTAATTATAAACTTATGATATCAAATGCATATTTTACTTAACACGTCTGCATTTCAGTGAGTAGTGTTTTTTTATCTAATTTTACGTTTTTTAGGACAATTAACTTAAAAAAAAGAACACTGATAATATTAACCCGTAATTTCTGCTTTCAGAGTTTGTGCAGATGATGCAAAATAACACAATATAAGAGGTGTCCATCTTTAATAAAGTGGTGTTCATTTTGATGAAGAGGTGTTCATTTTTATAAGGAGGTGTTCATTTTTGAAAAAAGACACGGAAAGTTCGCAAACATAGCCTTTTTCAGGAGTACACATTTGTCGGTTAAGGAATACTGTAGAACTATAGGATGTGGTTCAAAACTTTTATATGCCATATTATCCGTGTATTTGTATTGTTTAACCTTTGACCTCATTTTCATCACTGGTTAGATTAATGAAGTTTGTACAATGTTGAGAAGTTGTCATTTCACAAGTATAGTTTATGTTTTCTCATTTACGTTTTCTTGTCTTCATATTTGAGAATACCATCTTTAAAAAAAAAATCTTTTCTTGAAAATATAAATAGCATTATTATTTGTGTTCGTTTGTATATTTTTGTCGTCTGCTTTTTATGGTAAATGAATTAAAGTATTAAATTGTTTTCAAACACATTGTTAGTGAGTGTATATTTCTGTGCAGTCTGATCAGGCTCTGTACTGCTGGCTGTACCAACTTTTTTAATTTTGATATCCCTAAAATTGATAATGGACAGTTCTAAAATTGGAAGCTGGACGAGGCCATTTGGGAAATTCAGAAGGTTAATGTTTAAAATTTTAACTGACCATAACCCCGGAAAAAAACATAGAGACTAAAAGATCCTTGATGCGTAAGCATTTAATTCTATTTATTACGAAAGACCGGTGGGGACATCGCAACTTCGTGAATTCCCGATTTCATCTTCGTGCGTTCACGATTTCAACTTCACGATTTCATGAAGAGTGAATTCGTGAAGTCTATATGTTAAAAAAGTGAATTCACGAAGTTAAAACAGTGAATGCACGAGGTTGGAATCGGGAATTCGTGAAGTTGAATGTCCCCACCGGTCTTTCGTACTTATTTCCTTTACTTCTATCCACACACCTTAATGTACGTGTTATATAAATATGCACCGATGTATCTATTTTAAAATCTTAAACTTAAATTTTAAACTACTCAATAAGAACTTAATTAAAACAATTAATATAAACTTAGCCGAGCATAAAATGAGCCTATGTCTACATTAAACCTTATAATATGGTGCATATTCATTAATATTATATCTAACAGTTGTATATTGATAATTATGACGGTACAAAACAATTATCTTTATATGCAATAATTTCAACGTAATTATTATGATTGAACACATGGCTTTCGTAAACAAAAATTAGGAAAACTTTGAATTAAATTTTAAACAATGCAAACTTTCAGAATATTTTAAGTTCAGCGTGCTTTTTAAAGAGGCTGTCTCAGATTTTTATCAGAATACTACATTTCAACCATGATGAAAAACCAATCGCACTTTTCTGATTTTAGGTGTTTGTTATCATCGGCACTACTATTACTATCAGGATTTTATTAGATTGCAAAATTTACAGTCGTCTTCATGAAATGAAATACAAACTGTAATGTAAGTCAGCCTCTTTAACAAGTTTGATATCACTTCAATTATAGGTTCGTGTAATGTCGGCATATTTCGCAACTTTTCATGCTTTATATGACACAATAACGCTTTGATCTGACCAAAAGCAACTATAAACTTTTCAGCGTCAGCTAAATGCTTTTTTATTAATTTTAAGTTGCATTTTAACAAATATGAAAATACTAAATGCAAACGGTAAACAGTATCGCATCAAATAAGACTGCTAGCACGTACAGCATGGTACCCGGCTTCCTGTTCTGACGCGGTGAGGATCTCCCCGTTGATTGGCTTTAAGGGAAAACTTAAGATTAACCCAATCAAACCAAGTATTACCAATAATAAGGTTACCTGAAGATAATATAAGTCCTCACCAGGCTATTAAAGTATTCAATATGAATATACACAATTGCGCATGTTCAGGCTCGTGTCCATAAACGTTTCTGACAAAGTCTATGCCTTAAATCCTGTGCAACTGACCACATTACTTTCCAGCTGAGTCATGGTAAAAAATAATATATTAATTTAAAAAAAAGAAGAAGATCTATTATTACAATTATTATTTGTCCTATTATGTTCTATAACACTGAAATGGTACAGTTCTGTTTCTTTCATAGGAAACTCGTGGCGTCTGGATGTCGTCAATGAATATACTGTAATTTTTATCTATATAAATCTAAAACAATAAAAGCATTCATTTTTCTGACGTAATATGAAGTAAAATTATAGCAAAACCTTCAAACATAGGCTCATCTTGAAAATGGGAAAATTGGTCTTTGCTGACCGGTGGTTTCTCGATACAGGCCATTTTATACATAATTGTTCACATGTTGAAAAAGAAAAAGATTTTGTGCATTTAAAAAGTATTGAGAATTTAATTTGCATGCAAGACATTTGAATATCCTGACTTAGGTTTGAAGCCTTATGTGGCAGACTAGATTTGAATTAATTATAAGTTACTTGCGGTCAAACTAATACCAAGTTGAAACCTTATATGGGATACTAGTAATTCGTAATTGCAGAATATTTAATTAAAAGTAATTTCACTGAGAACCAAGCATGACAGACTTCAAGTAATACTATAAGTATCAGCAGACGATAAAATTAATGATCATAAAAATTGTTATAAATTGCCTATTAGCCTGTTCTAAATACTCGCGAAAATAACACAGCGCAAATTTTCTAGGTTGTACAGTATATCGCGATGATAGGGCATGTCAATCATTAATTTAATTCTTAAATATCATACACATCAAAGGTCCGTTTTATCAGTCTGTATTCCAGACGCCTTATATTTCACCTGATTCGACGTTACCGCACATATCGTTCTAATAAATAATAAAAAAAACAACCAAGCTTTTTGCATAATGACTATATCTCAATGAATACGTTGAATTAAAATGGCCAAATCACGGGCTTGAAACCCTGTATACCCCTGCCTTATTATATCTTTTCATTAATATTACATTCATAACTTTAACCCCGTTTCGTCAATTTAAAATTCAACCCACTTTGTCGATACTAAAATTTTCAATTTAAAACAAAACAAAAATACGATACATTCAACTACTTAAATTTAATACCGTCTCTGTATCTGTAACGGGGTTTTACAAACTTTATACAATCGCACGGTAAATAAGAGCACGGTTCGTTAGAGTTCTTGTTTGCAGGCAGATTTTATTTGAATGTTATCTTGTCTGTAGGTATTTGGAAACTCATGATATACAATGATGGAGGTCAAAATGATTGCCAATCTATTTACAAAGCGTAAACCTTCGCATAAGCTGATTCAAATATCATTGGAATTATTTATAAAGATAAATTCATAAGATAAAAACATGTTGAACTAGTGCCTATATTGGCATGATTTTACAATTAGGAAATGTGTGGAAAATATTATTAAAACTGTATATACGTTTTATTTTTTCTCTCTCCGAAGAAAAAAATAGGATTTTGTTTTGTTTACAAAATATGATGGATATTTGAAATATAAAAATGGTAGGTACATGTATATAGTACCGCTTGCTATATTTATGCGAGAAAAATATCCTATCTTGCGCATACCTGGAGATAAAAATTTAATAAAAAAGTCGGAGTATAAAATATTAACACGCATTGAAACGCTTAACATTGTTTTTGCTGATTCTAACTTAGAATATCAATTGATTCGAGTGTTTTGCATAGGCTTTGTATTTGACGAAGTAATATGTTTATTGCGCACAAAGTGTAGGTACTTTACAAACGCAAAAACGCATATGTAAATTGTACATAAATGTAGACAATGCATTGATAATTATCATTATTTTTGTTTGCACGATTATATTTGATGTGAAAAAAGGAAACTTTCAATCAGTGTATACACGTATTTTATTATTATTGTTTTTAGTAAATGGTTTTCTACGTGTAAATTCCATAAACTCAATGTGAAATGAAACGTAATATTCAGTGCAAGTTATTGTAGTCTCTCTATATATAGTGACCTAACTTTTAGTATATGTTATAAAATCTTTTGTTAACACCATGACAGCAATGTTTTAGATTCTTGAACATTTTAAATACTTAAACTTTTTCTGTTACAGATATTATACACGTGCATATTAAATAACAATGTCGTGTCCTGAATGCTAACAGTCAAAATAGCACAAATAGTTTACACTATCGTATCGGCACCTTCTGATTCAATGCAGTTCCTTCAATGAGTAAAATATATATAAAAAATTCTCCCCTCGTTAAAAGATCTAACTAATTAATGACAATTCATGTGGTATGAAATCTGATTAAATTCCGCGCAATCCGTTCATTATCACTTCTGACTGATTCAGTCACCTTGATTAGAAATAACAGCATGGAGTTCTCGCGTAAAATTCGAGAAAATCGATAAGAATTTAAGTTTTACACGCTCAATAAATTCTATATGAAACAATAGCTCCCTGTTGTATTATAGTTTGGAGACCTTTCTGTACAAATCAGGTGGCCTCGTGTTTCGATGCTCTTTCTATTACTTTGAATATTACGTCGTGTTGTTTTCTTTTTCCGTTTTGAAGATTGTACTGGAAAAAGCGAATGTACGGAGTTTATTCAGTGCCACGCATCTGTTATGTCTTGTAAGACTTTTCCTGCGATAAAATGATTACTGTTATCAGTTTCTTACTTCTTTGACTTGAATGTACTGAAAGGATAACGTAGAAAGTTTATGATATGATAAATTTGTTTATTGTCCTATTAATCAATCAGCGTTTCACTGACATATTTATAGTACGCGTCATTAGACTATTTGACATTCAGGCCATGCATTTTGAGGCCTTTGGTTCACAAGCTACCATGCGGGCCTACGGTCCTTCAGACCTAGGCCCATATGTCAGTATGTGTTTGTAGAACTAGCTCCGTATGTCATTTATATGCCATTTAAGGTCACTGCACCTCGAGCTGTAAGTCATTATGTGCTTGTAGCTTACTTTGCGCCAAACTCCCCGCAGCTGTTATTCCCCTGCGCTTGTAAAACTAGGTCCGTTTCTCAATGTATGCGCTTTTTGGACAAGGTTTTTATGTCGTTTTCATCTTGTTGGGCTACGCTCATTTGTCATTATGTGCTTTCAGAACTAGGTCTATAAACGACTATGGGCTTGTAGACTAGATCCGTGTCTCACTTTGCGCTTTTATGACAAGTATATATGTCACTATGAGCATGTGCAACTAGATCCCTATATGCGCTTTTAAAGCAATATCTGTATGCCACTATGAGCTTTAAGACGTAGATCCGTATATTATGATATCGAAGAACATGGTTTATATGTCGTTTATATGTGTTTTAGGGGCTTAATTCCTTTGCATTTTGCACTCACATAAGCTCACTTTGTGTTTATAGAAGGACACCATGGCCACTGGTCATTATGTCATTTTGCGTTTCTTCCAGGACACAGTGATTTCATATGTCATAATGCGCGTCTTTAAGGAATTTACTTTTAGAGCATACGGTCTTTGAATTATTATGCTCTTTTCCTACCTACTGTCCACCGATCGGTATCAACTATGAAATCAAAGGGAATAGTACAAAGCTACGGAATGCCGTTAGGGCCATCGCCTATGAATGGTTTGATCTGAAACATGATACTCGAAAGTACGATGATGAAAACACGAAATCACGAAACCACGATGGTGAAAACGCGACAGTACGATGATGAAAACACAACAGTACGATAACGAAAACGCGATAATACGACAGTACGATGATGATAATACAATTAACTATCGTGTTTTCATCATCGTACTTTCGCGTTTTCACCATCGTAATATCGTGATTTCGCGTTTTCATCATCGTACTGTCGTGTTTTCATCATCGTACTTTCGTGTTTTCACCATCGTACTATCGCGTTTTCATCATCGTACTGTCGTTTATCATCATCGTACTATCGCGTTTTCACCATCGTACTGTCGTGTTTTCATCATCGTACTATCGCGTTTTCATCATCGTACTATCGCGTTTTCATCATCGTACTATCGCGTTTTCATCATCGTAGTTTCGTAATTTCGCGTTTTCACCATCGTACTATCGACTATCGCGTTTCAGGTCAACACATTCATAGGCGATGACCCGAACGGCATTCCGGAATGCCGTTATCGTCATCGCCTATGAATTGTTTTATCTGAAACGCGATACTCGACAGAACGATGATGAAAACGCGAAATCACGAAACTACGATGGTGAAACCGAAAATGTACGATGGTGAAAACACGATAGTTTATCGCGTTTTCATCATCGTAGTATCGTACTGTCGCGTTTTCATCATCGTACTATCGCGTTTTCATCATTGTAATTTCGCGTTTTCACCATCGTAGTTTCGTGATTTCGCGTTTTCACCATCGTACTTTCGACTATCGCGTTTCCGATCAACACACTCATAGGCAATGGCCCTAACGGCATTCCGTACAAAGCACGTATTTCAAGGTTTCGTTATTATGATTATTTATGATGCCCCTTGCGTAAATAATGAAATATGATGTAAGGTATGAACATAATTTCTTTGCTTATATGCATGTATAGCAAAAGGCATTGTGTCAAATGCTATACTCTCAATGTATATATAAAAATATCTCCAAAATATATTTGAGTAAATTTTCTTCTTAAAGTGATGAATTAAGTTTTAATTTACTTTAAAATTTTGAACATACGCATGGTCTAATTATGTGAACTAACCTTCATGCGGATTAATTAAATCAGCCGATCAGTTAAATCTATCGATCAAAGTTGGTTTTATTTAATTGTTATGGGGCATTAAATCTAAAATAAACGTTAATTTATCTTTGAATAAAAAGAAGACACAATTGTATAAAAATTGTTGAATAAATAGAGATTAAATCTCATATATTTAATGATATATCTGATAAGCAAAACGCAAATTCAACATTGTTCCATTAACCCAATTTCTCGCTCTGCAACCGAGATATACGCTGTTTTTTCTCTCCAAATAACCTCTTCGTTGGGGATAACTCTGCCGACCAGTTTTTAATTAATTTGTGGTTATGACTTTTATGATAAGAAACATTTTAATTTTTATTGCAGGCTGACTCACTGAGCGAAGAACAGATTCACGGTAAAAATATCTTAATTGTTCACCTGTGATTTTCTTCTCCTTTTTTCTTCAGATGTTATTCTGTTTCAATTTCTAAGAAATTCATTTACACAGCATGACTCGACAATAAAGAGAGCCAATTAGATCTAGAATCGTTTTCATCTATATGATATTTAAGTTAATACCGTTATGATAGCTACTCGAAATATTCGAACGATGTCTATTTTTAGATTTGAAAGAACGTGGAATTAAGTGGGATAATACTGCAGACAATTTGTTATTATCTTCATAATAAAATGTATGGAAATTTGATAACTCTCACGAACGACCCTTTTGAAATATATAGGCTTCTCTCTTTGGTGTTTTCCTGAATGACATATTAACCGCAATATGAGCGAGAAGATGAGTTTTTTACTGAATATTGGTACATAGAGGAATATGTTGCAATTGACACGCATACTCATACTTTATTGTTTGGTTTGGTTTTGCGGCTAACCAACACAATTTAAGTCATATGGCACCGAAACAAAAAAGAAGATTTTGGATAACCTCGGGTGTTACAATCTTTAAGCAACACCACTCACTTGCTAGAGCTAAGAGATGCATAGACTCCAGTAATATGGTGGCTGATTTGGTACGCTTTTGTGCGTCACGTTGGCGCTAGTGACAACACGACAAAGCGCTAAACGACGCGTTGTCGCGCTGTCGTCTCGTCGTCCTGTCTCTAGCATGACACGACAAAAGGCGCGTTGTCGTGCGGAGTGTTGTCGCGATGTCACATTGTCGCTCTGTTCAAACTGAAGGATTGGCTTATAAGTCAAGCGACAGTACGACCTCGCGACAACGCGCCGCACGACAATTCCCCGTTTGGCGTGCCGCGCTAGAGACAGGACGGCGAGAGGACAGCGCGACAATGCGCCGTTTGGTGCTTAGTCATGTTGTCGCTAGCGACAGGACGACAACACGAAAGTACGACAACGCACTGTTTGGCGCTTTGTCGTGTTGTCGCTAGTGCCAACTAGACCCACAAAAGCCTTACCAAAGCAGCCACCATACAGTAATTCAAATGCATTTAGTAACGCTTCAACAGAAATTTTGACTGCGAAACTTTGGAATGTTAAGTACACGTATAGCATATCAATGAAAAACCAGTTATGTGCCATGATCATGAGTATTTGAATATTTTAACAAAAGCGAGGATTATTTTCTGTCCACCATTATCTCAACATATCAGAAATTCTTATAATTTTCAGTTTTGTTAGCAACCTTTAAGTAAGTGGGTTTGGATTTTAATTGCTATTTACTACGATTTTCCTTCCATGACTAGTCCGTTACCAATGAAATAATCCCTGCAAGCAATAAGGCAATATTTAATTTCAAGTAAATTATAATCCAACCATCTTTTAATCTCGATTTTGATTTTAAAAAATAAACAAAAAACAAAAACAAAAAACAACAGAAAAACAACAACATTGTTTTATAAAAATGCTACAAAGAAATGAAAATGTTACATAATTATAATATAAGCATTTATGAGATTGTCACGAGCATTAATAATGACAGTGTATCATGCGTAAAAGAGTTATACTTTATTGCTGCATTTGATCCTCGCCGCGTCGAGTTGGAATCCCGTTCGGGACATAATTCTGTTCACTTTAGAAAGTTATCTGGCGAGCTTATGCTGCTGTGGCCAGGCCTATATGCATGCTTGCATTGTATCAGAAGAACTGTCCAATAGTGGCACATAATGAAATTAGTTTACTTATATTTTTGTAGAGTTTCGGGAAGCGTTTAGTTTATTTGATAAAGATGGAGATGGCACCATAACAACGAAAGAGTTGGGCGTGGTCATGAAGTCCCTTGGGCAAAGACCAACAGAGAATGAGCTCAAAGACATGATTAACGAGGTTGATTTAGATGGTAGGTTCTTTTACAGTTAAAATGATAACATCATTGCTGAATGTATAGTATCAGTTACGAAATCAAATGGTGTCTTTGGCAGAATGTTGTCTGAATCATTTATAAATTCTATGACCCTTAGCTTTTTGTACAAGTTTTAAAAGAATAAGGGAATATAAACTATGAAACGTACTTTTTTGATCAGCTAGCTTACGGAACGTGGTTGGTTGTTCTCGCATACCCGCACGTTCATGAAATAATATCGAAGGGGCACTAACAGAGGTTTTCCTCTGCAAAGTCGTCGTTAAAGTGTCGGTGTGACTTATGCGCGATCAGCAGAACAGCAACTAAAATTTGTCTAGCATCTGTTCCATTGTATGTTAAATATAGGTAATGGTTAAAAGTTAGAATCGATCAATTTTAAAGGGACTTTACTGGAATAGAAATATATGTTTGAGATTAATGTTCCATTTGATGACGGTCTAGACCAATAACTTATGTACAATGTTAGATCATTTGCTCTCTCCGTTTTTTCTAGAATAATTATTTTAATTGTGAAAAATGACCAAAATTGAGAAGCGTTGCAACGCCTTTCACTCAAACTGGGCTAAGAATAGCACAAACATACGATTGGCAATTTATTTCTGAGTATATTTCTTAATTATCTTTTGCATATCTTAAAGTTTAAAGTGCCTCTGTCGATCTATCTGTGAAATTCAAAATGTATATTTTTAGGCTTTTGGATCTCAGTGAAGTTCCTTTCATAGAATGTAATAAGGGGCGTCCGTAGCCGAGTGGTTAAGGTCGTTGACTTCAAACCACTTGCCCCTCATCGCTGTGGGTTCGAATCCCGACAGGGACTTTGGATTCTTTCATGTGAGGAAGCTATCCTGCTAGCTTACGGAACGTCGGTGGTTCTACTCAGGTGCCCGTTCGTGTCTTCCTCCACCAGTAAAGCTGGGACGTCGCGATATGACCTATACTGTGTCGATGTGACGAAAAAACCCAAAACAAAACAAACAAAACAAGAATGTAATAAATTCTCTGTGTTAAATGTTGACAAAAAATACTGTCCGGAGAATAAGTAACTTACGGAAGCCCATAAGTGCCATTTTGTCTTAGGTGTTTTGTCTTATGACTGATGACTTATGTATAATGACTTTTGTCTTATGCTTTATGACTTTTGTCAGAAGGCGGCACATTATATTTAAACTAGTTTCGTTTCGTGCAACCATTGCGGCGTGCAGAATGGGTACAGAAAATGAGAAGGGAAGACTTCATTGGTAAGTGTTGAATTGTGAACAGTTTTACATAATCATATTGTTTATGAAATGACAACTTCTGTAAAGGCTTTCCTGCAGAATTAATGGAAAAAGAATGTTTTAACGAGACTCCCAATTTTGTGAAATACTTTACTTTGTAAATGTTACTCCTCCTCGCATCTGTTTCATTATTTTCCAAAACTGTATGACATAATTGTATGCATAACAACTTGGAACTTTGATTCCATTGATGGCTTTATAGAGTTATGCCGCTTTTAAGTTCTTTTCAAAGCATCAAGTAATTTTTAATATTCCAGACCTGTATTTGGTGCTCTTGGTCTTTAAACAGACATCTTGTTACTTATATCCTGCCCGCATAGCTCGTGGAAAAGATATTAGTACTGGTACAGAATCCAGGGACACTAGTTAAATGACGGAGTACTGTGAAATTGCCTTAAAGTGACATTATGCCCATACATGGGCAGAAATAGAGTGAACAGGTGAAAGTCAAAATAAGTTTACATTTTCTGATAATTCCTTTCAATTTTATAATTTTCTTCACATGTACGATAAAGAACTCACTAGGTCCTGTGAAATGTGTGTAAATATCCATCGGAATGTATCTGTAACTTTCAATTTATAAAAAAAAGTGGAGCAGTCATTTTATATATCTAGGTAGACTTATTTTTACCCTAAACATTTTTAAATATCATGTCAATCACCATTATAACGACCAGTTAATTGAAATATATAGTCAATTAAAGTCAAAATGAGCATAATGTCACTTTAAACTACAACAAAACAAAACAAAAATCCTTAATTTTTAGCTGAAATATTTCTAATCTAGTCATAATTAAATACTTCGGTTTAGTTACAATTTAATTAAGATACAACTTTACATGCGTAGCACTAATTGTTTTCCTTAGCAACATAATTGCTTTAGATTCTACCATCATACCAACAAAGTAGCTGTTATTGTTCTATGTGAACCAAACTCTATCTACGTTCAAGCTTTCATCTTCTGGCAACTATGGCTTAATTTCAATAAAAATCGAAACTATTAGTCTATTACATATTAGTTGAATGAATTTCAAAAGATACATCGTACAGCAGCATTTTGATACATTACATACAAATATTGTTTTTGTCTGACATCTTATGAATTATGAACTATAGTTTAATAGCTTATGTACTTTGTTTTTCAGATATCTTTAATGAATATGTCCGCGTTTTATAGCACGTGGCTTTGTCTGGGATACAATAGGTTTGAAACTATTGGACCTGATTGAATTATTACTTGGAAAGTCCACAGAATGAAAAGACGCAATAATAAAGGGTTCAAGTAATGTATAGCTCGTAGACGTCACAATAAACTGAAACCAAATGACTTTTGCATATACACGGTGCTATTAGGCTTCTAAGACTTGAAGTGTCACAAAGTAACAACAGCATTGCAGTCATCGCCATGTAGTTGCGTTCGTGGCCGAGTGGTTAAGGTCGTTGACCTCAATCAACTTGCCCCTCACCGCTGTGGGTTCGAACCCCGACAGGGACTTTGGATTCTTTCATGTGAGGAAGCTATCCAGCTAGTTTACGGGACGTCGGTGGTTTTATTCAGGTGCCCGTTCGTGCCTGAAAAAATGCACGGAGGGACATCCGACATTCCTTCACTTGTAAAGCTGGAACATCGCCAAATGACCTACACTTTGTCGGTGTGACGTAAAACCCAAATCAAACATCATCGCCATGTATTATCTTGAAGCACTGGAGACGTTTAACATTGCTACACAAAATATCAACTCTGTCGACCTTTACTCCAACCGTTCTTCCGGTACAATGATACAAATAATATGTCGAATCCTATAGTAGTTTTATTTCCGAAAATTAAACAACAACAAAAAACAACGTTTCAATGAATAGAGACCTGGAGTGGAACCACAAGACGTAAAGGAATTCAAATGTGAATTTTCTTTTTTTCAGAGATTAAAAAGACAGTCACGAGTATGGTAATGTGAATGATTGAAATTATGTTTCATACACTTGATTCAGGCCGAGATTAACAGAATAGCGGTGAATTGAGGCCTACTTACCATACATAAACAAGAGTCCTCCTGAGATACCAAATGGTAAACCCGATTTACTTTCTATCTGACTAATTTGGTGGACACAATTATGGAAAGATTGTAGATCAACATGATGTTGATGCTTGTTGCGAAATGGACGGCATATGCAGGAGAATTAACAATATTACTAAAGACCAACCTTCGCATTCCAATAGATGTACAAGGGGCGATAGAACTATACAGGGAACTACTGGAAGTTATTGACGAAGTTGCTTATGTGTATTATCGCTTTATTCTTGTTCAACTGTAAAAAGGGTATTACGAGTGTATTTTCATATTGAGTTTTTTTTTCAAGAATTATGTAAAAATAAAAATATGCATCTGTGTGAGCAATTAATTATATCTTTTATAAAATCAAGACATATAATAAATTCAATATTAAAAGAAACAAAATTGATGTTATTATCTTATCTTTTAATTGCAATTAAAACAATTTATCCGTTATGGAAATGGTAAATTCAGCCATTGTCCAAAAATCTTAAACAACATTGACGTCACAGCCGTATTACAAAAATGTTATACAATGTATACAATATGGCCGGTAGGTCTAAACTACGAAACCTAGGCTGTTTTCGCGATAATAATAAAACAAAAATTCAACTTATTTTGTTAAAACACACATATAGATTTTAAGTACGTTTGAAAATTAGATATATCTTTATTTGGCATTACAAATTTATCTTGAAATGTCACTTTTATGTTTTGACAGATTCACTTCCATAGCATCTGAAAAAAAATCTAGTTGCATAACTTATAGTTATTTGAACATTTTTTTCTTTTTTATTGATCTCGTTTATTCTTGCTCTCCGCCCGTGCTGTCACTTGTCAAAATTTCCTGCGAATTTCATAGTCGTCCAAACTGTAATTGTTATGTGAAATGCCTCCCAGGACCAAGCTGTTTCTGCAAAAAAAGATATAAAGGATAATTTAATGAGTATACACCAATGCATTTATCTATATTTATCTAGAAATTTGACGTTTAAGTTGTCAGTGTTTTTAATTCAACAAGAACGTACCCGTTATTTAATGATGGGGGAAAAAGAAGTGTCACTCACATCAAAATTTGCTATACATTAGTGTTATATTATTATTTGCTGATAAGAGGGTTTATTTGCAAACTTTACCCTGATATTCCTACAAAATAGTTCCACTTGGACAAATTTACAGAGCCAACATTAATTATATATTATTAGCATTTACCTTATTATGTATTACAAGTCTTTTTTTCGTGACATATTTTGTATTGTAAAATACGACTTATGTATAATGACTTTTGCATTATGTCTTATGTATAATGCCTTTTGTATTATGTCTTATGTATAATGACTTTTGTATTATGTCTTATGTATAATGACTTTTGTATTATGTCTTATGTATAATGACTTTTGTATTATGTCTTATGTATAATGACTTTTGTATTATGTCTTATGTATAATGACTTTTGTATTATGTCTTATGTATAATGACTTTTGTATTTTGTCTTATGTATAATGACTTTTGTATTATGTCTTATGTATAATGACTTTCGTATTATGTTTTATGTGATATGAAATTAACAATTATATATTTAAAAAAAAATTGTTCTTGTTTCCTCGGTATCAGTATTTCATATATAGAGGATATTAAATGAGTGTAAGTTCAATACTGAATTTATTGCACGAGTTATAATGTTATTTTATTCAACGAGTGCAATAAATTCAGTAATGAACTTACACGAATTCAATATTCTATTTATCATATACCCAAAAAAAGACCATTTAAAGTGAAATAAGAGTCATTTTTCATTGACGCGCCTATAGTATAACGCTAACATTTAGCGCGTCATTTCGCTATGTTTGTATAACGCTAATGACGTCACGTCAAAATATATGCACGGCCGTGCAATACCATATTGACGGAGTCGTAAAATCGGCACGGATGTGTGCTAAATTCACATTCTCAACTAGCAAGATGATATGATAATTCGATAGAATATCATCATTCAGTAACTCGGGCTTTGTAATTGCCAGATAAATTATAAACCGATGTCTTGTATTTTACTTTGTAAAAAGAGTCACAGGTAGAAGTTAAATGTCAAATATGTTTACCATCTATGAATCTCCATAAGTTTATCTTTTCCAATGTTTTCTTGGTCTTAGCCTGCTATGTTCTGACCTAGTACCTAAATACGTTTACTACTCGCATTTACCTGAAATAATAATGTATATTTTATACAGAATAAAGTTTCACACATTTTGTTTTGCAAATATCTTGATACTTAAACTTTAACAGTTTAACTTTAACTTTTACAGTTTAACTTTAACAGTTAACATAATTGTTGTGCCCCGTGACCTACTTTTTCATTTGAGATGATCCATAGTCGAACCCTAACCTTGTAAGGGAGATAATAGGCCTTTCTCAAATTATATGCATACTTTACATTCCATCACCAGAGAGAGGCTAACAGGGCATGAATGTAAACATATAATGTCTGACCTGATAAGCCCTAGTGTGTTAAACTTACTGGGGAAATCTCATTTTTATTCCACTCTGTTATTCCAATTCTAGATATAATTATACCGTTAATTTTCATAAAATACCTAAGGAAGGAAAGGATTGTGAAAATTAGATGGATGAAAGAACATTTCAAGGTAAAATACCCTTGTTCTTTTCTATTTAAACCAAGCTACTTAAGTTGTAATATTACTACTTACATTAATTACTCTCATTTCTCATTGTTTTAAATGTTTCATTTATATAAACATAACAATATGTTTGTTCATAAATTTCATTTAAAATATCACACTTATAATGATAACATTTAAAACATAATTGCTTCAGAATCTAAATCAATACCGTTTTTATACTAAAAAGCAATAACGGTTATTTTATGTACTATTTCAGATCAATATTTTGCAATAGTTGCTCGTTTTGAAGCATTTCACACAATAAGATTAACAATCATGGACATAAATTCATATATGTCTGAAGAGAACAGATGTACCCTGTAGATGGTTCGACTGGAGTAATAATCAACAGACCAGTAAGATGAACACTAAAGAAGAAGATTTCATTACCAGATGAAAGGTATACACAAGACTTAATTTTCATTTTTTACACATTAACAAAGTTCAGTACCTATAAAAAATGTATGTGCAATTAAAATATAAATTGATATATTCTAGAAATGGCATAATTCTTGTTTCCACTTCTAAATAAAGGTATATATTTTTCAGGAATTCCATTGGTAACAGTAATGAACACAATTGACAACTGGTAATTGAATCGCCTTTAATTGTAATATCTCTTCATAGCAGTGGCAAGAAACTATCAAACAGGTCAAAGAAGAATTACAGAAAACTAAGGAAGAAAACAAACAGTGATATTGAACATCTGATACAAACAAAATTTCAGATGTTGACAGTTGTATATTGTGTAATGTTATACAGGATTTCCAACAAAATTTACTATATATTCATTACAGTTTTCAATAGGAAAAACATTAAGAGCGTTTATTATGATGCAAGCAAAACAATCAGCTTGACTGGCGAAATGTTTTTAGCACATTTTAAAGGACCATTTGTTCAGTCTTTTGCGCCTTGAATTTAAATAAAAACTTTAAAAGAAATCATCGCATTACTTTGTTTTTAACATTGTGCTTTGTTACATATATGGTGCAGGGAATATGTCAACATGTTTATTACATTTAATATTTTGTCCTCTTATTGCATTATATTGTTGAAAGAATATGTCTTGGAATGTTAAAAGAAGTGCTAAATTTCGATGCTGCCTTTCCTAATACCCTACAACTGCAAGGTATTGCGCAGGTTTTCTGCGAATCTTCAGTCCCTTATGTACATGGAATATTTGGGGTTGGTAAGTCCAAGCAACATCCTCTGGAAGTGCCGTGTTCCCTAATGATTTGTTATATACCAGCCAGTTGAGGGTTCCAACAATATGACCACATAATCAAGATGGACCAACTGGACAAGTGCAATAATCTAATCATAGTTCAGCTTCGTCTTAAGATTTGACTGATATTTGCAATCAAATGATTGTATTTCGTTATATACTAAGTATTTTATACTGTAATTAATTAAATGGTTGATAATATATAAGTTTTACGTTCCTTACTTAGTATGAAATGTATTTTTACATTGCTGTAAACAACATCATGTGTTATGATACTGAAAATCCATTGAAATGTATAAGACGGGTGTCACGTTTAAACAAAATATCATTTTGGTTTGATAAGGCTGTCTGTAAAATTATTCAGTTTCTAGAGAGTCATCCAGAATTTTTTACTTTAAATACAAAGTGAATTAAACTTTTTTAAACTTTTTTTATTTCAATAGCTAAATTTAGGGGAAGTATGGTACAGAATTCAGCATCCAACTGTTTACATCTATTATCAGTTAATTGCTTAATACACTCTTGACCAACATGTGTTGAGGTTAGCAGTAAAATACTGATAAGGCAGATAATGTCTATTAAAGTTGCAAAGAGTTAACCTCATATATTTATACTGACAAAGAATATTAGAAATTACTTGGAATTATCATAAACTTTAAATGACTTATCTGGTCTTGTATGTCCTTCACTGTCTATAGTGTAAATTAAACCCTTTGTTGATTTATTTATCTCAAGAAGAGATTTATTAATGTTAAATACAGTTCACAACAAGTATGTAGCAAACAAAACATTATCAAGATTCCCGACACTGTAGAAAAATCTTTCGGCCATATATTCATATATTCGTGATATGTTAACATAGAGCAGATACTGCAGCTTGCCCTGTTAGCCTCGTTCTGAGAAATCTATGAATATGTATGAGGTAATATTAAGAAGGGTCTATTATACAAGTAAGGAGAAATACACTACTGTCATACTGTTTAAATTTCAACACTTACCAAAGCGTCTGCTGTTTCACTATCAGATTTACCTCCAAAGGCTGCCATGATGAGTGTACTTGATGAAACGTGTCTTTTTGCCGCTTTTTTGTCAAGTCATAATACATAAGACAAAAGTCATAATACATAAGTCATTAGTCATAAGACATAACTCCTAAGACAAAATGGCACTTATGGGCTTCCGTAGTAACTAATATTTATACCAATGTTTTTAAAGAAAGTATATTAAATGTTAAAACGCCGGAATATATATGTACGTGCTTGAACGATATTTTATTAGATCAACAAACAACAAAATGCTTGAAGATTTCTAGAAACACTTACACCTCAACTTTCATGTTTAATTGTTTTAAGATAAGCAAACATACTTGAAACAGATGTTTAAGTATATCTTCGTATTTTCCGTAAAATACGCGTGCTTTGCGAATATTTTTAAAACTAACTCCACCAAGCGAAAATTATTTTAGTACATGCGCACTCGGTCCGGACACATTCTATATAATAATGCTGTTGCCTGCCAAATATATTACATTTCCGATAATGAAACCCCTTTTAATAACAATGGACTGATTCAATTTCAATATTGGTCAAGTCTATTACACACATTTAGGGTTGAAAAGGTTTTGTTTTCAGATTATCTATAAAATCCCATTTGTCGGCTGCTTTGTAACCACAAGTAACAAGACATCACTCTGTACGAACCTTGCTTGAACAAACAGAACAAGAAAATCAGTAACATCTCCTAGTAGATATTTTCATATTGTAAGACTTTGACTCATTTTGAAAATTCGCGCCATTTTTTGCAGGAAATGGTACAATAGACTTCAAAGAATTCCTGACGATGATGGCCAACAAGATGAAGGAGGGGGACCAAGACGAGGAGCTGAGGGAGGCTTTTAGGGTAAAAGTGAAAAGTTCAGTTAGCAACAGTGGCAGCAAAGTTCAGAACGAGCTGCCAAAATTTTGTATATGACGGTCAATGAATGGTTATTGTGATCAAATTGTGTATTTAAAGAAAAAACATACAAATCAAAATATTTTTGTAGCTCTATTAAATGTTATCAAATTTTTTGATATTTCTAAATGGTATGTGAAGTGAGGCGCAAAGGGGTGTGTAGGGGTTCACCACGATTTTTTTATGTTTATACAATCTATGTATATTATAAAAGATTTAGTGCAAAGAGGTATGTTAGCATGCTATAAAATAACCGAACATTATGACAGCTTTATTCTAAATCTCAAACTTTACAATTCCATTAAAATACAATTAAATCTTCAAACAGGTGTTCGACAAGGATGGAAATGGGTCAATAAGTGCAGCTGAACTGAAATATGTTATGGCAAATCTTGGAGAAAAACTCACTGATGATGAAGTAGATGAGATGATTAAAGAAGCTGATCTCGATGGTGATGGCCAAGTTAACTTTGAAGGTAATTTAATATTACGTGAAAGAATTTAGTACAAATCATATTAAATCCATTACATTTAAAATGCCTTGTCGACACTGTTAGATAAATCTGGCAACATTTTAACTTCCACTTTGCATTTCAAGCAATTGATATAATAAATAGAATATTTTATTCGTGTAGGTTCGATACAAAACTTATTGAACTCGTTGAATGAATTTACTCATTCAATGTCCGCTCTATGTACATGTATCTTATTGCAGTTTTTTTTTGTTCTCTTGTATTTATAGTGTTTTTTGTTGCTGTTGTTGTATTTTGTTGTGTTGTTGTTGCGGCTGCTGCTGCTGTTGTTTTGTTGTTGTTTTAAGCGTTATTATCTACATTACATACTTTCAAATTCCTGTGCCAGTTATGTTTTGCTTGGGCCTTTTTTTCTTATAAAGTTTATAAGCAACGTGATTTGTATATTAACTAATGTAAAATATCATGTACAAGAACATGCGATTTTGTTTTTGTTTTTGGTGTTTTTTGTATTAATTTTCCGGTAATGTCGCTTTTAAATAGGCAATGACTACTTACCAAAACTCCTAAGATAAGGTCCCTTCGTTTTATTAAGCAAAATGATTTCAGTGATTTTTATTTATAACGTTCATTTATATTTTATCTTCCAGAATTTGTATATATGATGCAGTCTAATAAATAACAGCAGTGAATGACAGGTAATATACAATATGAGGAGTCCTTGTATTCTAATAAACAACTTGTAGCAGCACGCCTCAAGATTTAAGCTTTTTTATGAACGTTTTAAAAATGCATTTAAAATCAAAACATTGTGAAGTGAATAAAGAAAGAAAATTACACATTGCAAAAAGCACTTACAATCCACGTAAATTACCAGAAAGACGTCAAAATATATATACAAAAACAGCCCTTGCTGCGTTAGTCACGCAGTAGAAATATGGTGATAAATACTTAAAATCAGTCATTCATTGCATGTAACATGTAAATTATAACTTAAATTGTAAATATTTTATTTTTCTTAAAATCTTAACACATTTTCTAAAGGTTGATATTCTTGGAATAGTTTGGCTAATCTGGAGGAATGCAGCTTTAAAATTGCCTACATAGGTACCAGTAAAACACATTTACTGAATGGGCAATTAGGCAAAAAACGCATTTAAGAAAAATGTGTTATCAACTATAAACTTCGAAAGGATAGCATATACAGACACATTTCAACGAAGTGTAGCATATAAGTCTTGCAGGAAAGGGCCGAGATGATGCGATTGCAGAAAAATGTCAAAATTCAAACAATTTTAACCTGAAACATAAAGCATTGTGCAAGCACGCACGAAGGCTAGAAACTAATTTCACAACCAACGACTTGATATATACATGTATTTGTACTTATTGAAACGTATATTTATCTCTCATATAACTTTATTTACAGATTTGTGCCTGATTTCTACCAAATATTCCAATTGTATCGGCCTTACGTATGGTATCACATGGTGCAGCTCACATCCGAAACAATACTGGACATCAATCATGTTTACAAACCATTGCTATACAAACCTTCACCTTCATTTTCGTCATTTTAGTAAAAAGCTCAACCCCACACGAATTTATGAAATAGATTTTCTCTTAATATCGTTCATATATCGGAAATTATTAAAACAGTACATTTAAGATTTTTATTTCATGTGTTAAGAAGCCGACTTCATAAAAAAAATAGGCAACCATTACAAAGCCTGGTCTCACTAGAAAAATTTAGTGCTGGCAGACCTTCTGCTCCTATATGCCGGTACTCTCCACTATGGTTGCATTCTCTCAACAGGCGCCCAGAGTGAACATTGTTTAGTTTGTTGTTTTCTTTTCTTCATCTATATACATTGTATTGATATTCTGTATATAACACATGTAGGTGAAATGGTATTTTAACATATTTACGTTGATGATGTATATTTCAATATAGATGTGTTTTTATGATCCCCAAACTATATATCTTTTTTTTTGTCAGAAATGTATGTTTGTTTTGATGTACATGTAAAATTATACAGCTTCATGGACATTTCCTGTCAGGATATTAGCTGTTTAAGTCGGGTTATGTCCTATAATGCTTGATCTTCTAGTTAATATTAAAAGAAAGATTGTCATTCACTTACATGTATATATATATATATATTTCGTTCAATACAAATACATTAACACACTTTATTCCATTCTTCCTACTGTAGCACGTTATTAAATTCCTACTTTAGACTTAACCTTTAGATAGTTTTGATTGGTATTTTTGTGTTAATTCTGACAAAGCAAAAGCATGTATCAGTCTAAATGCGCTTGCAGGTGTAATTAGACAACTGACTTAAATTTGGAATTAACATGTGACTTTTGGTGCGAAATTTGCAAGTGAAATTTAGTTTTCACACCTTGTAAAAGTAGTACATTTTGTACATGTACATTTTGTAATTATGTTTTTGGAATAAGCGTGTTTATAAAATAAATGAATCTGTATGAAATAAAGTCTCCGATAACATTACACTTACATTAAATTGTGTCATGCAGCTGCTATGTTGTTTGCCAATGTATTGAATTGGCTATTTCTTAATACAGCAGAACTTTGTTAGCTCGAACTCGGGTAAGCCCGTGCAAATTTATCTGAAAGATCGGTAGTTCGAGGCAACCGGAGTTGAAGTATTATCATTATATCAAATCCAATTTATTTGTGAATAAAGGCCTCCAGTCCTAAATACGTACATAATTGTAATACAAAGATAACATAGTCAAGATATTTGAACAATATTCGCAACATTGAAGACAAATAAATGTTTGGAGATGGCGCGATAGCTCAGTTGTTTAGACCACAGACTGTCACTCCTGAGGTTCCGGGTTCGATCCTGGGTAACACCCTTGGGATTTTTCAGAAACACTTTTAGTGTTTCCCACTAGAGGTTTACTGGTACCAAACCCAGGTAATCCTCGCACGTATCAGTGCTATACAGTATACACTGGGCATGTAAAAGAACCAAGGAATCTATTTAATAAGAGCTAGGGACTTGTTCCCGGATTCACTTGTATCTCATAGCTGTCTCTAGAGTCTGCTGAGGTTATGACCCTACTGGAAATAAGTGCTTGCACTTGCGTAGGTTATCCTTGACCGCCCGGTCTAAAGAAAATCAATCAATCAATAACTTCTTTAGAAAGCCCAAACATGAGATTTAAAACGATTAAATAATGCTTTTTGAATTATATGCTTATTATCTGCAGAAATACTTAAATATTGGCCATAAGAGTTGCAAAATGAAAACAAGTGAAAACAAAGTACCATTTTGACTTCCATCACTATAACTGTAAAAATGGCCAAAACGCAATAGAAGCAAAAGATAGTTCAAATAATTGGCCAATGGGTAACTTTTTGGAAACTATAACAGGACGCCAAAAATAAAAGCTTTTCAGTAATTAAAGTTAAAGTACTTCTGCGGCATAAATGGATCTCTAAAGCAGTATTTGTATTAATCTAGAGTAACCAAGAATACATCATAATTATATTAATTAATTCAATTAATTGAAGTGAGAAAAGATATACAAAAATTCACAGTACACAACTTAATTTACTCTGTATCTCATACTCGAAAGCACCCACTAACAAGCTTGCTATGGATATATTGTCTATACTTGTGTCAGACATTATATTTTTTAATAAACAATATAATTGTTTACAAACACTACGGTTCATCCATTCATCTTTAAGGTAAGTAAGCCTAAGTTCATTCTATTGAAAATGGAACTCATTTTCAACAGTACAAATGTATATACATATCTCTGAAGATAATAGTCCTAGTATCTATAATCTCTCTCTACATGATTGCGTCTTCCGCACCACAGATCGCACCACCTTCAGTCTATGGCTTGATCATATGAAATTTGACAAAGTTTGTTTCTGGAATTAGTTCAATAAAAGGCTCAGCTATGTTTCGGTATCGAGCAGACTTTTATAAAGTTTGCATGAAGAAGCTTTAGAGGACGATGCAATGTCTGAACATATAGACTGTTCTTGCATATCAGACTGATGTTTCCGTTACTTTAGATGAGTCAGTGCCATATGTACAATGTTATGTTTATGGTGACGTAATTTCTCCGTTATGAATGAAGTAATTTCATGCGCATTTATGAGAAAATAGTTACGGGTGTAATTACATAAATTTTCAAGGTAAATTGTTTTATTAAGGTAAAGATTTAAAATATGATGATATATGGTAGAATATGCAAGAAAAAATATCTGACATTTGTTTGCGATTCGGAGGCCCCGTGTAAATTTATTCGAGATATCGGTAGTTCGAGTCAACCGAAGTTGGAGTATTAACATCAAGTAAGGCCAAGTTTATTTGTAAAACGGGTCCCCTTGTGACGGATATTCCGATCCGAACCGCAACATATGACGGATATGATCATTCTGCACAGTATTTTACACTGGAAGTGTATGCGTTCAATCAGGATCACCGACCTCTCGGTTTATCCATGCAAACCCGTTTCCTAATTGAAACAGAATGTTTTTATATAAATTACCAAGCATACTTCGACCTGTGTCATCAAGGCGCCGTGGCATTCTATAGATAATTACATGTTCGTGCAAAATAATCTCAAAAGCGTCACATTTTTACAAAATCTCATATGTACTTGTTCTGTTTTATCGCATTAATATTGCTTGTAGCCAGTTATTTCAGATGAAAAGTATATATATGTAAGTATTGACTTTACAGTATCATTAAATAATTTGAAAGCGTCCCTCGGGTCGAAAGTTATCAATTTATAACTTTTGGTATTGTAATATGCTATTCATGGATTTTCTTGAAGTGACAATGGTTCTTGAGTATCTGTCCAAGATATATGTAATACGACAAGACTTCTATATGTTCTCCGCTTAATTATTAACAGTGATTCAGCGTAGAGAGATTCTGCACTATTTAAAGTGCCATGAAAGTCTCCATCTTGCACATGAACATAATAATTATCGGAACTATTCTATTATTAAACGATAAACCAAAAATAAGCCATTTCCGAAAACGTACGTAGCTGATTGCATGCATACATTTTCTGCAATAGGTCCAAAAGGGAATAAATTCCAGCGGCGGACAACATTAATTAATGCATAGATTTTGTTCTGTTTTAGTGTCCAAAGGAATAAAAAAAAAGTTAAGAATGATATCATAACTTTTTTATTAATAATATTTTATAAAATTTATCACCAGGATACTGTATTGATATAAGTTATTTCTTGAACAACAAAAAAGTTGATAAAGTTCTCAGTGATTTAGTATAGGCTTACCGCAGTTACTCACACTTGATATATTAAAGATATGATAACAAAATATGTAACTTTTAAGGTAGTAAAGGAAAACAATATCCAACTTCGAACATGTTTGTACGTCTACATCATGCGAGTGAAATATATCAATTGGCTTCATCCAATGTCCGTTCATCTTGTACAAAAGAACATTAAAAGTAAATTTTGAAATTGTCATAATGATAGTGTTAATGTTGTTGTTGTTGATAATGATGATGATGTTGATGGTACATTCAAGATGACAAGCCAATCGCAACTTTGGTATTAATTTTTGGGTAATAGACGTTCCGTATGTACCGCATATTGATTTCTTGATCCGTTTGCGTAGAAAAATAATGTTCGATTGCGCATGTGTAATTATAACTACTTCCGCCATAACAAGAAAACAAAAAGAAACATTAAAAATAACTTTTTCTTAACTCTAAGAGCACTATGTCCCGCAATAAACGCGAAACTTCACAAGTCAGAAAAGCCACACATTCTGGCAGTTGGTATACAGATAACGGTAAGAAGACAATCTTACAAAACAATAAATTACCAGTGTTTTTTTTTATTGGGGACCGTCTCAAAGTAATACTTGTAATGTTGTGTAGGGGCTTAATCAAAGTTATTTTTGTTTGTCAAAATATACCATATTTACCTGTCATGTCAATTTTAGTGTTATGATTTATATAAAGTTACTTCTAAAATTTACAGTTTTTAACAGTGTTCAATCTAGCCTTGTCTGTGGGCAAAAGGGGCTGTCTTATAATTATTGGGACCAGGCATGAAACAAAATATGGAAATTGCCTGCTGCACAGTAAATGGGCCAATTTTTCAAAAATACATGTAATGCAGGCTTTTTCAAAAAATATATTGCATTTTCTATTATTTTTTGTGTTTTTATATAGGACTTACTATAAAGCAAATGTGCCCCAAATTTTTTTGTGATAGCATTACCCAAAATAAAGATACAGACATTTTTATACCCTAAAAATGTCCAATTTTATATGTAATGTGTTAGCATCTGTTTTTTTTGGTGTTTTTAGAATTAACACCACTATTATCTGTTTTAATTTATCACTTAAATTTTTTTACATGCACATAGAAAATTTAATAACCTTTCCAGTGATATATAATACTTGGTATACATCATCCTGGTTTTTATTGTTAAGATGATTTTAGTAAAATCAGACTTTTGTAATGCATCAGTTTTTCAAAATTCAGTTGTTAAGCAAACAAGTATACCTTTAAGCAATTACAAATAAAATAGTACTTTATTGTCTCAATCTAATGAAATATGAATTAAAAACATATATTAAGTGTTTTCAATTCAAATTTTCAAACATTTTTACCAAAATAGGCATTTTAGTGGTAAAAAAAATTTTGTGATGAAAAAACTGTAACATCCGTCCCCCTCTTATAAAATATCCAATTATAAAATAATACTCATAAAAAACAATGTTTCTGGTGCTTAATGATAGCCTTACAATGAAAATGTTATAAAAAATGCCAATTTCTATGTTTATGAGAAAAAAAATACAATAATGTAAAAGTTGTCTGTAACATCCGTCCCCGTAACATCCGTCCCCCATATAAGATGCTTATTAAATCTCACATTAACTGTAACTGGAGAGGGAATTTTACACTAAAACACCAAAGTTACAATGACAAATGAAGAAATAACAGAAATAAAGCACTGAAATGATGTATTTATAAAAAAAATATTATTTGTGAACACGAAATTCCTTAATTTTGAAAAAAAAATCAGTATTTTTTGCTCTGATAACAAAATTATTTACTTTGAAATAAAATTTATATTTTATTTCTTAACATCAAGTGGACCTATGAGCTTATTAAGATAATATTTAAGCTTATATGAATTTATAACAAATATAATCTTTTGTTATTCTGTTTACAAACTAAGGGTACAGAAGGGGACGGATGTTACAGAATTGAACTAAAAATTCTTTTTACAGTAATACTAAACTTATCTTGTTCTTATGATGCATGATAGAGAAGTAGTAAGCTTTGCAACTGTATAGGAATGTTTCACACAACAAATAAAATACTATTTAAAAAAAAAACTAGAAGAAACAAACACAAAATCCATAACAGGATAATTATATAGAAAGAGGTGCCAAAGATAGAGATGTTGAAAGTATCTTTGTGATTAAAATTGGTCAAGTGTTAAAACATAAATTCTTTAGCCTTAAATAGTTAACAAACCATGTATCCCAGCCCCTCATTAAAACAGTGGGATATGGATCCTAACTCTATACACACAGAAGGGGCTTGCACTTTATTGGAAGTTAACGAGCTGTATATTGGGAGCTGTGTATATTGGGAAGTGTGATATATTACAAAACAGTAGGGGGTGCCAATTAAGGGTGATATATATTATGCTTAAAACAGTGGGAGGGACTACCATATCTGTTTCAAGAATGTCTGTCATTAAGTATTGAAGTTGAAGATCATTTAAGTCAAAGGATTTATTGAACTTCAAAATTTTATAGGCTAAATATGTAGTCACTGAAAAATTTTAAACAAATAAAAAAATATAATTCAACACCCTGATTAAAATTTTTAGATTTTTTTTTCCCCCCAAAAAAAACTCAAGCACATTTTTTCATACAATTTGACCCATTTAATTATTGTTAATAAAGTGAAAGAAACTTGTAAGTAAGGGATAAGGTAAGGATTCCTGTAATGAAAAAGTTGGAATAATTGTGAAAATTATTCTGTAAAAAATCCCTTCGTAAATTATTTTGCACCTATAAATTTTATTGAATGACAAATTAATTCATTAAGTTAAAGCAGTTCATGTACACTGACATATTTACACAGAGAATTATTAAAAGTTAGAAATAATGAGATTATGATACTGAATCATAATGAAATCTTTGGATAATGCTGCTAACATTTCACATTAATTTACTTAAAATTTCATCAAATCGATAGAACTTAATTGCAGCAATTTAAAATCTTATAATTTTTTAATGAAAATTTTTAATTGTGTATAATTCATGTATTTAGTAATGAGAAATTCAAGCTTGCATATGTTTCAATCTGAAAACTTATTTACTTCACACTGTATCATATCTTTTACAAATATAAATTTTATTATTTAACTAATTTAAAAGAGTTTTGTAAATAATTTCATGTATAGAAAGGTACTGTTGGTATGACATTTTCTTTTTAATGTTAATGCATTATCTGGAAACAAAGATTCTTTTGTTTAATTAGCAATGTTTTTATTTTATTCCAAACATTTCAATGTTCATTCAAATGTAAGATAAATGGAAGAAAACTAAGTCAATGCAACTTTTCATTGTGAAACGCAAATAGTAAGAAACTCCATAATTGTCGGGTATATTTCTACATTTTTCTCATAATTTGTTCAATTATTTTACATTTATTGTACTGTACAAAGCATATACTCTTATAAATTATATTACTTTAAAATAAAACCAAAAAAAAGTATGAACTATGAGCTTTAAACATCTAGTGTAACATCCGTCCCCCCAAAAATGTAACATCCGTCCCCCTGATACAATTCATTTTTGGATTATCTGACAAGAAATATACAAAAGAAAGTCCTATAATTTCTACTGTTTTATAAGAAATGTGTTTGCATATTTGATTTAAGTATGATTTGGTGTACCTATCCTTGTTTTATTTCTCTCTGTTTCTAACATGTTTGAAAATTTCATTTTGTGTGAAAAATACTGAAAATTTGAAAGCAAATATTTTTATATCTAAGATGAATTTTCTGGATTTTTTTTGTAACATTAATCAGAACACATAATATTTTAATAAAATAAAGAGAAATAATACAATTTTTATTATAAACTGTAAGATATTCAGACTTTTAGTATATCTTTGTAACATCCGTCCCCTACCCACACAGTCCGCAAGAGATGTAATATTTTGAAAAAGGTATCCAAAAAGTTATCCTTTCTTTCCAAAAATATTGTCATAGACACCCTAAGGTACTTAAAAAGAGCAAATATTGTCTTGTATGTTTAACTTTATTTTTTGACTTAGATGCTAACACAATTGGCCCATTTACTGTGCAGCAGGCAAAATGTCTAATTTTAATGGATGACATATGTATTGTATATAATAACTATATTCATTCGAATACTTGATTGAATTTCCAAGTAGAATTTACTGGAAATGCACAATTTCATGACCAAGTCGGAGATCAATCAGGGCTCTACAAATTTTTTTGGAATAGAGTTGTCCAGGACAACTGACCTAGCAAAAATGCCAAAATAGAGTTGTCTCAAAATTGACCACAAGTGTCCAAGTCTCGGTAAATGTTCAGTATGCGTAGTAGGTATATCCAAAGAACATGGAGAAGAAGTAAAAACAATTAGTTTTTAAATATTTTTAAGTTACATTTAGTTTCATTTAGTATAAAATAGAACATTTTGTTTCAACTGAAATAGTTTTGATTGTTCAGCACTCTTCCCAGGTACCTTTAGTTCAATAGCCTGTGTAGGCTTATATGTTTTGTTTCAGTTTTATTTTTTTTCCTGAATTTTTATCCTTGATCTTGAAAATTTAAGTAAAATTATTCTAACATGAATCTAGTTAGCCATAGCCTCTCTCAGTTTCTACATTTCACATTGGACTAGTAGTGTATGGTAAATAAAAAAAAGACAGTCATTATCCAGTATTACCCGGTAGGGAAATATAAAATATGATAGTGAATTACAGGGCTCGAATTTAACTTTTTTGGCCACTAGCAATTTTTTGCTAGTGGACAAATTTTTAACTAGCAAAAACTGAATTCAACTAGCACTTTTTACGACAATGATTTTTTAATTCCAAAATTGTTTAAAATTGTAATTTATTTGGACGAGTTCGAACTGCCCGGGGTACGAATCAGCAACGTAACTTTCTACTCAAAAACTTGATTTAGGGGACAGGGATTCTTATCAAATGCAAATCTACATGTAAAAAAATAATAATGCAATATTGTCGCCATACCAACGATGTCTGGTCTGGATTATGCGCACAACAATCGGCGCAAAATATTTTGGCAACATTTCCATCGTCATCGTGTTCGTTCGTAAGACTGACATAACTGACGTGCAGTTCTTTCTCCATTAACCATTTTAACTGAAGGTCTCATAGACTTTATTTTGATAGACTGTGAATCATCTTCTGTACTCAGAGTATTGTTATCGGAAGACACATTTGCTTCAATAAGTGGGAAGAAGTTCGTTATTTTTCGTTTAGACATTTTATTCCGATCACGCTTGATTTACACGGACAAAATGACATTTGGACTGGTTTAAATTTGTGTACTTTTTTAAGCGAGGTGAAGGTATAGAAAATGTAAAGCAGACAGCAAGTGCGCGCATTGTTTATAACTCGGCTTCCTGCAAATATTACGCCCCATTTATATTTCGGATTTTCCTGACAAGCGTATTCCATTTTTTCTTCAACTCGCAAAAAATTGCGAGCAGTCATGAATCTAACTCGCAAAATCATTTTTCAACTAGCATTTTGCGAGTTTGCGAGTGTTAAATTCGAGCCCTGGAATTAGACTAATCAAATACTTGCAAATCTCATCATTATTTATCTTAACATTGTCAAAAGTCCTTTTGATTCATAAGTAACAAAAGATTTTTAATATTTCTTCTTGCTGCAGAGCTTTAAATTGATTAAAACTGCCTCACGATTTGTATTAAAAAATATTGGTCTCGCGAAAATATGTGACAAATGAAAATTGTTCTGTTTTCCTCATAAATTACACTATTTTGACTATTGTATGTTAGAATGTGTTCATAATATTAATAGATGCTTTTTGGATATTTTAATATTGTTTTCCACTTAGGAATTCATCAAAAAGCCTAAAACAAAAAATTCCAAATTTGCAATTCACGGCACAAATTACTGTCAGCTTGTGTAAATATATCAACTTCAAAGACCAAGTCTGTGACTTAATAATGTTTTTGACATGTCTATAATAATGTTGGACTTTGTCTTTAAGATTTTTATCAAAAATTTAGTGTCTTATCTATTTTTATTGCCTGTGGCAATGTAAAATTGATCAGTGTAGCAACTGCTGAGATTGATTGCCTCAGGCGAGGATTACCAGCGCATTATGCTGTGAAGGGTCGTATTAATAAACATAATTTTACAGTTGTACAAGATAAGCATCTGTCAAAATTTGACTTGCCTGGGACTAACTTTCTGCTTATTGTCAGTTGTCCCAAGTGGTTTTAGATGTGTCCCGGACGTCGGACTATAGGATTTGTAGAGCCCTGATTGTCAATAATTCCACGTAACAGCTTTTATTTGAATAAGTATATGGAGCAGGACAAGTAGAAAAATATAGCCAGCATGTCTTACTCACAAATTTGAAAAACTAGCTTAACGCCGTTTTCCGGTACTTTTTGTACATAGCTCTGGGGAATTCACCTAATGGAGTGTAATAACAAACTCAATATTTTTGGTCTTTCTTTAAATAAAAGTGAAATAAAACAGTAATTACTTTGTAAGATAGTAATTAAATATCGTTGTATGAATAATTCCATACAAAAAATAAAGTCAATACACAAGTTTACTCAGAAACTATCTTTTATTTATAATGGAAGATGCCACTACGACTGTTTTAATTTTATTGATTTTCATTATAAAAAATTTATTTTTGAAAAATTTGCAATAGATATTAAAGGAACATTGATAATTTTTAAAACACATCAAGTTTTTTCACCTTAAATGGCAAAATAATGATAGAAAAATAGAAATATCATGTAATAGTGTTATGTACTTCATTTGGTGTAATTCCCCAGAGCTAAATCCTTAACATACCGGAAAACGGTGTTTAGCTAGGTTTTCGAAAAGGTCAATTGGATGAGTTGAATATCATTGTAGTCCGCAGACATGTACATAATAAATATCTTAGATTTCACGAAAGAAAACTGGAATCCAAGGATATTTCGGGCATGTCTAAAATACTCACTATTATAAATATTAACAACTGACAGACGCACTCCATTTATGCACCTATCAATGATTAATATAATGTGTGTTTTATACATACCTCACCATATCAACTTGTTTTCCACTATTAAAATAAACGATCTTTAACTTGAATCTGAGTGACAACCAGATTACAAAATGGAGTCACCTAAACAACATCTTGTTTTTTACACCCTTTCTTAACCTGATGATTGCGCCCGACAGGGTGAATATAAGTTATAAATTGCACCAGTTTGTAATTAACATGTAGATGGCCATAAGCACAATGGTGCAGTTTAGATAGAACACTGGTTTAATATGAATGAACCTATTTGCTAGCCTATGAATCAAATATAAGCTCTACTGATTCGAGAGATAACCCCAACACATAGATAACCTGGACACATAGTCAATAATTGGTTAAACATTTTTTCCAAGAAACATGCACATGGTATAATATAACTGTCGAACAGACTGAAATGATCTTTTCAAAATTGTCAAAATTTTAATTTATGTGTTTGTATTGTCTTCATTTTTTTTGTGTCGCCTCTACGGAGTAGTGGCTGCATATAGGGATCACTGTTCTGTCTTCTGTCTGTCTGTCCGTCCGTCCATCACAAAACTTGTCCGGACTACTCCTCATAAACTACTAGTGCAATTTCATCCAAACTTTACAGGAATGATCAGTACCAAGTCTAGTTGTGCATATTGTCAGCATTTTCCGGTTCAATGATTTTTGACAGAGTTATGGCCCTTTAATAATTTTTATTTTTAAAGTTTGTCCAGACTACTTCTCTTATACCACTAATGCAATTTCAATGAAACTTTACAGGATTGATCTGTAGCTCAAGTCCTTGCGCATATTGCACGGTTTTCCGGTTGAATGATTTTTGGCCGAGTTATGGCCCTTTGATAATAAGGTGTTTTTTTTCTGTGTGTTGTCAGATACACAAAAGCTTGTCCGGACTACTCCTCATAAACTACTGGTGCAATTTTATCCAAACTTCACAGGAATGATCAGTACCAAGTCTAGTTGTGCACTGTCCGTCTGTCTGTCACAAAACTTGTCCCAACATGAAATTGGCCATCATGAGGCGACACATGTGATCACTGATCGCTCTTGTTTGTTTATTGAAACTGCCTCAAATATTCTTTTTACAAAACTTCTAGGAGATGGATTGAATTGATCTGCCTTGAACACAGGCCACTGACTTGAGAAGTAAAAAAAAAGTTCATAGAATGTAGATGAAATGTAAACATTTTGAGGCTGAATTTTCAGATATCTTAATGATTTTCAAAGATCTTTATTTTTTTACAGCTAGTGAATTAAATGGACAACTGAGTGGATGGTTATCAAAATGTGATAATGTTGGTGCACCAGTTAGGGCTCTGATAGCTCCGTAAGTATAATATACAACAATCTTGATAATATGTTGCTATTATGCATAAAAAATGTTTCCTCTTTTGTTCTGGTAAAGGACCAAAAAAACACATCAATTTCCAGAGAGGGAAAAGTGTATGCAGGGCTTCCATTAATGGAAGTTTGGGAGTAATTTACTCCTTGATTTTGGCTTGTGACTTCCAAAATATAATGCTTTTCCTTCTTTACCTACATGTATATAATGTGACTTCCAATGTCAGACAATTTGCTGTCTCTGACTTCCAAATTTTGGAACTTAATGGAAGCCCTGAGTGTATGTATATAAATGTACATTTATGTATATATAATATTATGTATTTCTTTAAAAAATGGAACCAAATGGTTGACCATGCCTCTTGTAAGACTATCCCTCCCAATGTTTGTCATAACAGTCACCCATTTATCCCTAATAGTTAGAAGAATTGTTCAATGTTTTTGTTACATGTACATATACAAAATATACTTTATGAAGTTATTTTTTTTTTCAAATCATAATTCTACTATATTTTACAGTTGTAATAAAATACTAATGCCATGAAACAAAGCCAAGTTTACTTTTTTCCGAAGAAAAGTTAATGTTATGATCAGAAATTTATATTTCTGCAGACTTAATATTCTAAGACGCAGATCACTCCAGGCCAATGAAATTTTACACAATATATTTTAATTTTGAATAAGAATTGAAGTACTTACTCACTCACTCAGTTTAGAGCTTCATTTTGCTACTTCAAAAAATACTAATTTTTTGTGCCCCCACTTTAAGGGGGGGTATTTAGATTTACCCTTGTCCGTCCATCCGTCCGTCCATTCTCTTGTGTCCCACATAACTCAAAAAGTATTTGACCTAGAGTCATGAAACTTTACAGGAATGTTGATCAGCATGTGTAGTTGTGCACCTGGGTATTTTCATCTGGATTTATTTAGTATTTTTAGAGTTATTGCCCTTCACTTAGTAAAAATTTGCAATTTTCAACTTGTGTCGCATGTAACTCAAAAAGGATTTGACATAGAGTCATGAAACTTTACAGGAATGTTGATCAGCATGTGTAGTTGTGCACCTGGGTATTTTCGTCTGGATTTATTTAGTATTTTTAGAGTTAATGCCCTTGACTTACAAAATGTAGTAAAAATTTTCAATTCACATGTAACTCAAAAAGGATTTGACATAGAGTCATGAAACTTTACAGGAATTTTGATCAGCATGTGTAGTTGTGCACCTGGGTATTATCATCTGGATTTATTTAGTATTTTTAGAGTTATTGCCCTTGACTTAGAGATTTTTTGCAATTTTCAACTTGTGTCGCATGTAACTCAAAAAGGATTTGACATAGAGTCATGGAACCTTACAGGAATGTTGCTCAGCATATGTAGTTGTGCACCCTGGGTTTCGCTTGTGGATTTATCCAGTATTTGTAGAGTTATTGTCTTTGACTTAGTAAAAACCATTTCATTATGTTGTGTTATTTGTTTCTTGATTGCTCGAGTTAGAATCAACCAACTTTACAGGAATAATGATCAAAATCACTAAATTACATGAATAATGATCAACATCACTGTGAAGCTATGCATCTGGGACTTTGCATGTGGATTTTTTTTCAGTTTTGTTAGAGTTATTGCCCTTGACTTACAGTAGTATAAATTTGCAATTTTCAACTTGTTCATGCATAGCTCAAAAAGAATTTGACTTGTAGGCCTGAAAGTTTACAAGAATGTTGGGTCAGCATGTGTACTTATGCACCTTGGGGTTTTGCTTGTGGATTTATTCAGTATTTGTAAAAGTTCTTGCCCGTTTTTACTTAGTAAAAGGTTTTAGTTTTCAACTTGTGGCACATTGTAGTCCAAAAAATATTTGACCCTTAGACCAAGATTGACAGAACAGTGCAGGCATGTGGGGGGCACTCGTGTCCTATGGACACATTTCTATTTTTATAAAAAAATATGATAATTTATTATACATCACAAACAGTATAAAAGTTATAATTGTAGAATTTGTAAGTTTAAGATAAATGATCAAGGAAGTGTATGTAACTTTGAGGCTACATTATATTTAGTACAATGTACATTTCACACTGTCAGTACATGTATATGTATGAATATTTTAAATCTCCATAATCTACTTGCCATATATACTAAAAATAAATAAATATCCTCTGCCCAAAGATTATATACATTGTCATGTTGTAAATTTTTACCTATGATACACAAAGAATCACATACATGTATTATGTTTTCAGTCATGCTGGTTACTATTATTGTGGGGCATGTGGTGCCCATGCATACAAGCAAATGGACCCAAGTAAAATGTGAGTAATTGATTATTACTGTATAGCTAATTTTATATAAAATGTGTCTTTTTTGTGATTTAAGAGGGTTGAGGCTCACTAAATGAGCTGCCAGCACATTTCAAATTTTGATTTTTTGAACTTCAAAAGGATTCAAGTTTAATCAGGATTATCCTTAAGAATTTTTGTCAGGGATTGAGATTTCAGAAGTTTATTGTAGTTTATTGGTCATATCAAAACTTAATTTTAGCAACTAAAATCAATAAAACTTGGCTTTAAATGTTTATACTTTTAATAACTAGGCTTCTGTTTCATAGACACATCTTGCAGGTAAACTGTAGAGCTAGTTAAATGAATAGAAATGCTTGAAAAGTACAGAAGATCAAATGCATTTTTGGTAATGGAAATTTTTTAAATGGTTAGTAATTAAGGTTTTGGGGGCCCTTTGGATGCACTCCTGTTGAAAAATGGCAGTCCTGGGACCACATCTGCATCAGGGACACAGAAAACCTTATTGATTAAAACATGCTAATTTTGCATCAAATCATTTCTGTTTTAGAAAGCGTGTGTTTATACTTGGACCCTCCCATCATGTGAGAGTGGCAGGCTGTGCATTGACAGCTACAGAGAAATATAGAACACCTTTCTATGATTTGATCGTAGATACTCAAAGTAAGTGCCCAATTTTTGTAGTTTGAGTAAGTGCTCAATTTTTGTAGATACCCAAAATAAGTGCTCAATTTTGTAGATACTCAAAATAGGTGAATAATAATAAGTTATTGTATGACTGTAACTCTTTATTAGAAGTAAAGTCCTTCTAAAAACAAATAGTCAGATAAATTAATGTTTTCAGATTAAGGTATATAGTTAAAAACAGTAACTAGAAAGTAAGCCAACTTATTAATTTACTAGATAAAGTGGATCAATCTTGTTTTCTCTTTCTATATCTCTTGCAGTAAATTCGGAATTACATGGTGCGGGACCGTTTGAAGTGATGAATATAGACACAGATGAAGATGAACACAGTATTGAAATGCAGCTACCCTATATTGCCAAGGCTATGGAAAGGTAAATTACTATAATTTCATGTTATTAAGATATATGGCCATTTGCCAAAGGCCCAACACCTATAATTTCAGCATGCCAGTTTACAGTGTTTCCTCTGGTTAATTTTTTCCCTTTAAAGACCACCAATTGTAAGGTATCTGGAGCCTTAACCAAAATTGATATTTATGAGCATGTTAGGGGTAAAAATTTTCCGGATTGTGTTGGATTTTCGGAATTTCAGCCTCGGTCTCAGCTGTTTTTCCAATTCATGTAAATTCGGGTTGAAAATTTAGGGGGTGGGAGGGGGGTTAGGTCGATCTGAAACTTTATTACAGGGTAAGGCTCACCTGTTATGGACTGGGAAACAGCTTTTACTCTTCCCGATATCTATCACGCTTTTTGATTGGATGACTTATTGTTAGAATAATCCAATGAGTATCGCCAATACATTCTGAAGTTTACATGCAATGGTGGCCGCTTTTGTTATATAAGCTGATTTTTTGGTGAAAAAAATAGTAAAAATCTGATTAAAAATGGTTGCATAAATTTGCAAGGAAATGAGATTTTTGATATGCCAAACAGCTAAAATCCAATAGCTTCAGGGGGCCTTTATATCGATACTGAATTTTAATGTTATATATATTATGTTTAAACTCTTTAGTTTTATGAAATAGTGTAACATTTTTCCTTCTGTCGCTCATATACATGTATTTGAATTACAGCTTGTTGATAATGTGAGAATAGTGTTAATCATTTTATAATTAGCCTGTTACTTGTATATATTATAGCCGCAAGGGTAACTTCACAGTAGTGCCAGTCCTGGTTGGTTCACTTACACCAGAGAAAGAAGAGTTGTACGGGAAGATATTTGCCAGATACCTTGCCGACCCTGAAAACTTTTTTGTGATATCGTCAGACTTTTGTCATTGGGGTAAGTCAAAGAAAAAAAATAGACACACAGTAGTCTGAACAGTTGATTTTTTAACAAAAATAGAATCATTGTTCAGTAAAAGTGTATCACTCATCTCAAATTACTTGCCCCTACCCACTGTGGGTTCGAATCCTGACAGGGACTTTGGATTCTTTCGTTTGAGGAAGCTATCCAACTAGCTGATAGAAGGTTGGTGGTTCTACTCCGGTGCCAGTGTGTGCCTGAAATAATGCACAGAAGGGCACCTGAGGTTTTTCTCAACCAGTAAAGCTGGAACGTCGCCATATGACCTTAAAGTACTGTGTTGGTTTGACATAAAACCCAATCTAATTACTTGCTACCTACAGGTATAAATAGAAAGCCAGCATGGGTGTAGCTCCCCTTGTGGTCCTTCTAAGGGGTCAGCTTATGTCCAAGATAATGAAAGGGGGGTATAAAGATATTTCTGTGTAGTTACAGAAAAAGTGTTACTGTTTATTTAATCTTCACAATGTATTCTTGACATTAAAGTTAAATAAAAAGAAGTTTTCTTAGAGGCATATTACAAACATTGTAATTTTCAACAGAAGAAAAAAATTGTTCTGTTAATATAATGTTCAGTATGTTTTCTGTTTGATATTTTTCAATTTCAGAAGCAGCAACTTCTTAAGTCATTTGGGTATCTACATTTTGTTTAGCAGAGAATTTTTTTCTGTTATTAGCTTAACTTTTTGAAGAGTAGGGAGAGCTATTGTACTTACCCAGCTTCAGCATTGCCATCACACTTTGGTCAAGTTCCTTGCTTGCATGTTGGGATTTCCAAAATTACTGAAAGAAATGGCATGGAACTTCACACACTTGTTGTATGTGATTGTCTAACATAATAGATTCAAGTTATATAACTCTGAGTTAAACAAAAATTGAAGGCATGAATTAGAAACATATGCAATAAATAATAACTGAATGTTCGTGTTTATGTGGCTTGTTTTGTTAATAACTCTGGGTAAGCTTTTTACAAAGTTATACCCCTTTTCTTACTGTCAAGAACTGAGAATAGTCAAGTTTGCTGTTTAATGGACAGTTCTTGTACATATAGTGTTTTACTTGTTTCAGGACAAAGATTTAACTACACATTTTATGACAAATCTCAAGGTGAGATCTGGAAGTCCATAGAAAGTTTAGATAAACTGGTAAGTTTGTGGTACAAATTTCTGACTCCATGTTTATAGTTGTATAAACATTTTTAGCTCGACTTTTCTATGAAAAGGGGAGCTATCCTACTCGCCCCGGCGTCGGCGTCGGCGTTGGCGTCACACCTTGGTTAAGTTTTTCGTACCACCCCACTTTATTTCAGAAGTATTACAAGTATGGCTTTGAAACTTACCATACTTGTTCACCATCATAACCTCCATCTACAGACAAGAGTACATAACTCTGTCAAGGTTTTTGACAGAATTATGGCCCTTTTTTGACTTAGAAAGTGTATTGAGCTTGGTTAAGTTTTTTGTACCACCTCACTTTATTTCAAAACCATTGGAGGTATTGCTTTGAAACTGACCATACTTGTTTACCATCACGACCTTCATCAACAGACAAGAGGACATAACTCTGTCAAGGTTTATGACAGAATTATGCCCCTTTTTGACTTAGAAAATACATTGAATATGGGTAAAATCCACTTATTGCCTTAACCCTTTGAGATATTGCTTTGAAACTTTTAATGCTATTTCACATCATTACCCCCATCTGTACGCAAGAGAAGGTAACTCTGTCAAGGATTTGTTTTAAAAATTAAGGCCTTTTATCGACTTAGAATTAAATTTATTTAAGGCTCAACTCAGTTTTTTTTTCTTTCTTACCAGCCCTCTTTTGACTTAAACATTTCAAACTTTGCTGCAGTGTTCAAGGGTATCACACAATTCAGTAAAATAATTCTTCACTAAATATCTTAATGCTCATGGCCATTGTTCACTTTAAAAATACAGAGATTCTTGTATTGCCTTTTACTGCAAAAACTTTTTTTATTGGCAAGCAATAAAAAAGTCGAGCGCGCTGTCTTACGGACAGCTCTTGTATAAACATAGCATTGAAACATTGAACGTAAGATATAATGGTTTATATAGTCAGCTGTCATAAGAATACAGATTCAAAATGACATGTAACACATTCAGATTGTAGTATTTCATTCAGTACAACATGGAAAAGGTAATCAAATGTTCCATACTTCACAAAATTGATATCATTTTTGAGTGTGTTGTTGTGAATTGATGCACTGTTTTGAGTTTAGGTGTGCAGAAAAATAATTTCAAAGGTCTGAATATTGATTAATTACAAAGCATTTGAATGATACATTGTGCATTAGTAACACAGTTATATGTTTTTATCTATTTCTATCCTAACATGAATGAGAATTGATAAAATATATGTTGAACTTCATTGTTGTAATTTGAGCAAAGAGGTAATATTCATTATGTCATTTGGTTTATTGAAGTCACTTAGTGACATCTTTTCACGTGTAAGCATTCCTATTTATGCTGTTTCTATATCATGTAATAATGTACTTGACTGCCCTATATGTGTATAAGGGGAATAATGAATGTTATGCCACCCTCATTTGAGATCGGCAATGATTACACATCAGGCAAACTGTTTAAATGAATGCTTGAAGCTGTAATAAGCAGTTGCCACCAGTATAAAATAAGGGAAATTGACTGTATGGTAAAGTGCATGACAAAATCTGGTAATTGATTTGCTTTGTATGCCATGTTTGTTAATAAAAATACAGGTTATCTACATGAATCTTAAGTAAAAAAAGGCTCACAAGTGGATTTAATTATTAAAAACATGGCGATTTTTCCATGACATCCTATGCAGATTGTAGAAAATTGATGTCAGATAAACTGCAAAAAAATACAAACAGAAAACTGTTTGGGAAATATACCTAAATACGAAAATAGTCACATTAAACAGTGGAATGGTGGGGCGTCCTTGTCCTTGGGACAGATTTCTAGTTCTTGCTGCTAAATCCACTCTTAGTTTTTCTACAAAGGGTTATAATTGACTTTGCTAGGACTTCAATAGTAATTTTAATATATCAGTTTATCTGCCACTGTTCATTTTAACAATTATTACAGGGTATGGAGAAGATAGAAAATTTAGACTCTAAAGGGTTTAATGAATATTTGAAGCAGTATCAAAATACTATATGTGGTAGATATCCCATTGGTGTCCTCTTACATGTAAGTAGTTCCATTATTTTTTAGCACAACTATAAAAAAAAGATACATGGAAAGTTTCTTTTCCAGCAGTAGAGTTAAACCATACTCGCATATGGTATCCTACTCATGAAGGTTCCAGCTGTCAAGTCGAGCCTTGTTTTAAATATTTTTGTACAGACCCTCTAGTTCATGGAAACATTGAGACTTATTTGTTACTAGGCACTCGACAAAATAATGCCTTTATTCAACTAAGAATTTGGTTACTTTTATTTTTTTAAACCACTCTTTTCTTACTGAACTTAAAGAACTGTTTTTATTCCGCTATCAAATACTATGAGACAACTCATCAACACTTATAATTGTGGTATGAAATATCTTTGTAAGAACTTTCATAATCACCTGTATACATTTTCTGTAGTTGTTGACAAGTGTCTAAATTGGTATGATTTTGGTATGAATTTCTATTGCCAACTTAAATTTATATGAAAATTTATGAAAAACACGTTGTTGACTATGAATTAACTATAGATGATAATAATGACATTTTTGAATTTTTTTTGTAGACTATTGATGCAATGCGAAAGGTCAGCAATGGGCACAGATTGTCTTTCAAATTTCTTCAATATTCACAGTCGAGTAAATGTTCAAATATGCGTGATTCTTCTGTCAGCTATGCCGCAGGTGTTCTAATGATGGAATGAAAGATGACGCACCGTAGATATTCAAAACCCCATCAGCCACTAGATCAGTTCTTGGAGGAAGTTTGAATCTGTTATAATTATCCTTTAATTTGCTGAATATCTTAAATGGTCTCGTCCACTTTGTCTTTTATCGATTTTGGTGTTTTCTTGATGAAAATTTGAAAATGATTAGCCAACAGTATAGAGCCTGGTCAGACTGCACAGAAATGCAAGTTGGCCTAGCTCTGTACTGGTGGCAAAGGCTAACTACTTAACATTTTCAGCAGGATGACTGTTAAAATATTGTTTTTTCCCTTCAAAATATAGAATTTTGTGATTTAACGTAATACAGATTACAGGTGTAGTCTTTCAATTGATATTTAAATGAGGGTATGTGGTGATTCAAATGAGTTTGAAGACTAGTGTAAATCTTAAGTGTTTCATTGGTTGATTTGAAACATTCTTTTCAAATTTGACCAATCATGAAACTTTATTATTTGACTGGTCTACAATCACATTTGATGAACCTTTACAGATAATGTATTATATAAATAAGAAAGGTTTTATCTTGGCCTAGTTGTTTGCATGGAATTTTCATAATATGAATTTAAAGTTCTTGAAAGATTTTTACACAAAGACTGCATTTACCATATATATTTTTTGCAAACTGTTTAATCTTTTCCTTATTTGTTGTGTTTAAATTCATGTCGCTAATATTTACTGAATACTGTTACAACTAGTTAATTGTCACATCTACTTAGATCAGTGAGATATATGTTATATATCAGTGAGATACATGTTAAAGATCAGTGAACTATGTTAAAGATCAGTGAGATATATGTTAAAGATCAGCAAGATATATGTTATAGATTAGTGAGATATACATTAAAGATCAGTGAGATATACATTATAGATCAGTGAGATATATGTTATAAATCAGTGAGATATACATTAAAGATCAGTGAGATATATGTTAAGGATCATTGAAATATATGTTATAGATCAGCAAGATATATTTTATAGATCAGCAAGATATATGTAAACAATCAGTGAGATATATGTTATAGATCAGTTAGATATATATGTTATAGATCAGTGAGATATTTATTATAAATCAGTGAGATATCTATTTAAGAACATTATGAAAATTGCCTTGTTGTTTTGCACCCACTATACCATTTTCAGTGTCAATTGCTATTTTATACCATTACTTAATACCATTGCTATTATCTTTGTATAGAATAATGTATGTGCTATGTTCACATTATTGTTTGATTTTGAAGACCAAAATGTATTTAATACATTTTTGTAACACTAAACCATCTTCGGATAGTAATTGTTGGTAGTAAATGGGCTTTCAAAATAAGTTACAGTTTCATTTTGTGAAATTGTGCGAGAGAGGCATTAATTGTGTGTTTTATTTTTTGTTCTAACCTAAGTAGCTCTTAGAACTTTGTAATTGTTGGTACAGGAATAAATTTGGTCTATATTGTTAGTATGGCAAGTTTATTTAAAGAAACCAGAAAGAAAACAATGAATGTCATTTTGCATGTTAAAGTAGTGAAAATTTTGCATGTTAAAGTAGTGAAACTACTATGGCTATAAATGCTATAATAATTCATATGATACATTATGTACATTTTAATTAAATTCCTTTTGTCATGTACAATCTTAAATCATACATGTGTATGCGTTGATATCTTTTGAATGAAGTACATTGAGTTTGATAAACATTAAAATTTTGTATTTGATGTAGATTTTTTTACTTATCAATGTTATAAAATGTTATTGCATTCATGAAGGTGGCGTTACAGCCCTGGACTATCATTACAGTCTTGTAAATGTCATTACAACATTGTAAATGGCTTTCTAGATGATCTGGGATATCACTGTGATCTTATAAATGTCATTGCAACTCTGTAGGTAGATTTACAGCCTTGGAATAGCATTACAATCTGTAATTGTCATCATGTTCAAAATATGTCATTTTTGACCATGTAAATGTAAATACATTTTGGGTTACGTTATTACAATCTTGTAAATGTCATTTCAACAAAGTACAATTGTAATGCTATTACACTTAGGGTAATGTTAATCTTATAAATGTCATTTCTACTCTGTAAATGTCATAACTACACTGTAAATGTCATTTCTTACCAGTTTGTGATAAAAAGTTTGTGATAATGCTTATGAAATATGAAGAATTCGTTTGTAATCGTGTGATGAATGTTTGCTCTAACCATCTTAACACACCTTTCTGAATGAACACATACTTACATGCATACAAATTAGACAAATACAATGATTCAGTATTAAACTTTTTATGTTATGCAAACTTTTTTTAAGAAAATAATTTTTGCAGTATCAGTCACAAACACAGAAACAAACATCAGAATCAGTCTTTAGAATTTCACATTTGAAAATACAACTTCACACAATCAGGTCTGGCAAAATTAACTTTCAAAATAGCACACTTGTGTAATCTTCCTTATATATAATAGTGATAGTTACATTTAACAAACGTTAATTGGTACAGAACTTCAGTTTATTTCTTTTAGTTATTATTATAATGTACTGCGTTGCGTTGATTTAACATGTTTATTTAAAAATTAATGAATTTTGATAAAGATATAATAATCTACAATTTGTAATGTAATTAACTCACTCATAATAATCTACGATTCGTAATGTAATTAATTCCACTCGTAATTATCTACCATTTGTAATGTAATTAATTCCACTCGTAATAATCTACGATTTGTAATGTAATTAATTCCACTCGTAATAATCTACGATTTGTAATGTAATTAATTCCACTCGTAATAATCTACGATTTGTGATTCCACTTGTAATAATCTATGATTTGTAATGTAATTAATTCCGCTCCTAATAATCTACAATTTGTAATGTAATTAATTTCACAAATACACCAGTTAGTTGTTAAGGTATTGTTTTTACGAATAAAAGTAAAATCAAATCGACTGGGTACAGAATACGGGTAGTGGGTAAACGGATCTCATTTGTTCTGGTGGTTGATTTTTTAAACCAAACAATTAAGTATTCTACTGCAGAACTGAAAAAAAGTTCTCTAGAGAAAATTCTGTTTATAAAATAAGTATATACAGTGAAAATCTCAATAGGATAATTTTTATTAATATGTAATATATCTGAAAACATGTATATAAAGTTAGGATTTGTTAAGTTTTGGACTCATTTCAAATAACAGTGTCCATTTGATTTAGATAAATTACATTTTTTTAGCGCACTTAAATATTGTCTTAAGTTACCTTTGCGTGAGTGTACTTTTCACAAATTCAAATTCATGAACAAGTACTATAATATAGATAAAATGAAAACTTCTTAAGTTCACCCAACATGACAAAATTGAAAATGTTGCAGGCTCTTGTTTAATTGAGCCAGTTTGTGTCAAATACACATTACTTTCCTAGCACTGGCTTAAAACAAGCTAACATTAAAGCAAGAAAATTGATTTTGTATCCTCCCATATAAACTGGCATGTAATTCATTACCCATTTTCAGCCAGGAGTTACCATGACAATGATTGCACACGTAAATTTGATGATGCTGTACTAGTTAGGCAAATGCACCAGTTTATATATGTTATAAAACCTATGTTAATTTGAATAAAATTCTTCAAGAAGAATTTTAATTTACCTGTATTACAATATCTATAATCAAGAAAATCGTTATCAAACCACTTTCAAGTACATTTTGTATTTTCTTCTTATTATGAATTTCGTTACCATTTATCAATCAATCACAACACGATATAATGACCTCGATAGCTGTAGTACATTTTTGTTTCCAATCATTTTTGTTTCCAATCTTCCTTACATTTAAATTTTTTTATGCTGTTTTAAGCCAATAAATATGAAATGTATATTATGTTGAATATAATTATGGCACCCGTGTTGCCTAGCAATTAAGAGAACTGACTTCAAACCACTTGCCCTTCACTGCTGTGGGTTCGAATCCAGATTTTTTTGTGTGATTAAGCTATCAAGCAAGGTTATACATGTAGATGGTTGAACTGATGCCAACGCTTGTCTGAAATAATGGGCAGCTCTAGGTGCACCAGAGGCCTTCTACCATCAGGCAAGCTAGAAAGTTGCCATTTGATCTTTACATTGTTAGTTCGATATAAAACCCAACAACAGCAACCACAAAAAATGAATGGTGAAATAAGTTAAAATGTTCTAGACATATAGTGGAATAAATGTGTTGTAAAAAATCGTGTGGGGTAAATATATACATAATATATCAATGAAGCTTTGGTTTGGTGAAAGCAAAATTGCAATCCTTTATGATGTACATGTTGTAGAATTAGGTAATATAAACAAAGCATGGGTGTTCATATGAAGTTTTAATTTTGCTTAAATATCAAATAAACTTTGAAAATGTTAAATATGTCTTGTGTTGTTTTTCTACGTTTAAGTGCATTTCTTTGTAGCTGACCTGGGCACAAAATGCTGGGGAGCTTTTATGATGGTCTTATGATATCTGCAATTTGTATGCCCCAATGATAGCTTGTTTTTTTTAACAGTAAGTAAAGAACACTTTGTCCTATAGTCCTTAGATTTGGTGTGAAGGCTAGTCATGGCTACTGACTAGAAGATGATTCCTAAATAAATAATGATTTTAAGGTCATTGGGTCAAAGCTTCAGAGCCACATCAGACATGTGTGTGGTCAAGAACAAGTGTTGCATCATAGGTTTGTGCCAACTTATTTTTATTGTTATACAAGTTATGTTTTAATATACCACTCGCCTTGTACAAAAAATGCGCAAGTACATATATGGACATATGCCCCCGTGACAACAAATGAAGAGTCTCAAGGACACATACATTTTCTTTATTTAAACAAGTTTCATCTTCTAAATCAAAGGATAAATTTTGAGCAGACTCCACAGGAACGATTCCTGCGCAAAATTTAAATATTTTGTTATGGACAAGTAAGGTCACAGGCACTTGTCAGGAACATTTATAATCATGGTCAAAATTGCCCACAGGAATATGGATCACATTTGTTATATAGACTTTAAAGAATTAACATTTTAAAAACATTGGTATTCGCAAAAATTGAGTCACTCCTTACAAATACCAAAGACAGTGACTTCAAAACCTTCTGGAGCTTATATCTTAGAAACAGTCATGTATACACATGTAGCATACTAAAATTAACCCCCGTTACATAGTCAAAACTCGTTTAACCCCAGAGACACTTGTTTCAAAGATTTACGTAGGAGAATATGGTGTTATTAAATGCAAGGCACAGAGCACAGATATTTGAAATGTAAGATTTCATTGGATCTTCTATAAAGTAATATTAATTTAAGTCACAGGGACCATATTTGGTCTACTTTCAGGTTATGTTTCGTACAGCAGACATATCGTCTTATAGGTTACTACACAAGTCTCATCATCAATGACCGAGAAATATCCGTAATAAAGGCAACAATGTATGAAAATATTTTTATAACTGATTGCTTACTTACATGCGATGTTACCTAAAGATCAGTACCATTTTTAATATTTTTTTTCAAGACAAACTCTAAAACAGAATGATGGAAACTAAAGAAACAGGGCAAATTCTAAGAATCTTTTATGAGGAAAAGGCCATGCTTAAATTCAATCGCTGCCCACTTTTTCGTTTTAAAATCTTTCACTAACATCGTGTCCCAATTAGCACTAATTTTACACGGTATTATACCAATATCAGTTATAACGTTATCATCTATGACAAAACCAGCTTTATTAAACGTTACCACTCGTTTATCGTCTTGAACACAGGCGTAGATGAGCGATTTGGCACAGAGGATACCGGAAACAGACCGGGGTACCGATGTGTTCCACACAATTTTTCCACTCTGATTCACACAAACAACAGCGTCTCCGGTTCCAAGTATAATATGACCGTCAGAAAATCCACTAATTCCGCCAATTTCTTTAATTTTATAATCATTACTTTCAAAAGTAAGTTCGTGCGCTGAAATTTCGAAAACAGGAGGCCGACCAGGACGTCTCGTTTCTCTCGCCTGAACAATATCTACACAGTTTATTGGCTGCTTTGGAAAACCTTTGTATAACGCAGCAAACAGGTAAGATGGGTGATGAGGACCATCATCAGAATTACCAATGTGACACAGGTCAACATAAGATTGCTTTATGTTGATTTTATAGACCACAGTTATGCCATATAGAATATCTATTACTGTAATGCATTTTTGTAATTGCAAAACGGCAAACTGCGTTTGTGACCCTAAAATAGGACACATATTGGAACAATTTGCCAGTTTCATTTCTACAATCAATTTCAACCCTTTCCGGTCGCGTTTCTGTATTTTCTGTCCTAGTGACAGAATCAAGTGATCTTTCAAAATAAGAGCATCTTCGCAACCATCAAGCTGATATTTATCCTTTACGACATATTTCGAACTTTTTGCATTTCTCAGAAACATTTTCTTTACTGGTTTATCTGTTAGAACATCCGGTAATGATTTCGAGGAGTCTCTCACGATTTGATCCTTCCTGTTTTTCACTGGTTGCGGTGTTACAGAAACAGGAGGGAGTTTCAATCGTTCTTTTACAGCAGCTATTTGCTTCTCGTATTTGTTTGTATGCCTCTCGCTTTTTATACTATTTTGAGCTGGATTTGTTGTCGTCGCTGACATAGAAAAGGCCGGAGCATTGTTTTGCCATTTTATAACTCCAGTTAGATTATTTTCCGCTTCTTTTTCGCCGTCATCGTCTATAAAATCTGGTGGGTTTTTCTTAGCTTTAGTTTTGTATGTTATAAGCTTTCCATTCAATTTGTCAACATCATCGATATCATCAATAATATCATCATCCAGTCCGTCAATGTCATTTCCAAACAGAAAATCTCCATCGTCTGCATCATTATATTCCTCATCAGAAAACGCTTGGTCGTAGGCCATATACTTCGGTCTTCCTCGGATGACTACGGGGTCGCCATTATAAGACAGCATCTTCATGAACTTTGGATCTACAGTAACTTCAATGTAGTTTGGGAGACTATACAACATCTGGTTAGCGCTATGAATCTGCTTCTTAACATTTCTAAGTTGAGTAACCATATCTTTTGGTTTGACATTCCTTCTAAATTTCACAGGAGACGTCTTAGATGTGAACCCATTTAGCTGTTGGCGCGAAAGTTCAGAGAGTTCGTCTGCTGTGAAAGCCTTTATCTTCATCTTCGTCTGTTTCAATTTCCTCTTCATATCTCTATAGAATCTATCTAAATGGATTTCCTCATCGTTTACACGGTATAATAGATTTCTCTGGTACGAACCGTCTATGATTCGGTTAGCACGGTCCCGCAGACTCAACAAATCTTGTATATGCTCCTCCATCTCAAGTTGCAGACGATCATACACATCGCGCACGTGCATGGATTCACAAGGATGCATCTCGTGATCTTTAACCTTACATTTATGACAACAATAACGTTCATGATGTAGACAGAAGTAGTCCAATTTCTGTCCGTGTATGTCACACATTTTACTTAGGTTTACAGCCTCGCTTTTATGGAATTTTAATTCACTACTTTACTGAAATAGAATATTATTACATTATTTTCAGCTGAATGACTATCAATGCTGTTATATTATAAAATCAGTACAATTGAAAACATAAAACAATAGAAGTATATCGATTTTATCGTCAGATGTCCAACGAACCGTTTGAGGTAAGATAATAGCCGTAACAATGTCTTTAAAAATAAAATTTAAATACCACGTCTTATATTTCTTCACAATTTAAAATGACTCGATTTGCGAATTCACGGAATAATTTCTTAAGGTAGATAGTAGCGCTAATCTCCTGAATCTTTATTGTAGTGGTGTGCATAAATCATATTTAAACAATGTGTGATAGACATAAGCAGAAGGTGTTGGACCATTATTGTTTGGAGCACGAGCTTATTATCTGTGCACAATGTGCGACAGAAGAGCACGCGCAAACACCATGCGAAAGTATGCCTGTTAAAGAGGCATCACGTCATTTAGTACCGCAATATGAAGTCGAGTTGTCCGAACTACGGAAACTTAAAATGGTAAGCCAGTCTATACTTGATGGAAATAGGCAGGTGGACACTTTAAGAACTGTTGCAGAGGCCGAAGCACTTCTTGATCAGTTTGTTGATGAAATAAAGCAAAAGTTCAAGAAAGCAAAATCTATGTTGCATCCGTTTTCCGAACTATCTAGAGAAGAAATGTGGAAGTTAAAAGCTGTAGTATCAAAGAAACTGCCAAATGGACCTCACGTGAGAGAAACCGAAGATCTTCACGAAGCGCGAGATTTGGTCACAAGACTTCAAGAGGTTCGGAAGCAGACAAAGTCCGCAAAAGATACCCTCAACAGCTTATCAAATTACGTTGAAGTAACAGTAAATCAAGACTTTCTAAATTCCCTCTCATTTGACGGGAACCCAATTCACATTAAAAAGCAAGTAGATGCAGATGACAGCGTCGATGAGATGCCAGACGACTCGGCGTCATTTTTAACGACAAGCCAGCAGGAAACAGTTTATCTGATAGAAAAATCTTCTTTCACACTTGAGCACTGTACAGACATTGCTATAATGGACGAACATCACATCATAGCGTCTGTTGGAGACAGTGTACAGAAACGGGAACGAAAGAGAATGTCGTTTAGACAGGGTATCTCAGTTCCCGGTGCAGGCAAGCTTTGCGTTATTGGAGAAACAACGGAAGTATCGGTTCTGCAACAAAGATCCGGTCATATAACAGTGATAGAAACAGAACCAAACCTAACAATACTTTACAGACTTAATTTCCACCATCAGTTTGTAGATATTAGCTACCTCGAGAGTGTAGTGGGCACAGACGGATGTCCGACACAGTCACCAGTGTTTGCCGTCTGCTACAGCGTACACGATTCGTTTGTAACAGAAAATATTGATTTAATCCAGCCAAAACCAACAAGATATCCGGGCAAACCACCGACATTCTTGACAAAATCCACAACCATAGCAGAAAGTGATTATCACATCAATAAATCCCGTTTTCGTGGCATTTCTAATGTCGCAACTTTCAAAAACCGGTACATCTTAGTTGGTGCAACCAGAGGAGTAACTTGCATCAACAAAAAAGGAACAATGATTTGGACAATTGACCTATTCAAGCGAGTGACACAGATCATGGCCTACAGAACGCTGATCTTCGTGGCAGTGAAGGATGAAAGAAAAATCACAACTATAGGAAAGCAAGGTCACGTGATCGAGGACAATATCATGCCGCCAATGGATTTATATCCACAGAAAATAAGCGCTTTTGAAGACCAGTTAATTGTGAAACACACCGGTCTATATAAATGGACAATCTTTAAGAAAATGTATGAATTAGCAGGATAACCTCTGAAAATATAATAAAACAAATAAACCGAAGGAGAATAGTTACTAGTATGCGACACGATAACATATACATGTGAATTAATTATTTATATATATTGTGACTTTTCAAAGATTCTAATTTTAACAGACCAATGTCATTTAAAGTACAGTTTATGATTACTGTAATTATTAGTTTAATATCATAAATATCATTACAGCAAGTGTTTATCTTATTAAATGTATTGGAAAATGTTTTTAATTATCAATTTGTACAAATGCGTATATTTTACGTGTCTGCCAATGTGTTTAATATGGTTAAACTCCCACTTATTTCTTTTTCAAACGGATAACTTTCTACAGAACAACCTCTGGTGTAAAACACCCTTAGGGAGACAAAGATATTGGTTGCTGCTGAGTTGTTGCACTACAGAGGTTATTGTGAAGTCTTACTAAAACATTTATAATGTTGTAATGTATTCAGATAGTCGCTCTGCACTTCTCGAATCACATTTCTTTTCAGGTCTACTCATACAGTAAAAGTTGGCACCAACTTTCCTTCACTCTAAATACTATTTTTATTAATGTTTTTCAACGATGTATTGAACTAATTCAGGGCCAGTTAACTGAATTCTGACATCAGTTTACACCCCTTTATATATTACTACTGTTAAAAGCTTAAAAACGCAATCGGTTTGTACTAAATTCTGACAGACATTTTAACATCAAATAACATTCAGACAAAATTGATCGCCGTTCACTAAGAGTTATTTTCTTTAAGAAATATTCTTAAATCTAAATGAATTTAAAATATGAATAATAGTTTGAAAAAAAAAAGATTTAAATCACCTGCAACCATACTACGACGGTTCTAATGAAATACATGTAGAATATTTAACTTAAGGGACAAGCAGTTACACAACCTTCAATCTGATCATTTTCACGTAGATCAAGATGGCTAGTAGACCTTGCCTCAGCTAGAAGTCCATGCATAAACAGTTTTTCAGAACCAGTATGTATCATAACTTGAATGGACTCCATGTATTCTGCAACTCGGTATCGTGGGCTTGTGAACAGTAAAACTTTGGAAATGGGCGCTCTTTCTTTTTGCATAGAAATGCGTGGTTCCCTTGCTATATAGTCCCTTTTTATTCTGGGAACATAAAATGTACACTTGGCATCAGAAATCCTTCGTTTTGTTTGGTTTAGTTTGATTAAGCAGCTACTTCTGAAGGTGTTAATACATGTACTAGATGCCTCCATATGAACGTTATCATTTAGGCACAAACCAACACATCTGTAGTTCCACTGAAGTTTTTTCATTTTAGAAACTTAAATTTACACATTAAAACATGTTAAGAAACACACAAGACGCGTTTTAAATATGTTTCTTTATTCTAAACTAGACAATAGTAACAGTTTTACAAGCATCTAACATTCACGGACATTAAACAGTTTCAAAGTATAAAACAACTCTTTCAATATTTTGTTGTCGTTTTTTAAGAAAAATAGTAAAACTTAAGAAAGCTGCACTGGTGATACTAAAATAAAAAGAAGCAACTCAAATTTTAGCATGATCAATAACTCGTTTTTTTGGTCATAGTTTTAAATAATCTCCGGCGTTTTAGTACTGAAAAGAAAATCAACATACATTTACTCATATTTACGATGCAGTATTGAAACATATTTTAATTTTGAAAAAAAAACAACAACAATGACGTCTACATGAAATAGAATGTACATAACATCATGTAAAACAATCATGGCTACATCAATGGGTAAAGTTTCACAGTTTAACTTTCAAACAATACCCCAAGGACAGTTCATTATTCACAACAATTCACCATCTACTGCCTTAACACAATACCCAATGACAGTGCATTACCGACTATTGCCCAACTACTGTCGTAATTTTTTTTCCAAACTAATTACCATTTCTTGAAAATATTCAAATGTTCGCAATGAAAATGACGATAACAAGGGGAAATAATCAATAACCTAATAATGTCTTAGAGTTGTTGACCTTGAACAGAGATCATAAATTTTATAATTGATGAAATAGAATTCGCATAGGAAAAGTCCAAAAAGGGGTGGAATCAGTAAAATATATGCTAAAGTTATGGCTCCTGGTCACTTTTCTATAATTATTACCTTAAAGACAGGTGAATTTTAAGTGAAAACTTTCTGTGGTAAATTGTAAGCTAACCTTATCCGAATGTTACACAAAGCTAAGATGAGGGCCTAGGTAACTATTCTTTGAATAGCTGAGGTAAAAAACAAAATCAACATTTAACATGAATAAAATTGAACAACAAGATATACATATAAATGTAAAATTGTCTGATTAAAATTGAAAATTCATTTTATTAAGCATGCACAATAATGTAAATCTCACTTCGTTGTGTAATCTGAAAAACAAAAATCTTTTTTTTTCTCTCATTTAATACTAAACAATGTTTTACCAAGCAATATATTTAACATATATCAATATTTTGAGAATGAAATGCAAAATGTCAATAATCAATTCATCAAAACAACAAAAACGTTTCAAGTAAAATTACACAGCTATATATATCATAATTACAAATTATTGTCTTCTAAAAAATTCCAACAGTTTCCTCAATATGTAAGACATCTTCTAATTCTCTGTGCTGGGTTCCATTTCCATGGCAACACAAACATCATGTTGTCAACATCTCACACCACATCCAAAGCAAAACAGTTTCCCGATATTTTCTTTTTATTTATACTCATATAAATTATGAACATAGTCACATATTATCAAACAGGCCTCAAATTTTTGGTTTATTCATAAAATAGAAGTACAAGTAAATATTCCTTTAAGCTGCATGCCCAAAGATAGATGAGCAAGCTGCTTACTTTATATTAAAAATATTAAGAGTTTGAAAAATGTATAAATGATTACAACTCTTGCTTTATGCAAGCATTATCACTTTCGATTCCAGCAGGGTTCAGGGCTAACAGAGTGTTTTCCTTGCATCTTCTTAAAAACAACAAGATATTTACTTATATTGTGTCTCATGTTATGCTATAAACATTATCATTATAATATTTCATTATCTGTTCATTTGTAGTTCTTAGTACTATTTAAAGCAAAGCTTTATCATTTCATAAAAACATGAATCTGGAAATAAAACTGATAACAAAAAAGTTGTTCATTGGCAACAAAAACAGAACGTAAGTGTGCAGCATGAAAGCTTCAATGCTTTATTTCATGGAAACGTGTGACGATGACAAACCCTCTGATGCCTATGTCAACGTCACGGCAGCTTGATATTCTTTAAATTGCCACTTTACTGTTGCAATACCAGTTGAATCACATGAACAACACAGGCTAATTCCACATGGGTCATTTTCTCTGCATATCCTTTCTGCTAATTTGTATGTGAATTACCCATTACAAAACTTACATATCTAATGTCTTAATATTATTTTCTTTATGACTGGAATGGTTATCCAGAGAAACAAAAGGTATCATTAAAGTTATAACAAGTGACTTATTGTGATGGATTTTCTGGCACACTTCTCTTCTCCAGCGTCGGCTCTATCATGGGCATCATGTATGACGAGAACACTCGCAGAATAAAACACAAACACTATTATATAGATTATCATTCACAAATCACTAGTAGTACATGTACACGTTTCTTAACACTTTGCTTTTAAACACAGATTAAATCTAAAGCATATATACTAAGATATACAACTTTTAATCGGAGTTTGTAAGTTGTTCTTCTAATTTTGCTGATAAATTGATTCACAATGCCTCATCTAAAATTTCCAAATCTTCAAGGTCATCAAGGACCTCAAAGTCACTGTCCATATGCATACTGATGCCACTAGCATCACTCTTAAGTTCTGAAATAAATTAAATATTTATATATTAAACACAACATTTGTGTCTTACTTGCCTTCATACTTATCTCTCATACTACCAAAACAGTCCCCCAAAGATGAAAAATGTGAAGAATAAACTTTGCTCAAAATACTGATTAGATTAGGACATAAATACAGTGTACCAATTTGCTATATCTTATTTCAATATTTTTTTTAAAATGTTTTACAGTAACTGATTGTAAAGAAAACAGAAACAATGTAAAGTTTGATTTAAAATTACTAAATGTAGGAGTTATTTAAGAAAAATAAACAGGAAATTAAAACATTTGTCTGAAAAATAGGAAAAGACCATAGTTTACATAGTCTGAAATACAAGTAACATGCAAGCATTGATAAATTATGTGAATAATAGTTTTCTCCTACAGAAAATATTCATAATATAAACAAATCCTTATTTTTGAAGATCATATGATCAGTTGTAAGATATCTTTACAAAAACTTGAACTATTAATATCAAAAATAATTAATATATTGCAATAGGGTTCCGTGTCTCTTACTTTTAAAAATAATCAACCTTAAATTGCAAATTTCTGTTACAAACTTTGTAAAAGGTAAAAAAAAAATGAAAATAGTTACTGAAGTTAGTATCTTAACAAACACTGCTGCAGCATACAAAAAAAAAATCGGATAAATTTTGCAGAAAAAATGATGAAAATGTCAAAAATAACAGGTACACAAAATTCTCACCTTCAATATCTGATATTTCCTCAGGATCAGCTTTTGCAGTGTCTGATTTTAATGAAGCCTTCCTGACCCTTGGACTAGCTGATTTCTTTTTCTTACCACTAGCCATTTTATCAACCTTAACACTAGAATTTAATTCTAAATCTTTATTACTATCATTAGCTTCACTATTATCAACATTATCAGATTCACCAATTTCAACAGTTTCTTCAATGTCAGCTTTGGCTGAGCGTTTTGCTCTCGTTGTTCTCGCAGGAGCTGCTTTTGCTTTGCCACGTCCCCGTCCCCTTCCTCCTCCCCTTTTCTTTCCACGTCCTCTCCCTCTCCCTCTTTGGGCTGGAGCAGGACTAACAGGCTCATCTATTTCTGTGTCAGAATCATCAATTACTGCTTCTGGTTTGGTACTTTCATCCTTAATTTCTGGCGATTCTTCTTTCTTCTCAGCCATTTCACTTATGTCATCGCCACTTTCAACTTTAACATCCCCTGGTTCTGTATTCTTGTCAACTTCTATATCCATTTGCACTGATTCTTGCTTCTTGTCGACTTCTATATCTATTTGCACAGATTCTTGCTTCTTGTCAACTTCCATATCCATTTCCACAGACTTGGGTTTCTTGTCATCTTCTATATCCATTTGCACAGATTCCTGATCTTCTTTGATAGTACTATCATTTGACTCAATAATGATTTCGACTTTAGTTACAGATTCCTTTTCCAGAACAATATTTTTCTCTTCTTTAGGAACAATGTCTGCTTTGACAGTTTCACTCATAATCATGCTACTATCTTCTTTTTTTACAATATCAGGTTTTCCATTCTCAATATTTTCCTCAGAATTTAGTTTAATGTTTGTATCTTCTTTAGTGTCAGTTAAAGCCAAAGAGGAAACATTTTCACTATCTTCACATTTTATGTCCATTTTAATCTCTAACACATCACTTTTGACATCCATTTTTTCGTTCTCATCTTTTACCTCAATTTTGATCTCTTGAGATGTTTCAGCAACTTCCTCCATCTTCACATGCCCTTGTTCAGGAATTTCTTCTTTCTCTACTGTAACAGTAACCATTACAGGTTTTTCATCATCATCTATTGTTTCAGAATTAAAAACTTTATGCACAGCGTTTTCATCAACAGTTGCACTTGGTTTTTGGTCAGGAAGAGGAACATTCTGAGAAGCTGGTGGTGGGGGCTTTTTCTCTGCCAAGGGAACTTCACTATCTGGGTCTATCCCCATCATTCTCTTTTCATTCTCTTCTTTCATTTCTTTTTTCGTTTTAACAGTCAATTCTGGATCTTTTTCACTGGATTTTTCCACATTTTCCTCACCCTTCATCTTTTCCTGGTCAGCTGCTGTTGCAGCTTCTTTTTCTTTGTCAGCTGCTGCTGCAGCTTCTTTTTCTTTGTCAGCTGCTGTTGCAGCTTCTTTTTCTTTGTACTTTCCAGTAAAAGCTTCCAGAATTTCTCTGGCACTTATCCTTTTCTTTTCACTTATTACAGGTATTTTCCCTTCACCATTATTTGTTGTAAGAAACTGGTCCAAATTAGCAGTTTCACCAGGCTTTCCAACTGACTCAGTCTTCTTACCAACAGGCTGCCATGGTGGTAGCAAAGGGTTTTTCTTTTGGGCACCTGTTTTACCAATTAAAGATTTACCTGTCTTATTACTCAAGTTTATATTGAAGTTAATCTTTCCCTTTTCTTTATCTTGACCGGCCTCGGGAGTTTTATCTCCGTCCTTAGCATCTTCATTCTTTTTATCTCTAGTCCAATTAAATTTTCCAAAACCCTTTTCAGGGACATCACTTGTCTGCTTCTGGTCTTTCAGACTTAACTTTATCTGGCTTTTATTTGTTTCTTGCTTTTGTATTCCAGCACTTGTATCATCCAGATCATCAACATTTTTGTCCCATTTTTTCTCGTTGGCCCTAATTCTAGCATCTTTCTCAGAATTATTTTGTTTAGTTTGTTGTCTTGTTTTAATTTCTAATTTTTCCTTCTGCTCTTTCTTAGTCGCTTTATTGGCAACCAGTACCTTCTCTCGCTCTTCCTTGTACTTTTTCTCATAAATTGGATTTTCAGCCAGATATTTCTATGAACAAAAATAAAAAACGTAAAATATTTATATACAATTTCTAGTCACATTTGTATCTTTGTTTGTTTTCTTGTTTTTCATATTTATCTATATATTTTATTGTTAAATATCATAAATGCCAAGTCTTTAGACACCTTCATACCTTTACAATATACAGTTTCTAACAAGGGCTTTCATTAGCAAATAAGAAATATAAGAAAGGCAAAAAAAAAAAATAAAAAAAAAATTGCAGAATTGGTTATGCAGCACATAATTTTTTACACAAGTTTGATGCTTTACTTTGGAAACATACAAAACAAAGAAATCTTGAATCTTTTGAATGATAAATGACATTGCTGCTTGGAAATAAGGAATTAAAAGAATGTCAAAATAACTCATTAGTAAATAGCAGAATTCAACTTCGAGATTTTTGTGTGAAAACCAAAATTGCTGTTGTATTTTTTTATATAAATCATTCACAATCAGTTTTTGCCAGTTATTTATTCCAAAAACTGCTACAAGCAAATTTTTAAAACAACTTACTAGCAATGAATATTCTATGGTGCTGAATCAGACTTACAAAAGTCATGTCAATTTTCAAACAATCAAATTATTATGAAGACCCAATATAATAGAGAATAAAATGCATTATATTCAAAAATACACTAATTTGCAATATGCAGTTTTAAAACTTTTAAAAATACAGTTACTTTATCACAAAAAATCAATATTACCTCTCAATGAATAAAAACTTACCTGTATAACTCACAGGGGCAGTGTCCAACATACATAGAATATGGCCCACAATTTTGTCAATTCATTTTCACCTGTGCTAGTGAAAGAGTAGGTCAAAATGCCAACTCTGTCTTGAAGAGCTTATAATATCACATACAAGAAGATACAAATACCTGTAACTCTTGCATAGATATATGCTCAACAGATACTATTTCAAATGTTTTTTACACTTTTTCTTTTACTTTGGATACCAGACATATGAAAGTTGTATCAATGAATATTCAAATATTTTGCTGCATACCCTAGGATGACAACATAGAAAATGTCTTGTGTTATATTAGGGTGGTTTATCTATACTGCAGGATTTAAACATAAGATAAATTTTGACAGCCAGTCAAATGACGGAACAGGACTACATTTGAAGCAGTTCAGGTAGAGAGGCATTCTAATCTATTAAAGAAATTGTTACCATACCAAAATATGACATGATTATTTGTTGAAATTCATAGAAAGTAAATGAGTCTTGGATGAGATGTCTTACTTTACCCTAACTGACGTTGGAAATTTAAATTATTAATGCCAGATGGAACAAGATGGTGTTTAATCACTTATACCACCAGGTCTCAGCAAGAAAATAAAATGCTTGTACAATAAATGATGTAACTCCAATCTTGTGTTATATAAATTCCAATCTCGTGTTATGTAACTGAAACTGGAATGTGAAAAAAAGTTAAAAATTGGGGAAAAGCGTAAATACCAATAAGGGAATTAAGTCCTTGCTATTTTTGCAAGTATATACACCCGTGATGGAATGCAAGGCTATAAAGAGCTCTTGTCAATTTCAAACAATCAAGAAATGACTTAATACATGTAGTATAAAGACAAAAATACTTGTGTGTATAGTATACTCCCTGTGTGTGTTACCTTGTAATTAATGTAATGACTTTCACATTTGAAGTGGTCGGCACCAAATGACACATCTCCCAGGAATACCTTACACAGCTGGCAATAGTATGCACTCACTGGCATCATAAATTCAATCCCTAGTGAAAAAATACAACAACATGAATCAATGAAGGCTTCTTAGTCCTCTAATTAACAAGAACTGTCCGTAAGATAGAGTGTTTAACTACTCTTAGTGCTCGACAGTAAGAAAAGGGGCATAACTCTGTAAATACATTATTCAGAGTTATGGAACCTATGCACATCACTTAAGATAATCACAGAGAAAACAAGAGCTGTCGGAGGACAGTAACGCTCAACTATTCGAAAATTTGTCACAAGGGTGTTTCATTGAGTATAATAATGCTTACCTATATGAATACATAAAATTGTACGAAAAGGTACAAACCCTTCAAGTTTCAATACAATCACAGAGAACAAGTGTGTGAAGTTTCAATCCATTCCCTTCAGTAGTTATGGAGATACCAGCTTACACACAAAAACTTAACCACAAATTTATGAATCGAAAAAGGGGAATAATTATGCGAAAAAGTAAATAAGAGTTATGGGACTTGTGCCAATCATCTTAAATAATCACAGAGAACAAGTGTGTGAAGTTTCAATCCATTCCCTTCAGTACTATGGATATACCAGCTTACACGCAAAAACTTAACCAAGAATTTCTAAGATAAAAAAGGGGCATAATTATGCAAAAAAGCAAATCAGAGTTATGGGACTTGTGCCAATCATCTTAGATAATCACAGAGAACAAGTGTGTGAAGTTTCAATCCATTCCCTTCAGTAGTTATGGAGATACCAGCTTACACGCAAAAACTTAACCAAGAATTTCTAAGTCGAACAAGGGGCATAATTATGTAAAAAAGCAAATAAGAGTTATGGGACTTGTGCCAATCATCTTAGATAATCACAGAGAACAAGTGTATGAAGTTTCAATCCGTTCCCTTCAGTAGTTATGGAGATACCAGCTTACATACAAAAACTTAACCAAGAATTTCTAAGTCGAAAAAGGGCCATTTTTATGTAAAAAAGCAAATCAGAGTTATGGGACTTGTGCCAATCATCTAAGATAATCGCAGAGAACAAGTGTGTGAAGTTTCAATCCATTCCCTTCAGTAGTTATGGAGATACCAGCTTACACGCAAAAACTTAACCAAGAATTTTCAGTCGAAAAAGGGGCATAATTATGCGAAAAAGCAAATCAGAGTTATGGGACTTGTGCCAATCATCTTAGATAATCACAGAGAACAAGTGTGTGAAGTTTCAATCCATTCCCTTCAGTAGTTATGGAGATACCAGCTTACATACAAAAACTTAACCAAGAATTTCTAAGTCGAAAAAGGGGCATAATTATGTAAAAAAGCAAATCAGAGTTATGGGACTTGTGCCAATCATCTTAGATAATCACAGAAAACAAGTATTTGAAGTTTCAATCCATTCCCTTCAGAAGTTATGGAGATACCAGCTTACATACAAAAACTTAACCAAGAATTTCTAAGTCGAAAAAGGGGCATAATTATGTAAAAAAGCAAATCAGAGTTATGGGACTTGTGCCAATCATCTAAGATAATCACAGAGAACAAGTGTGTGAAGTTTCAATCCATTCCCTTCAGTAGTTATGGAGATACCAGCTGACATACAAAAACTTAACCACAGGGACGCCGACGCCGACAAATGGGTGACTGCATTAGCTCGATTATTCTTCGAATAGTCGAGCTAAAAATTGTATTGAGTTTCAACTCATTCCCTCCAGTAGTTTTGGAGATACCAACTTGCAAGCAAAAACTTAACCAAAGTGTGACGCAGACACTGACACCGACCCAGTCGAGTACAATAGCTGTCTCTTTCTTCGAATAGTCAAGCTAACAACCTGATCACCTTTCAGGTTCTTGCAAACCTTTAAAAAAATTTCAACTTGTCTAAAATAAGTGTACCCAAATCCATGTTTTAACAAAGATCACAAAGGCCTGTTTTAAGGTTCAAGTGAATAACTTCAATAGTTCTAAAATTTATGTCACACTCAAAACTTTAACCATTTTCAAATTTCATCAATTTAAGAGCAATACCTTTAATCAAAATTCACAAAGTGACCTCCAATTATAATCTCAAAGAGATATTTAAGTTACAAGCAGCAAATATCTTAAGACATGTATGAACAAACCATTAAATATTTCAAAGCTGCATGCCTCCAGATGTGTCAAAATATTTCATAAAAATCAAACTTGAGAGAAGTATACTACGATTTTTAGAAAAGTAGAGTCAATATTCAAGTAACAATTTACATGTTATATGCCAGGACTGACAGATTTGCAGGATTTATCACCATATTTCTATTGCATGACTGATACATTAAGGGGTATTTCTGTATATTTTGGACCACTTTTTGGTCATTTACGTGGATTGTTAATGCCATTTGCAATGCATAAATTACTTTCTTTGTTTACTTCACAATGCTTTACTTTTAAATACATTTTTCATGAAACTTAGCATGAATCTGGAGGCATGCTGCTTTAAGTGAAGAAGTTGCATGCAAAACTTTAACATAAGTGTTACTTAAGCTCTGTGAACTGTGCTCTAGTGAATTAAATGTGGCTTACTTTCCTGAACCGGAGGGTAAACTACCAACACTGCCACTCTATATTTTACTATTTCCTGCTTAGTTTTGATATCTTAAAGTCCTTAATAAAAAGGCAAAATGTAACATAAATTTTGATATTTTTTTTTAAGTTTAAGCATATACCAGGTAAAGGCACCCTGATTCCTTTCTTGTTCAAAATCATTCCATCGTTAGCCTTATAGCCATCCATCCAGGGCCGAAAATCATTAGGTAGCGTCTAAAAATAAAATATTGTAAAAATATTAAAAGTTCATGACATCATTTTGTGTAAAGAAATGTCTTCAATATTTCATCTATTATTAGGAACTAATTTTTTTCATAATATTCTGCCACAGACTGTACTACAGGAATGTGACCCGATTAAACGTGGAATGTGACCTGATTAAACGTTAATCAAGCACAAGTGTAATCTATTATGGCATTGTCACAACTTATTTCATTATGTTACTGTTAAATAAAATACAGCTTAAATCTATATAATTTTAAGCGTACTAAAAACAAAACTTGTGAATCATGTGCTTATCCATTATTCCACTATAAAAGCAGAATACATTTTACAGATAAATATATTGTTAAAGTATCACTAAAGACTTAATATCATTGAAATAAAGGAAATTACTGTATCAGACCATCATTCTGCACATAACTTTTCATTAATGTTTTGGTCTTTTCAAGTATATATATATAACAGATTTAACAAGGTTCTTCATTTGTTGATGCAAAGCAATAGGTTAAGGCAGATATAACATAACTATACTTAAAAGTCAAAATTATATGTACAGCTTACGGAACAGGGGTGCAAAGATTAACAGAAGTTCGGACATATTCAAATGCACTGCTTTGGATAGATAATTTGATTTGGATTTTTTTATTGGTCCTTCAAGGCATTGTCATACAAGAGCGCCTTCAATGATATTATCCAAGCAGCTCACATCATTTTATTATTTAAATAGCATGTAAACAGAAGCAAAAATGGCCGTGGAAAAGCAGCTTTCTGTTGCACTGGCATCTAAAGAATCTAATGTGTGGCGACATCTTACATGTGGGTAAAGAATTTCCATGGTTGTTAAATTGTATGTTCTATAAAGACAAAGACTGGAATGACAAAGATACTTTTAAAGAATGAAAAATGTAATTGCATTACTGATAGACATGCAGTTTTAAACTTTGTTTAAAATATTTTGAAACTTCCTAGTCAATTATTATCAATTATATATCATTTGAAGCAGGCATTAACCACATATTTACATGCAATTTCTAAAGCATCAAAATAACTTGTATGAAATAATTAATATCAGGTTGTAAAATCCCTTACATCATTTAAAGTGTAATGTAGTTTTTCAAATCGAATTTATGATAATTGAGGTTATAACCGAAATCGAACCGAAAGGGTACTTGAATTGTTGCAGCCCTATTACAGAAGACCTATGGTGGTTGACTTCAACCAGTTCAGCAGGAAAGTTGCCATAAGACCATTACAGTATTGATGTGATGTAAAACCCAACTAACAAGAATTTGTAACAGAGTTACCAACCTCCCCCACCTCAGGGAAGTTTTATTTGAAGCATAAACTTGTGCTATTTAAAATATTGAGGTATGGATCTCAGGACTTTCAGTCAAAAATATGATCACTGCTAGATCTGCAAAAGCAACAATAAATTCATAAAAGAAACAAGAGCCATGTCAACATGGCCATCCCCCGCCGAATGTGTTTGCTCATTGGAAGAATGTATATGTAGTAGAACAGAATAATTCCATTTTAAGAGGTCTTTTGGTAATGAAAACTGATGGCTATAGTGATTACAGATTTGAAACCTATGTGAATACTGATGGCTGAAAATAACAAAGGGCAATAACTGAAAAATAATGCAGGATAGGTTATCATTCTTGTGTGCTGCATCCCTCCTCAGTAAAATCTATCCACCTATGAAGTTTCAAGTTGAAACCTCAAATACTTTTTGAGAAAAAAATTGAATTGAAAAATTAAGTATGAAAAAATAACAAAGGACAATAACTCAAAAATTATAAAAGGTAGATCTATGCACCTATGATCTATGTACCTATGAAGTTTCATAATGATATCTCAAAGGCCTTTTGAGTTATGCTCTGGACAAAAATTAATTTTGAAAAATAAAACAAGGGTGCCATAGTCACAAAATACGCCCGTTTACGAAAGCTTTAGATGGAGATGGGGGCATTATGGATAAGTGTTATCTAGCAAGCAAGTTTTTATTCTTGGCACTGTGTTGTTAAATGAACCTTAAAACAAATCAGTAGGGAAGATATGCACAGGATGTGTGACCTTGACCTTGGTCGCAGGGACCTGAATTTTATGCACGGCACTCAGCCTCACAATGATGAACATTTGTGCCAAATTATATTGAAATCCCTCTATGCATGTAGAAGTTTTGCTCCAGACAAGCGTTTTTCTATGAGCTCTAACTGTGACCTTCACCTTTGACCTAGAGACTTGGTTCATGTGCAGGGCACTACGTCTCATGGTGGTGAACAATTCTATAAAGTAACATTCAAATTCCTCCATGCATGTAGAAAATATGCTCCGGACAACATCTGGATATTTAATCATCTCCAGTGACCTTGACCTTTCAAATATTAACCTAAATTAAATGTGTCACACCTGTAGTCATGATAGTTACCATTTGTGCTACAATCCATCAATAAATGATGACTAAATGGTCCCTATACACATCTTCAAATTTTTATCTGAACTTTGACCTGTAACCTTGACTTTGGTCGCAGGGATCTGAATTTTGCGTGCGACACTCAGCCTCACAATGGTGAACATTTGTGCCAAGTTATATTGAAATCCCCTATGAATGTAGAAGTTTTGCTCCGGACAAGCGTTTTTCAATGAGCTCTAAGTGTGACCTTGACCTTTGACCTGGATCATGCATGGAGCAAAACATATCATGGTGGTGAACATTTCCATAAAGTATTATAAAAATTCTTCCATACATGTAGGAGATATGCTCCAGACAAAATCTGGATATTTCACCATCTTTAGTGACCTTGACCTTGCATATATTGACCTAAAGTACATGTGTCACAGCCGTAGTCATGATAATGACCATTTGTGTTACAATCCCTCAATAAATGATGATTAAATCGTCCCTATACACATCTTCATATTTTTATCTAAACTTTGACCTCTATGTGTGACCTTGACCTTGGCTGCAGGGACCTGAATTTTTGCGCGACACTCCGCCTCACCATGGTGAACATTTGTGCCAAGTTATATTGAAATCCCTCTATGCATGTGGAAGTTTTGCTCCAGACAAGCGTTTTTCAATGAGCTCTAAGTGTGACCTTGACCTTTGACCTAGAGACCTAGTTTCATGTGCGTGACATGGCTTCTCATAATGGTGAACATTTCTATGAAATTTCATTAAAATCCCTCCATGCGTGTAGGAGATATGCTCCGGACAAAATCTGGATATTTCATCATCTTTAGTGACCTTGACCTTGTATATATTGACCTAAATTATATGTATCACAGCCATAGTCTTGATAATGACCATTTGTGTTACAATCCCTCAATAAATGATGACTAAATGGTCCATATACACATCTTCATATTTTTATCTGAACTTTGACCTCTATGTGTGACCTTGACCTTGGCCGGAAGGACCTGAATCTTGCGCGCGTCACTCCGCCGCACAATGGTGAACATTTGTGCCAAGTAATATTGAAATCCCTCTATACATGTGGAAGTTTTGCTCCGGACAAGCATTTTTCAATGAGCTCTAAGTGTGACCTTGACTTTGACCTAGAGACCTGGTTTATGTGCGCAACACTGCTCCTCATAGTGGTGAACATTTCTATGAAGTTTCATTAAAATCCCTCCATACATGTAGGAGATATGCTCCGGACAAAATTGGACACCGCCCGCCCGCCCATACGCCCGACCGCCCGCCCGCCAGGGGCGTTCCCATAATACGTCCCGTTTTTCAAACGGGCGTATAAAAAAGGGCAATGGGCGTATAAAAAAGGGCAATAACTAAACAATTATGCAGGGTAGAGTTATCGTTCTTGTGCACTGCACTCTTCCTCAATGAGATTCATCCACCTATGAAGTTTCAAGTTGATACCTCAAATACTTTTGAGATAAGCTCCGGACAAAATAGTATGAAAAAGAACAAAGGGCAATTACTCAAAAATTGTACAGGGAAGAGTTTATATTCTTGTGCACTGCATTCCTCCTCAATAAAATCTATCCACCTATGACATTTCATGTTGACATCTCAAACACTTTTGAGTTATGCTCCACTCGGGTGAAAAATTAAGTATGAAAAATAACAAAGGGTAATAACTCAAAAATTATGAAAGGTAGAGTTATCATTCTTGTGCACTGCACACCTCCTGAGTGAGATCTATGCACCTATGAAGTTTCATTTTGATATCTCAAAGGCTTTTTGAGTTATGCTCTGGACAAAAAATTAATTTTGAAAAATAACAAAGGGCAATAACTCAAAGATAACGCAGGGTAGAGTTATCATTCTTGTGCAATGCACTCCTCCTCAATGAGATCCATCCACCTATGAAGTTTCAAGTTGATACCTATACTTTTTGAGATAAGCTCTGGACAAAAAAATAGCATGAAAAAGAACAAAAGGGCAAAAATAACTTCAAAAACTTGAAATATAAGGAAAGAGGTTATTCATTCTTTGCGCGCACAACAATTCCTCCTCAATAAGATCTATTCCAACTATGGACATTTCATGGGGGTTTGATATATCTCAAAAAAACACTTTTATGAGTTTTGCTCCACTCAGGTGAAAAATTAAAAAGGTAAAAATGAAAGAAATAACAAAGGGCAAATAACTCAAAAATTCATTGAAAGGTAGGAGTATATCATTCGTTTGTGCACTGCACACCTCCTGAGTGAGATTATATGCCACCTATTGAAGTTTCATGTTGATATCTCATAGGCTTTTGGGAGTTATGCTTCTGGACAAAAAATCAATTTTTTGGGAAAAATAACAAAGGGCAATAACTTCAAAAATTATGCAGGGGTAGAAGTTATCATTCTTGTGCACTGCACTCCTCCCCCTCAATGTTGACCTATGAAGTTTCAAAGTTTGATAAACTCAAATACTTTTAGAATATGACTCTGGACAAAAAAATGTCGGACGGAAGGAACGGCAACGGACGGAAGGTTGAACGGACGGACAGCCAAGAAGCTGGGGATATTTCTATAGTCCCCGAAAGCTTTGACCTCTAAGTGGGACCTTGACACCTTGGAAGGGTTCAGGGAGTGTATGGTGTTGTGCATGGACATATCATCTTATAATATTGTAACTATTTGTGCCAAGTATTTTCAACAACTCCCGTTGATCAATTGAAGAAGTTATGGACGGGACAAAAAAAATTATACCTATAACAGACTACACCTTTTGTTTATTCTTGACCTCTAGCAGTGTGACCTTGACCTTGGAGGTAGGGGTCTGGTTGTTGTGCATGACACATCATCTTATTATAACAAACATTTGTGCAAAGTTATTTCAAATTCCTTTGATAAATGACAAAGTTGTGGACCGGACACAAAAGTGATGGACAGACAGACGGAGCCTATTTCTATATCCCCCATTTTTCTTGGAAAAGGCGGGGGGACAATAAAAGAAAATAATACCTGTTTATGTTTGTAGCTGGACAGATGATGCATGTAGTCCTGTATATTGGGATGTATGGTATTGCAAGGTTTACACCAATGGTCGCCTCCGTCATGGAAATAATGCTTCATCATCTTGCCCTTCTCAACCTGGAACTGTTTTAACAATCGAGATAAATATAAAAACACTTAACACTCATCACTATGTATCATATGAATCAGTAGGATATATATACTCTTTTGAAGCCAGACTGTAAGTTATAAAATTAGTATCTTCGTAGAATTTGTATTAGGTATTACATGTAAATGACATTATGAAATTAAAATTACTTCTCCGCTCAACACAGTCTATCACATTTTCTGTTAGCATAGGAAAGTATAGATACCAGTTTTTTACTCTTTGTGGTATCACTATGCCAGGTTTATTGTGCAAAAACTTTGTAATTAATCAGGGTACCAGCTTTTGTGATTATACTAATGTGCATTTTGAACTTTTAACTGCACATTATTTCTAAACATACTCAAATTTGAAATAGATAACTATTTTCTAAGTAATACATTACCCTATGTAAGTGTTCCTTAATAAAGTACTTGTATCATAGTTTAGGGACCTTTCTGTTGAAAAAGTGTCAGAGTTAAATCGTTACAAAAGAGAAAGAACACCGAAACACTCGGCAATCTGATTTATACTCGGGCCCCCTCGTACAAATCAGATAGCCTCGTGTTTCGGTGCTCTTTCTATTACTTAAAACTTACACATTGATTTTAGGATAAAAATGATAACAATAGGTAAGTACCACGTCTTTCTCTTTTTTATCTGCAGCTTTCCCTTTGTCATCTTTGGATGGAATCTTCTTCGCTGTGACCCTTATTTCTCTTTTCTGTGGCTGCTCTTTTTTCAATAAAACTGAATGTTTGCTTTCAAAGTCACTTTTTTGTTTATTCAGCTTCACAATCTCTTTTTTAATTTCATCCAACAGTTTTTTATTTTCAACAAGTATTGGATCTGGTTTACTATCTTTATCACTTTTCTTTTTCAAGTCAAACTCTTGCTGTTTTAAATTTTTAAACTCAACTTCCAATGCTTTTATCTTTGCAATCATGTTATCTTTCTCTTTTAAAATCTTTAACCTTTCTTTTTCACTATCTTCTTTGTTCTCAGCTTCGGCTGGTTGCAATTTAGTGGCCTTCCCACCAATAACTATAACCCTTTCACTTGACGTGGTACTTGCTTTTATTTCTATATCTTCTGCCTTTGGTTTTGCTCTTGGCGGTAAAACTGTTCTATTACTACTATTTGAACCAGATCTTTCACTTTTCTTTTCTCCTCTTCTATCTTTGCTTCTGTTGTCACTTCTAGTTTGGCTACCCCTCTCCCTACTTCTTGATCTATCTCTCCGTTCTCTACTCCTGGATCTGCCACGCCTTTCTCTACTTCTTGAGCGTTCCTTTCTTCTATTATCTTTATAACTTGAGGAGTCGGTTTTTTGGCTATCTCTGGAATCTTCATTTACAATCTCAGTCAAGTTTGAACGACTGGGAATGTTCAAAGGCATCTCTACTGTTCCAGGTGGTGCCATTTCTGGATCTGTGGAAATTGATGGTGGTGGTTGATTTATCATTGGAGGGCCTGGCATTGCAAAGACAGCCCCTGGAGGCCCAGCAGCTCCTGGTGGGGGGAAAGGAAAACCTGGAGGAGGGCCAACAGGTGGTGCCATACCAGGTGGGGGCATGGTAAACATTGGTGGCCCTGGAGGACATACAGGCATCATTCCTGGTTGAGAACCTGGAGGGAAGGCACCTGGTGGAGGGCCTGGACCATAACCTGGGAAAGGTGGACCATTGAAATCAGGCGGGCCTTGAGGCCCCTGCTGAGGAGGAAAATCATAATATCTTGGTATATTCTGTTTCTCACTACGAGATAATCTTAATGGTGAAGAAAAGTATTGTTTATTAGCTGGGCCATCAATATCTGAATCAGATGACACTGACAAACTTCTGCCTTTCCTAGGGCTTCTACTATGGTTCCTACTTCTACTTCGTCTTCTATTTCTGTCTCTACTTGAACTTCTCCGATGCCTTCCTGGACTACCTCTAAAAGAACGATCCCTACTAGTGCTTCTTCTCAATTTCCTTTCTCTACTTCTGCTCCTAGATGAAGGGCCCCTTTTCCTTCCTCTTGGACTTACACTTCTTCTTCTACCTCTTGGACTTGGACTATGTCGTTGAGGGCTTCTGCTTCTCCTCCGACCTGGGCTTCTGCTTCCTCTCCTCTTTCTGTAAGGACTTCTACTTCGCCTTCTACCAGGACTTTTTCCTCTACTGGAACTTCTTCTACCTGGACTTCTTCTTCTCCCTGGACTTATACTTCTTTTTCTAGCACCAGGGCTTACCCTTCGTCTAAATACTGGGCTTATATCATCTAAGTTAAATGTTCTTTTAATAACTGGACTTTTCCTGCCACTTGGACTTCTACTTCGTGTACGGGAAGCTGGAGATACTGGACTTAGTGACTGTTTCCTCGCTGGTGATCTACTTCGCTTCCTACCATGACTTGATAAGCTACGATTCCAGCTTGGACTTCTGCTTCTTGGTCTGTTTCGACTTCTGTCAGAATCTCTTTGAGGGCTTCTACTTGGACTTTTCCTGTCCCAAACAGGACTTCCCTTGCGGTCAAAGTTAGATCTCCTTTTTATTGTTATTGGAGGCAGATTAAACATTGGTGGCGGTGGGGACCCCTCTGCACTTACAGGTGAACAACCCCTCTGAAGTCTTTCTGGTGACTGTCCCTTTGGTGGACTTCCCAATCTTCTTGATGGAGAGTTCATTCTTCTAGAAGGGCTATTCATTCTGCCCCTGGAGGCTTCACTACTGCCTCTCCTATCTCTATCACTGAACATGTCTCTATCCACTTCTCTAAAGTCTTGATGCAAAGATTCAGGTTGCCTTTCAGCAGCTTTTGCTTGGGCTTCCCTTTCCCGCTGAAGTGTTCCAAGAGTTGACATCATTTCTTCATGGGACATTTGACTTCCAATGAAAGAAGCTGTTTGATTAATGAACTTTGGATCTCCTGGTTTTGCAGATTGAGGTACAATTTCACCAGAACTTTGTTTAGCTTTTTCTTGCATTCTTTTAGACATTTCAAAGTCAAAGCCTATGGATTTCAAAATATTTTCTATTGTTGGATCATGACCAGCAGCAGGTGCTTGAGCCTCTTGCACAGGCTGTGCAGCATATGAAGGCTCAGCTGATTGACTATTAAATGGTGCCTGATAACTTCCCAATTGAGGTTCAAACTGATTTGGAGGTGGTTGTTGCTGTTGGGCAGTTTGAACACTTTTAGCTAGCATACTCCATAAATCATTACCTCCTGGCTGCTGCATAGGCTGTGATTGGAAAGGATCTCCACCTCCAAAATGCTGCTGTTTCGAATGGTCTAAATACTCCCGCTGTGCATTTACAAATTCTGACACAACACCAGTCACTGTTGTCTGCGGTGCTGATGGCTGCCAAGCCTGAGCAGCAGACCTTATATTTGAGGCTCTTAGATCTTCGATTGGAATTCCATGTGGCAGCTGCCTATACTGTCCACTTTCTCCTCTCTCTCTTTCACTCCTATTTCTCCTATCATCTTCACCACCATAAAGAAACTTGTCTTCATCTTCTATGTCATCCATGTAGTTAGCTATACCAGGAAGACCGGATGGTTTGTCTTGCGGTTTCTGCTCTGGAACTTGGTCCTTCTTTTTTAGGATAGACTTTAAAGGTCTTGATGATGTGCTGGTTTGAGCAGGAGAAGGACCTGCTGGATGAGTGGCTGGGTAGCTTCTATGAGGAGATGACCTTGATCCAGATGGAAACAATGGTTGTGAAGTTGGTGCTCGGTATTCAGCAGGCACCTGTTCATAACCACCACCTCCTAAACCTCGCCTGTCCCCGTATTCTCTTTCTTCTGGTCTAGCATATGGGTCCCTACTATAACTATCTCTATTATCTTGCCCCCTGTTTCTCTCCAATCTATCTCGCTCTGGTTGCCCATACATTTCTGCCTCTCGTCGATACATCATGTCATCTTCTCTTCTATAAACAGCATCTCTCCCATGCTCATAATTATCTTTGGGAGGTCCTAGTCTTTGACTTACTGATGGGCTTAGCCTACCACTATTGTCTTCTTTTCTGTCTCTAAACTGATCATTACCAACAGTTATACGTAACGATTCTGGTGCCTGAAAATAAAAGAAATTTTGAATAAAAATACTAAAACATAACCTTGCCTCAATACAGCATTCTTTATTTTTCCTGACCTACTATGAAATTGAAAGAGATCAGGTTTTTTCGAAATAAGTTCTTTATCTCCTCCTTTATAGACCTATACTTAAGTATGTAACATCTTAAAAACAAGAGCACCACTAGGAGGAGCATTATATGCCCCAAAGTGTTTTGTTTTTTTTAAGTAAGGATGAAGCATTTGTTAGACATGGGAATTAGATAAAATAGCAATCCTCCTATGAAGTTTGAATATTGTGGGCCAAATGGAACTTTAGTTATGCTCCGGAAACTATTTTCAGTTTTAAGGTAATAGTGACCTTGACCTTTGACCTTGTACCCCAAAATCAATAGGGGTGTTCAACCCAATATGGCCAATCATCCTATGAAGTTTGAATATTGTGGGCCAAATGGAACTAAAGTTATGCTCTGGAAACTTTTTCAGTTTTGAAGTAATAGTGACCTTGACCTTTGACCTTGTGACCCCAAAATCAATAGGGGTGTTCAACCAAATATGGACAATCATCCTATGAAGTTTGAACACTGTGGGCCAAATGGAACTTAAGTCATGCTCCGGAAACTGTTTTCTCTACAGTGTTGTCTAACTTGTCTTCAGCGTATTCACCAAGGTACGCTGAAGACCTTAATCTACTACTTTAGGTAACACTTCTGGTAGAAGAATGATGTACACAGTCTGACGCAGTGGCCCTTTGCTTCGCTAAATTAGCCAATCAAATCACTGTGACATGGGTACAAGTTAAAAATGTCAGAAATCCTGAAAACACTGAATTTAGTATAATTTCAAGTGCTTCTTATAAATATAGAAAGAGAGCAAAACCTGAATTTCAGGCAAATACCTGAAAACTTACATCCATGCTGTGAGGAGTTTGGAGATTTCAGGAACATGATGAGCGCTCTGATAATAAGTTAAACACCACCAATTTATTTGTTTCTATTTATGATACGAAATACCTGCATTTACTTATTTACTAAGTGAAAACTTATTTATTAAGTGCAAGAAAGATCTGGTTTACATGTATACTAAAAATGTTATGCTTGATATTAAATCATATGAGCATTCCGAGGCATAGGTAGCATCTAATAAATAAATTTTGCCAATAGATCTACCACAATGTGTTTTGTTTTATAAGTTTGCCTAACTGGTTGATAGGTAAAACCTCTTTCACGCTTTAAATTCACTGACATATATAATGATACTTATTTGAAATGTTAATTCAATTTATAGGATGTATAAAAATATAGTACAACTCTGTATACAACCAAAATGCAAACATGGACCACATGGAAAGGCCATAACCGTGAAATTAATACTAGCACGAAATCAGCACAGGTGGCAGTATCAGTGTTTGGATACCCCACCTCACCCTGCTCCTGGACCCCTGCTACAGTACAACCATGAAAAAAATAATTCAACACACTAAAGCTCACTGTAAGATACCAAATACAAAGCCACCAATAAAATAATAATAAAATTTAATTTTTTTCTCCACACGGAAACAACGATTTCCCATGTTCTACAATTTCTGGCAAATGAACATATAGTAGGCTTTCCACTGTCTATAACTATAAGTTTGAAAGTGGGAAAAATATTTTTTATTATTATTATCCTACCGTAACCCAAATTCAGCGTTCTCCTAAATTCGGCGATGTTTTGTTTTTCATCATTCGCTCGAGATTTCAGAGGTAAAGGTCAATCATGTTTATGTCCCACCGTCTAGTTTTACAACTCTAGTGATTTTCTGCGCTAAAGATGGAGATACTGCTGGTAAACATTAAAGATTGTATATGACATCACGGATTTATATTACAAGGATCGGACACTCCCAGTTAACCCTATATAAATGCTTAAATATCTTGTCGTGCACCTGATAAAGGTACATAGATCGATAATTTACCGGCGCTAAGCGTAAATGCCCGTTCGCATTGGATACCTACTTTACAAAATATCATACAGCTTTTCCATTTATTATCCGATTTTGGAAATTTAAAGTTTATTTTGAAGAAAAAGACTTGTTTAATTCAAATATCTAATTTATTTTTTAAAGATACAGTTCATCTGTCCGCAACGACGATTAAAAAATTAACTTGACGAAATCCGCGGTAAATTTACGTTTTTTATATAAAAAGCAGGTATTTGAAATTTATTATTACGGTACCATAATAATTTCAATTTCAAAATAAAAAAGAAGCCGATGTTAGTTATTCACAGATGATCAAAGATGTGATATTTAAGATTTATTGGGTTATGTAGTCAAATTTATTAACGCACAATTGTTTTACGGGTAATGTATTGCGGCCTTTACAATTCGCTCAACACGTGAAGAAAAATTATTCATTTTTTTTAGTACAAAATATTACCGTGATTGTCAATATTGCCATATTCATAGAATATTTAAATTTCATTCATCATTTATATCATTATTCTTTTTTTTTGTAAATCTGTTTTCAAATGTTGGTGCAGTGAAGTAGACAATTATCGTAACAGTAAAGTACTCTCGTGCCGGCCTTTTTAATGTCACTCGTATATTTTAATTATTCTTTTTATTTGAATGCCTGTAGAAAGATATATCTGAAACTTTTTAATGTAACGCTAGAAAAACAATAAAAATCTTTACAGTTTGAGTCAGTATTTTGCGAAATAAAAGTAACTTTTGATTATTTTTTACACATCGCTTAAATTTCTTTCAAGTTTAATTATTTTTGAAGGGGGTAATTACCAGGTAACAAGTGATTATTGAAAAAGTTTATTTTCAAACTTTCATTACCAGGTTACATGTGATAATTGCAACACTCAATCTTCAAAAACAAATAGAATTTGAATGTATATTTTGTATCTGCGCGGTCTCACGTGTAATAAGAAAATGATTCTGAAGAGGATATATATAAATACAATGTAAATCTATTTTCTTTATTAACATTTATAAAAGAAATTGAAAATAAACAACTTAATTTGTATAGTCCTTTCTTTGAAAAATAATGAAAATAAACATATGACAAATAAATCATTTAACGTCAATTGTGAAGGATAACTATGAAAAAAATTTGTTTCAAAATAAAAAATAATATGTGCTGTATGCCAATAAAAATTTCTTCCTTGCCAAACTAATGAATTCATCTATATATGAACGCTTGTCTAGAATGATTTGAAAATATATTTAATACACTAATTAGTAGAGTATTTACTATATTTATACTAATATACAGGTAATCAAATAAAAAATGTACAAATCATTTGGAAATAATTCACAAAAATAAAGACACATTTCACACATGAATTTCTTTAAAAGTTTTTTAGCAATCAAGAAACAATTTTTTGCAATGCCACCATTAAACTATGTAAAAAATAATTATCTTAATCTGAATTGCGGTAATAATTTATGCTTGAAGTAAAAGGGCGTCAAAATGTAGAGAGAATGCCTAAACAATAGGCGAATATTTTTTAAATTAGGTACTTTTTAACTAAGCGTTGCAGCGTTCTATCGGCATATTTTCTTATATAAATACTTTAGCGACACAAAATAATACTGTATCAATACATTCATATGTGTATTATTTTTCACAAAGCTGCAATAACACCACATACTCTTGTAAAAATATGCCAGATTTCGCACTCCGCGCGTTCCGCCATCTCATTCTGTCCACCTTTATCCGAGACGGGACTTTTAGCTAAACGAAAGTGTCCGATCCTTGTAATATAAATCCGTGATGACATGGAGAAAATTGTGTGTTTTACCTGATGCAATTTCAAGTTTATCTATACTTTCCTCTATTTGATTGATATTGTTGCTTAAAATAATTTGACAGTTGCTGTCTGTTATCTTACTATTTTTACTGTCTATCTAGGTCAACATACTACGTCACATTTCCGCCAACATTAAAAATTTACTGCAACCAATCAGAATTGCCGAATTTAGGTGACATTTTCATATCGTAGTAAGATTGTACATCAGCCATATTTGTTTATATTTGGCCACCGCTGAACAATTACATTGTTAGAAATCAACTTAAAGTAACTAATTAATAGTTGTAGTAAAATTATATCAAGTGTAGTTTATTGAAAGTGCCATTGACATTTGTTCTAATATCGCCGAATTTAGGTTACACCAGGATATATCAGTGGTATTGTATTTGGCATCTTATAGCAGTGTTTCTGCCAGAGCGCGTTTTTGCGTTTTTGGCGCACTATTTTCAGCCATGACGCAATGAAATTTAGTTAGTGCGTATTTTGTGACGCAAGAATTTCACCGTCGCTGATTTCAACACAAGTCAGATATACAGACTATAAACCGTCAATTCAGTATAAAAATGTACGGAATGTTTACCGTGGGCTCCACTATAATTTTAATGAGAAATGAAATTTACCGGGTCCGTGGTCCGGCATTTAGCCAATTTCAACTAGTTAATAAACGCTTGCATTTATACGTTACTGCATATATTGAAAGCGCCCAGACAAAATTATTTATTTTGTTGTCATATTCTGCGAACGAATAACTGTCTGCTGGAAAATGCAGTCTGCGTATATGTAAGTGTTCATCTGTGCTGTTCTACAGAAATTAGAAACTTCGAAGGGAGCGATAGCGACAGGAGAATGTTTCTAATTTCTGTAAAACAGCTAAGGATGAACACTAACATATTTAGTGTCAAGCTTTATTTGGCCCTTGATTACGTCACTAGGCGGTACTATGAAGCACTATGAATAATAGAAGGCGACTATGAACGAATTTTAATATAGTATCGACTTTCTTTCTTCTATGAAAATTAACACACATAATTTTTAAGAAATACAGCGTTATTATTGGATGACAAATAATCCAAAATAGCAGAGATTGACCAATTTCTTCACGAAAAATATACAAAATATTGTAAATAAAACTTATAAAGTGTTACCTGTTTTTTTTTTTAACATTTTTGTTAAATTTATTGGCATGACCCTTATGAATTTGAAATGACCCCTAAAATATCATACAGGGGGTCATAAAAGACCCTCAGAAAATCAGAGCTGGCAGAAACACTGTTATAGTAAGCCTTTGAGTGTTGAATTAATTTTTTCAGGGTTGCAGCAGGGGTCCAGGGGCAGGATTGGGTGTCCAAACACTGACTGATACTGCCACCTGTGGCAATAAGTTCATATAATGTTGATTAAACTAAGTTTCACCTGTCTGGAATCTCTGCCAGAATGTTGGCTGCTGTGTGCGCCACGAGACTCGAATGCGACTTCTCCAACACCTCGCCCACGGCCCCTATTTGCTCCTTTACCACGACCACGACCAAGAAATACCATTCTTAAAGGAAATTTACATTTTATGCAAACAAACGAATTTGTTAAGTTTTGATCATAGTTCAGCCGTTTTCCGGTAATTTCCGGTCGCATGTAGTAATGTCGTAAATTAAAAAAACAAATGTCAATTTTGTTGTCCATTTCACTTGCATAATTAATTAATTTTTATTCTAAGTTTATTTTGATAAACAACTTTGTATTGTTTTCTAATTTAAGCACACATTTACTTTTACGACAGTATATGCAAATTAGGAGGTGTGGCTTAATGCGGAAACTCCACCGGTTGAGTGACTCACACGAGAGATTGTGTACGGAGTCAGTGGTTGATTTCTGAAATTTAAGAATTTTTGTTATGGATATAAATTCACTTTATTTCTGGAAATAAATAAAAGTTTATATAAATATGTCGGATGTTATGCTGAGGCCGCATTTGGCCTCAAGAGGTAAAAAGATTTTTATTTTATCATAATTCAAACGGTTCAATGAGTTCTTTGTCCAACCCGCTGTTGTGTACATGTATTCATCAAAATCAGTAGACGCTTGGCACTAATGTGACTGTCAAAATTTCACGTGCAACACATTTATTAAATGATTTAATATGAAATGGACTGATTTTTTAATATATTTTAATTTTTTCCCCGTTTTTGACTTAAAATAGTTTAAACCGGTTAAGTTGATTTTGTTAAAATACATAGATGTAGAGTCTATTTGCATGCATTTCAAAAGAAAGACAATTTGTTTATTTTACAAAAAAGCTATATGTAGAGCCCCACTCTCACCTTTTATTTAAATAGCAATAGATTTAACCACAATCATGGGCATGTGCCCTTTTGTAAACAAAGATGTTATGCTGAAATTCTTTTTGTAATAAACAAAATATTAAATATGATAATTAGAAAATTAGACAGGTCAGGGATCTAAATATATAAAATTCAAACAGACTCCATTGAAGTTTAAATGATAATAACAAAAGTGACAAGACTGGAAATATTTTTTTCAAGATTAATGCCCCATTTGAAGAAGGTCTACATCAATAACAAAATTGTGTGCAAAATTTCAGATCATTTTCGCTCACTTTGTTTATTCTATTAAATAATTTCACAAATCAAATCAAATTGCCTGATACATGTATATTGACTCAAAATGTGTTCAGAATACTCAATAGCACAAAAATACACTTTTCAATTTATTTCTGATTATACTACTGGATTATCTTGCATATGTTTTATCTATGCTTTAACTGTCCCAGCTGATCTGCTGATCTGCATGTTTGCAAGAAATTTTTATGATTCCTTTTATAAATATAGCAAATCTAAATGGAAATTAATGTACATCATTACATGACTTTGTATAATTTTTTTGGTTATTAAGTTAGATCTGTAATCAGTGAATTTTTGCATGTAACCAACTGAATTTAATAGAATGATGTAATGATTTGTTTGTTTCATTTTACGCCTTTTCGGCATGATGTAATGAATTACATTATTTTGATTTATTAATGTGATGATGATTTTTACAGGTTGTAGGCCAGAAGATGGAGTAAGAGATATGATAGTGATCAGTGATATAGATGAAAAAGGCATTAACGAGAATCTGAAAGCTCGATACAAGAAAGACATCATTTATGTATCCTTTTCCAGCTTGAAAAAAATCGTCATATTAGCAGGAAAACATTATGTGGGTGATGTGGAAAGGGGAAAAGCATTGTCGCTGTGATATATGATAGTTCCATCTTTCTTCTTAAACATACTTAAATGTACATGTAGATTTTCAGCCACTTTAACTGATACTGCTGAGCATAATAAATTATTGAAATCTTATTAATCTATAAATAAAAGGAGATCTCAGAAAGTTAATTTTGATAATTTTCAAGGTTACAGTACTAACACAAAGCTCTTTTGAATTAAATTGTATGCATGTGCATGTTTGAAAATTTAAATGAGTAATTAAAAAAAAAATAACGTGCAGAAAAGCTTGCATTTAGATATTCTAATTTACTTTGTTCACTAAGTAATGACACTGTCAGCACTACATAACAAGCAAGCATGCTAGAATAATTTATTTGCAGCAATTAATATATCTAGCTTTAGACCTAGCATAATTTGGTATGTATCTTCATTAAATTATGAACTATATGGTAACTGTATGTTCGCCGGTAGTCTGATGTAAGCATAGTGAAGATTTATGTCCAGTTTTATTATTTTTTGAGGCCTTCCGTGCATATAATAGCAACATTCCACAAATAATGTATGTTTTAGACTGGATTATCTTTATTGCTTGGTCATTAACTTCATGGGGAAAAACAATAAAATTATATGATCTTTTTGACCAATGTTTTAATGAGGACAGATATATGTGTTTCTATCTCAGGTCTTAGATTAATTTCACCAGGTTAGAATAATGACCAGAGGTATAATAATTTTAGCTGGTTTGATATGAATGTACATGAAGGATGTTTTGCAGGGTATATTCCATCTTTAGGTACCCACAGCTGAACCTTTAATTAACTTGATTATCTTGATTACATGTTGATCAACCACTGGTATCCCATGATGGATATATTATAACCTCATGAAGTTTTAGGGGCTAAATGAGCTTTAATCTACTGAAAGTTCGAAACAGATTTGTCCAGCTTCCAAGTTCCATTTTCGGAACTTTTGATTATCAATTTTTGGGGTATCAAGATGAAAATTTTAAGTCATTTAGCTAATAGTATAGAGCCTCGGGTTAGACTGAACTAATTTACAGGCTGACCTAGCTAAAGGCTAGATCACTTTCTTTTCTAGCAGGTTATAAAGGGCTTATGGGGGCCATGCCAGCCAACACATAACTGCAGTCTAGCTGACAGACACTATAGACAGAAATAGACAGAAATAGAATGCAACAGACAATTTTGTAAGCAATTCTTAGGCAGTCAACATATACTATATAGAACAAGATAAAAACATTCTAACTTCTATGATTGCAAGATGCCTGTTGGTTATAATCATGACAGCTGCTTTTACTTTATCTTAGAGGAGTAAAGATTCTATGTTCATGAGATGATAAAAGATGCTTTATGTATTAAAGCTGTAATATGTATGTGGTATCCCTTTTATTCTGTTATACTAACGTATAATAGTATAAAACAACTTTAAAACATTTACAACTTTATAAATTAATGTTCAGTTGTATCAGGATGCAAACCACTTGCTTCTAGCTCAAAAGGGAGAAATTATCATATTAGTTATCTAGGGGTAGCTGGTTAGATCCCTGAGTGAGGCAAAATTTCTTTTACAATTGATCTTGGACATTGTGTCTAATTGGTTAATTTGTCTGTCACCACTCATTCAAAAATCATGTGGGATAAGTAGTCTGTTTGGGAGATATTTGTTTGGGAGATACATGTACTGTAGTATCTGGTTAGTAATCCAGGAAAGAAGTTAGCTGGTAAAATCAGCATAAAAAGGAGAAAAAACTAGCAATTCAGTTGTGTGTATCTCCTTCAAGGATTCAAATAGCAAGAAAGGTTGTTTTGTCTTTTTAGAGGGTAAAGTTAATAATCAGTCACATATAAATCTATGTACGCATCATCTCTAGCACCGGTAGATTCTTGCTTCCACAAACCTAGCTGAAATGGAAAAATACACCATTTATTTTCAGATAGCATTATGGTTAATCCAACACGCAAGTCTTGAAATGTTTATCTCTATTAGCTTAAAATTTTTGTTGATGCTTACACATTCAAAGGAAGAAAATATGTATATTTAGCACTATAATAATGCTAGACAACTAAGATTATGATGAATGTGTAGCCTATACTCTACAGCTTCATAAAGACCCATATTTTATATGCAAGTCTCTGAGAAACCCATTATTGTTCCAATGGGAATTCATGTAGGATACTTGAATAATGCTCCCTGACTGACTGTAAGAGGTACTTATTGGTCTCTATTTAATTAGGCTTTCATTGTACATTACCAATCAATGATCTGGCCTAGTTATCGGATTTGAATATTGAAACATGTACACGTATACTATAATAACTGCAGAATGAAAGGTCTCGGACCTTTTTTTTCGATTTGAGCAAAATTCACAACTTTTTTTTGCTAATTTTGTTTCTTTTTTCAATTTGAGCAAAATTCACAATTCTTTTTCTAATTTTGTTTCTTTCTCATAATCTTCATGCAATTATTGTATGAAAAAGCATTGACATGCTTTAGGTTTCAAAGTAGTACAGTCATGCGGTGCCATCTATGGTCTTATGATGAGACAAAATCAAGGGACATATGCTGAAAACAAAGCTCAATGTATGTTTTAAGAGACAATTAAAGAGTTCAAAGAGGCATGTCAGCATGTCTCCTAGGCTGGTAATTTGAGACTTGACAGGTATGTAACATGATCTATTTGATCAAAGCAAGAGGTTTTTAAGTACGTTTGTATCACAGCAGCATGATATTTAACATATAAAACATCAGCAGGTTTCTTCACAGTCTCTAAGTAAGTTAATGACAGGTCTTAGACTGACAATTGATTCAGACACTCACAGAAAATAGATAAAAGACTTTAAAAAACAACATGATCCAGACTATCAGCCGGTTCCAAACTTAAAGGCATCAACTGGTTCCCATAAACATTACAAGATGTTCCAATTTTGAAGCTTCTGATTTAACTATGATTCTGTGAACAAAAAAATCAGACGGAAACTGCAACAAGTTTCCAATCGGGATGCTGTGGGTTTTAAGATTCCACTCAAGGCTATAAGAAACTATTCTGCTAGCTTGAAGAAGGTCAGAGGTTCTACTGAGGTAGGGCCTGAACTAATGCACAAAGGGGCACCTGAGGTCTTCCTCAACCAGTAAAACTGGAAAAGCTACCTTTATGACTTTTAGTGTCTTCTTGACTTAATTTCAAATCCCCCACAAAAAATAGTTAAAAGTTAAATTCAAGCATCTTGTTTATTATAATGTGTATAAAATTTAATAAGTCAATTAGGAACCTATTTATAAATTTGCTTTTCCTAATTAAACTTAATATGCAGTTGCCAGATCATAATTCTATTTGAAATTTCTGCATATGACTTGAAACAATTGTTTTTTATTTGCTAGCCTAATGTCAATATCTACAAATACTGATCTAATTGTTGTAAATTCCTGGGTTAATGAGGCTCACTCTGAGAAATAAAACAAGCTACTAATTAATGGTGGGACGTGGAAACAATTTTCCAAAAGTCATTAAGAACCTCCAGCCTGGAGACAGCAGACATGTCAGACTGTACTCAACCAATCAAAATCAATTATTGAGCTTGTTGCATGCAATTATCCTTAGGGGCGACTTGGTCGTCAAATTGATCACATCCAATTTATGCACTCCCTTTTGCTGAAGGACGTTAAAATCATAATTAATTTGCTTCTGTCAGAAATATTGATAATTTTACTGTAATAGCCAGCTATTTATTTAAACAGTTTTCATGACAATCAACTTTAGAAGATACGCAGATACTTGAAACAGGAAAAAAAAAAGGATTTTTGATTTCCCCAATACATAATAATTCTCTTTCGAAAAAATGTAATTTGTAGAAATATGACGATTGATTAAATTGCCCCTGTTGTATCACAAATTAAATGGTTTTTCTCAAGTTATTCAGTTTGTTGAATGTACTTGTTGCTTTAAAAGGGGGATGCTGAAGTACCATTTAGTTTTCTGGGAGATCAATAGAATGTCCCAGGAAGTCTGGAGCTATCATAATGCCATGCAGAGATTTACATTTTCATACAATGATCTTTTCATGAAACCTAATCAATAGCAAGATATGGTTATATGGTTTAGGTTGCCAAATGGTAGAAACTTTGATGTTTTTGTTTACTCTATGTAAACAATAAGTTTTATTTTTTCATTTCACTAGTTGGTAGTATTTTGCATGTTTTACAATGTTATATACCCCGCCCTATCCCATTCCCCCTCCCCCTTCCATCCCCACCACCACTACCACCTGCAAAAAAAATATCTATTCTGTTTTATTTTAAGTATTACATATGTAATAAAATTCGTGAAACTGTCTTCTTAAAGATGATTGGGCTGTGAAATTAGACTTGACCAATGACAATTGTTGGATTTAAGACTGGTAGTACAACTGATTTATGGGGACCGGCTATATGGTTATAACTAATGTATTGTGCATGTATAATTTTAACTGCATGATAACATTATGTAAAATTTTCGAAAATTTAATAAATGAATAAATTTCGAATCAATTGCATTAATGCTACAACTGACTGTCTAACCTTGTAAATTTAAACCCCCCCCCCCCCAAAAAAAAACAACCCAAAATGCGACCAGAGGTCTCATATGCTTAAATATGGTAATAAGTTGACAATAATCATATATATTCTGTATATGGGAAATGAACATTGTTCATCATGAAAGATATTGGAATTCTCACAGCCCAGTATCTTTCTCGATCAAGTTACAAGATTTTTGATCTACCATTAAATGAAATCACATGTTTGTTTAAAGAGAGCATTTTACTAGATTTATTGCTATCTAAAGTATTGTGCATTAGTGTTGGCACCAGTATTGTACAGATCAATAAAGGCAATTTGTCTGTTTGTATAGGAAATAAACTCAACTTTAAAAGGAACAAAATGTTGTTTTTTTGCTATACATTTTGAGTTTTCAGTTTCAGCATGTTTAAAAATTAAATGTAAAGTATCTACATTTGCATAAAAAAGCAGCCATAATCTTCCAAACATTAGGACTAAAACTGCATTTTCCTGAAAGAAAGCATGATTGGACAACTTTAGGCAAGGGCTGTCGGCTTCCGCCATCAGTAAATGCATGGATCACCATTTGCTCATATATGATTCAAGCATAACAAAATGAGAAAAAAAACATAACTTCACCAGACAAGTTAGGAAGTAACAACTTTCTTAATTTGCCAATAAATTTAAATATAAATGACCTTGTTCAAGCACTTATCACGTAGCAAAATGAAAAATTATAATGATTATGATTAAAATCTAAACATAAAACAATTTGCTGACACTGTATTTGTACCTGCTACAGAATTCCAGATGGGAGACTCAGAGGTCCAACAGTCAGTAAATCATCAAATTTATGCAAAGCGATTAGTGAGAGTATAGTAATGAGTGGCAAATTTTCTGTTAAAATTCTTATTATTTACATTATACCACGTTAATATATATGCATCCTGCTTCAGCATCTCTAATACATCGGGACGCTGCTTTAGGTCAAGATAGTGGCGATGCAATTATTATTGTTTAATTGTCTTGAAATATTCATAATTCTGAATCAATAAATGGGGAAAGATACTATTATTGATGAAATGCAAGAGGACTCTTATGTAACGAATATTGATGGGAATTCAATGGTGCATAACAATACAGACAGATGGTGAATTAAGTGTTCAGGGAATACATCCTTGATTGTTGCATTTCCGGGACTTAGAAATTGAAAAAAAAAATGAACTTGAAAAATTTTATGCTTTTAATAGTCTGTAATGTTTACAGTTAGTCTCATTAATATAATTAACAACTTAACTTGCCTGTACTTAGAAATTTTGCATGAACTAATATGACATTAGACAGATATCTCAGGGCCTTCCCCAGGTCAATTTAGCGCCCCGGTGCCGGGGCGCTTGTTTTTCCGTTTACGGATCACCGGGGCGCTTGGATTTTGGCTTGCATGTTTGATCTTAGCGCCGGGGCGCTTGTATTTTGACAGCAGGAGAAACTTCTTATCAACGTAATAGCTTAAAATGTGATTTAGAATGTCTTAAAATTCCAATATTTTGGAAAGTTTTGCAGTTGGTTCCAAGTTTGCAGTTATATTTCAGAATCATTAATTTCTTCTCTAGAGAATGAAGAATCTATATATCTTACACTTGCCTCCATTAAAACATAACAATTAGTAAGTAGTCTCCAGTATTTGATGATGTAATTTTAAAATTGCTTTTAATTTATTATTGTTTCAAAACTCATATAATTATACTTAATTAAATGACCCCTACCAGTCTTCAGTCTCTAAATTCTAATCTTGACAAAAAACATTTATCGCTTTTAGGGAAAATTTGAAAATATTAATAGACTGAGTAGCGACCAGTGCTGACCATGATAAGACAGCATGAATGCCTGTTGACTGGTCTGCACTATTTTCATGGGTAGAATCAGTAAATTTCTGTTATTAAGTGAACAACCTAAGTTAAACAGTTATATTGATTTCTTCTTTATTTTATCCTCCTGTTTGTATCACTTCAGATCAATAAAGTTCCTTAAAATATCTCCTTTAAATTTTTATACTAAAGTTAAAATGTTTTGATTTTGAAAGTTTAAAGGAATGTTGACAGAAGACTTCATTTTGACACGAATATTTTGACTTATGAATAAAAAGCCTTTGATATTACACCTTGAAAACCGGATTAAAAATTGTAAGTTGTTATTATTAAACCTTTTCCAACAGATATATAAACATTTGTATTGGAAATAGTAAACCACTTCTTGTATTGTATATTTTTATTGTTAAAACATATACAAGTATGATCCAATTTCTACCGTATATTAAGTTTAATTGATTAAAATGATACCTAAGTAGCCTTAATTCGCCCCACGTGATTTAAATACAGGTGTGCATTTTTGTGGTTTTGCATGTTTGTGATAGCATGACCAGATTATATCAAAGAGAGTCTGATTTTAATGACTGGTAGAAAATATTTTGTTAAAAAATAAAACAGTGACTAACTTTTTTACAACGGGTCACGCCTTTAAAGTTTTCACTTAACATTGTACTTTTTGTTAACGATAGATTAATCATTTAAGGACAATCATGGAAAATCAGTTTATAATAATGTGCATTGCACTTACAATAATTACGCACATGCCAAACATGTACAAACTTATATAACTATTAAACGTAAACTCAAATATTATGTAAATGTAGAAATGATGAAAATGCATAAATTATTAAATAAAACTTTAACAATTCAATCTAGAAGATACAACATACATGTATTCTGTATTTATTTAAAATAGTTTACTATAATAAATGCTATTAAGTTTTTAGAACTTTGTTAGTTTCTAAGTTAGATTAAATTATATTTTCTACCATTTAAACATTGCAATATAGAATATTAAAATTCTATTGAAGACATCAAATTTAAGTTTGTTCTTCCAAATAACAAACAAAATGTTAAAAATCAAAGTACTAGCATTGATATTATGATTGTATATATACCGGTAATTGTAATTGAAGTCAATTTTCAGGTAATATAAACACTGTATTCCTTGACAGTCTCTCAGACATTTACAGGGTCTATCCTGGTTGCTGTTAACCCATACAAGAGTGTGAAGATCTATGAACAGGTATGTATCCAACTCCTTTAGTTTACAAAGCTCTTCTTGCCCATGCTTATTATAAATTCATATCTTCAAGGGAACATTTATAAAAAAGGACTAAGTATTTTTGGTTGAACAGCACTGCCTGGTTCTGATAAACTGCCGGCATTATGAGGCTGTTCTCTTCTGGATCCAGTATTCAACTAGTACATAAATATCACAGGCAAACATATCACTTATCAGCAACTTTTATGCCATAAGGGCAAATTTTAGTGTCTTTTGAACAATTCATTATGCTGTTTAAGGGATTTGTTATTGCAAACAAAGAGCACAGAATCTGCTACAGACAAAATTTAAATTTTTTATATTGGACCCCTCTTCTCAGTATTGTATAAGAAAGAATCAAGCCATAATCAGCTTCTCAGTGCTGCGTAATGGGTTACTTATTTTAAAATTTAATAGCAATTAAACCCCTTACTATGGGTGTCCTTGGCCGAGTGGTTAAGGTCGTTGACTTCAAACCACTTGCCCCTCACCGCTGTGGGTTCGAATCTCGACAGGCACTTTGGATGTGAGGAAGCTATCCAGCTTAAATTACGGAACGTCTGTGGTTCTCCTCGGGTGCCCGTTTGAGCCGGAAATAATGCAAGGAGGGGCACCTGAGGTCTTCCTCTACCAGTAAAGCTGGAACGTCGCCAAATGATCTATACTGTGTCGGTGTGACGTAAAACCCAATCAAACAAGCAAAAAACCCCTTACTGCCCTAAAAATGACAATATACATTGATAATAATTATGTAACTAATATCAGTTTTGTAAAAAAAAAATCATGTTTATTTTCTAACCTTCAAATTTTGACATAAAACATGAAAACTCTCGAATATCTCTCTCTTCTCTGTCTAACATTGATCTCTTGTTTAAGTGCATTAGATGAAAAGATAAGATTTATCTTTTTCTGCAAGTGTTGTAATAGAAAGTTTTATTGCTGATGGCATCATTCTTATATCTACATAATACTTCTGGATAAGCCAGCACTGGAAATGGTAATGCTCAGCCTTGATTGACATCAAACTTTGAAACATTAACTCAAATTTATGTGGGGCTTGCATAGAAAGTAAATTTTTTTTACAAAATGTAAAAATGCTATTCAAAAGTAAAAGATGTTATTAGAAACTTAAAAATGTTATTCAAAAATGTAAGGGGAAAAAATGTTGTTCAAAACTAAAGAATGTTGATCAGTATGTAAAATGTTTGATATTCAAAATGTATTAAATAAGAAATAATGGTATTCAAAATGTTATTCAAAATGTAAAAATAATTTTATCCAAAATGTAAATTAAGGTTTAAATATTTCTATCTCATAATGAATTTGAAAATTGTTATTGACAAATTGGAGCAATTAAACTACATGTAGTTATCACATAAATAGCATTTAAATTTGACAAGCACAAGTTTATTCCAACATTACTTTCAACTTAAATATTATTAAAATGTGATTTGATGATGCAATTAAAAAGAAAAAAGAAACCATGAGATAATCTGCAAATAATTATGAGTGTAATTTTTATGAGAATTATACTATGATATATACAACCTGATGCATTTTGAAGTTTTATGTCATGTCATTTTTCATTTGATGCTAATTAAGGTACAAGTTTCCAGTTCATAAAAAAATAGTTATACAGGTGCTATTTAGGGGCATTTTTTATGGCTAATTCTATCTTTTGAAAAAACATGACAAAGTATGTCATTTAAGTGCAGTGTTACACTGTGGAACAGTAAATTCATAGTTCATCCTTCAACATGAGTAATGGGGAGATATTTTTCATTTATAACACTTTTGTTTGTTAAACCTAGCTACTGTACTAGTAGCTTTGTCATGGCGTAAAGACAAAAGGTATTTCATAAAAAATAAACAACAAAAAAACGTGAATACTGTTATAAAGTTAACGTCCTTGTTGTAAACTTTTAAGCATTTGTTCTACTCATACAGATGAATGATTCAGACAGTGTACTTTCACTTGGTTGATTAATTTATTAAAGTTGGTCATGATTTGCTTGTGGGTATACTAGTATAGTCAATTGTTTTATTGTGTTATATTGTGTGATAAGTAATAATAAGAGGGGAGGGTTTCATTTCATAGGGCTTTGATTGTTTTTTGAAAAATTTACATTATTTTTTCCCATAATACATGAAGCTACGCTTTGTTCTACTGTATTTGACGTGTCATGTATATCCATTGTCCCACTTGGTTTAAAAGGCTATCATTTGCAGTAACTATTGTATGTAACATCTTTAAGATGTCATAATGATATGAGAATACTACGACCTCCCTCAACCCCATCTGGCCTCATCATATAATCCCAGACATGGATGAGTTATAAGAAATGTTAAGACTGTCTTTGCAGGGACAGTGGATACTTCATTCATTCTAAAGTGCTAAATACCTCACTACAGCAATTTCAGTGGATATATTGTGTGCCTGAATAAATGAAGAGGGGCATTCCCGAAGTATTTTTTCCATAAGCTTGATGTTTATGATTTGTTGTTGTGAAAAAACCCAACCATAATAATTAAAATTGTTCATATGTACTTTGTTTAATGTCACACGAAGTTATTGGGCCAGAATGTATGTAGAAATAACATCTTAATAAGAATGTTTTAGCTGATAAGCATTATGATATCTATATAGTGTGTAATAATAGACTTATATTGACTAGACATCCATTTAATGATGAACTGCAGAAACCTCTGAATATAAGCAATAGTATGGGATAGCTTTCTTGATGGTGTGAAAATGGCATACCATACTGTTCCCATGGGAGAGTTTGGTATCCACTCAATTGGAATAATAGGTTTTTACCCATTTGCAGAAGGCTTTATCCATTAACCCATGTATATAGTTTTACATTTAATTCCATTATGGATATATACTCTCTTTTGTTGTTAATGATATAATGTGTGTAATTCTGCAGTTAGTTATTTGGTCCTGAAGTTAATCCATTTAACTTGTACTGGAATTAATTAGATAATGCCTAAGAATAAGACTTGCATTTATATTTCATGCTTATTATAGTCATGTGGTATACAAATAATGTTTAAAATTGCATGACAGTAAGTATAATGCAAAAGTCAAAATAATGAATTTTGCGGTCGTATTTTTATTTTCACTTTAAAAATGATTTAAAAAGATTATAGAATAAACACCGGAATTGCTCAAATGAATTCAAAGCACTGGAATTATGTGTATTAAATTTTCAATCTTTCATTGATGTTTTTTTTGTGTTAAAAATTGCATCAAAGTGGAATGTATTTATTATCAGTTATATTGAAAACATTTCTCTTAATATTATACTTACATTGTAAACTTAAAGGTATTAGTTCATCGAAATTTGCAGACTTAGCAAAAAAAATAAAGCAAATTAAGCAATACATTTACATTGAAGAATCGGAAATGAATCAATGTAATATCAGATATGATAAAGCCTTTATGTTATTGTTTAAGACCATACCATATAGAGTAACGATTAGCGGGGAGGAATTTTTATTGACCATCATCGGACATCATGTTGCTTCATCGACTTGAGACTATGACAATGCCATTTATTCTGTCCGTCATATTAGTCATAACAATGATAAATGCTTAGTTAGGTCCGCAGAAACTTATTTTGTCATACTCTCTGATTCATCATTGTTACGGAGTCGTAATTTAACATCCGTATATTTGCTTATTCATAAGTAAACTTTGACGTTATTGGTTTTCGCTATTGGCTCAATCTTCCAATTTAATCCACTCCTGAATGTAATAACCAATGCCAACGATGCCAACGAAAGGTGCTGGCAGACTTCAAAGTGACATTGGTTTTATTCATTCAAGTAGCCTGTGATTCATCTGTTAGAATGTCATTAGGGTTTGTAAATATTTAAATAACGGCAAGTTTCTGTTAGCAGAACAGTAGCAGACGGGCACACATGTGTTAGGATACATGTACATGTAGATAGAGGAAAGCAGATTTCCTGTTTTTCATATATACATTATATATCATTTAGATGTACAGTGAAAGTCAATTTAGTTTGAAATTTATTGACATGGAAAACTTCTGTTCCTGTAACCACATGTGAAAAGAATTTGCTTGCTAAATGTATCATATGCTTTAAAGTTAGATTTAAATGAAGTTAGTTTAGTGATTGAATGATTGAGGCAATATTTTAATTTTTTTAATTAATCTAATAAAGAATTTTTTTATAACAGAAAATCCTTATCAAATCTGTACAAGTTGTCAGTTTTATAACTAACGTTACTTTTAACTTGAGGTCTGGTTTTAAAGGCATAAAGATATTTATAAAGATATTAATTTTACGTGTAATCATGACAATTTGTCTGTTGTTTTTTTTGCCAGTATCAAATAATCTGAAATATCCCCAGTTTTTTTATGTAGACATTTCATTCTCCATTTCCTTTTTGTTTACGATTCAATTTTTATTTTTGTTTGAAACAGGAAACATTTTAAAGCTCCCCTATTAAATATTTTTATTTTTTTGTTTTGTTAAAATTTTCTTTGTTCCGTTTGAAGTATTTGCCTCTACACTATTTCCGATTAGTTCACATTACACTATCATTGTTTAGTCTGCATTTTCTGCTTGTCTGAGCCCTTTATTCAACGCCAGTTAAGTCTCCATTTCCTCATGTTTACATTTTGCTAAAACCTTTGTTGCGAGGACAGTCTAAATTGCCAATATGGACAGCGTATAATGTTATATCGGGAAATCACTTATTATTGAATTGCTAATACAATATGTTATTATTGTTATTTACTCAATGATCTATCTGGTCTACGCATAATTGCTGTAGGTTATGTAGATTATTTTTGGTTACGATTTTGGCCCGGTTTCGTGTCATCCCTTACATAGTGTATAGTAATTATTGGCGATATCTTGAAATTAATCAGGTGTGAATAGGTAACGAAAGTAATTATAGGGGCATAACTGTCATGTCTTTGTGTCAAGTTTGTATACACTAAAGTTTA